CCCAACCCCAACCCCAACCCCAAACCCAACCCCAAACCCAAACCCAACCCAAACCCTTGAGTAGGTAGGAACAACTCTTTTCTAAGAGATAAAATAAACTTTCTATTGATGAGTGTTGTCAATTTGCTTCACCTTCTAAGAAGATTAAGAAGGATTAGAAGAGTTAAGATAAATTGAATAAATCCAACAACAAGAATACAAGAGGAGGTAGAGGTTAAAATAAGAATTGATTGAAGCCTCAAATGAGTATTATTAAACATTTAAACATTTAAAACATTTAAACATTCAATATTAAATACTTTAGATGAAAATTCTAATTTTATCAAAAAATATTTGGTTATTTAATTGATTTCTATTCCAATTATACAATTCATTCTAATTCAAAAATAATTTAATTAAAAAAATGGTACACAATCATTATTCAATACATAATACCAGTTAATTTTAATAAAGAATTAATTTGTTAGGTTCCATTAATCATTTAGCTTTTCTTGATTCAATAATAATTTAAAAAAATAGAAGTAAAAATCAATTCTAAAGTAAATTAAATTAGATAGATGATGAATACCAATAAATCTTAAGAAACATCTCAGTCATAAGTTATATTCATAATGGAAAGTCAACTATAACTGACTGTTTGCTAAATAATTCTGGACTAATTTCAAATTAATACGACATAAAATTATACCAATACTAAAGAGTAGTTTTTGATATATTTGTTGACACTTCAGCACATTTAGACTTTAGTTCAGAAGTAACAGCTGCTCTTAGAGTAACTGATGATCCTTTTAGTGGTAGTGGATTATGTGGAAGGAGTCTTTTGGTATACTGAGACGATTTTGAGAAAAGTATTGTAAGAGAAGATAAAGCCTATATTGATGATTAATGAGATTGGTAGTCTATATTGGAATTATAAAATGATTGTAAAAAAATGTATCAGAAATTCGCTATTATAATTGATAATGTAAATGTGATTATTTCAACTTATGAAAATAAAGATATATCCAGATCATGTTTCAGTATGCTTTGGATTAGGAAAAAAACCTTGGGCTTTTTGATGTACTAAATTTGCTCTTATCTATTCAAAAAAATTCAAATGTTGTACCACCAAAACTACAAGAAAAATTTTGGGGTGATAATTATTTCATTGTTGTGTCTAAATGTTGGTGGAAGAAAAGCAATGATGATTCAGGAAAATAATTACAAAGTGCATTTACTGCATTCATAATAGATCAATCTGTAAATTGGCTAATTCAATCATAAAAGGAAATAGCCAATAAAATGTTCTATATCTTGGGATTGGAGCTTACATAGGAGGAATAAAAATTGAGTGGTAAATTTCTCTTAAAAGCAGTCATGTCTAAGTGGATTAATATGGCTGATACTTTGATTAAGATGATTATTTGCCATTTGCCTTCATCTGAAGAGGCAAAGAAGTTTAGAACATCCTTTTTGTATGAATGTCCTTAATACGATACCATAGCTTTATTTATGTGAGAATGTGATTCTAGGGGACCCTTAATTATGTATAATTCAGTTAAATTACGTAAAAAAAACTGAAATGTAATCATTAAATTAAATTTGAAATTATAATATGTATTGTTGATTTTTGTACAAAATTTTATAACCATTTTTTTATACCAAATTCTAATTTAGTCGATTTTTTGCTTTTGGTAGAGTTTTACAGGTAGCATAAGTACAAGATAATTGATTAGAATAATGGGTCCAAATTATAAGCACGGGAAGATAGAAGATTTATTTGAAAAGCCCATTCAAAAACAGTACTGATGATATCCAATAAAGCTGAATACATACCTGATGTTCTCTTATGATAAAATGGTAGGATTAGTTTGTATGGATGATGTCTTATTAAATAGTGGTATTGATTCAAGTAATCGTTATAAATACATATCAGATCACCAGAATGTTATCTAATTAGATCAATGAATTATTTAGTTTTACCATTAATAAATGTGCCTTTCAGACCCCAAAATCCAAAACATCAACCTATATTATTAGATGGTTTGAAGAGATTATCCTAATTTGATCAATTAGAGCATTGTAAAACTGAGATTACATTTAGATATTTGCTTGAATGGCTTAGAGAAGGATTTTGCTAAAATTTAAATAATTTGATATGATCCAATGTTATTTAATAAAGAAACAGTTTTATCAACATCAAAAGTTGAATGTATGGCTGAATCTCTGAATAAACATTTTAGAATATATGCTTACGCTGAGCTACTTTATCAAGGTCTGCAAATAGCTATTGAGAAAGGTTAAGTAAAACATATGGATGATACTGAAGTAAGAGCTTAAATATTATTTGAATAATTTGAATGGGATAAGGAAGAAGCTCTAAAATATGAACTGTTGGTCCTGAAAATTCAGGTCCAAATATTTTGGTGGATAAAACATATTTTGATAAAAGAATAAATTAAATGAGAGAACCTATGGAACATTGTTGGTTATGGTCTACTTAAGAAGTTCCTCATTGTGAAAAATAACAAAGGGGAGTTAGGATAAATATCATAGATTTTTTACTACAAGATGAAGATTATTTTAAATAAGGAGGACAAATTGTACTGGCAGCAAGAGGATGAACTTATACAAGTGAACTTACAGCAAAACCTAGACTATGCGAGCTAAATTATTAAGCAGAAATCCTTGTTCCTTATAGTTTTGTAGACTGTATCTATAACTGTTTAAATTCAAGGAAATCTGTAATTATCAAAGTAGATTATATTACTGAAACACCCCTATCATCAGTAATTTTATAATGTATAATTAATTCTAGATCATATCATATATGCCTGTAGCTGAATCTACATGTTTAACAGACGATCTTATAGTTCTAACTAACTATTAAGCCTTTTTTAGTTTGTGTTTAATCATAGATGATGATCCTTTGGAAATTGATACTAAAGCTAACAAATTGTTACTTAATATCAGAAAGAAAAATGTAATTAGGCCATAATTACTAAATGTTAACGACTATTTAGAAAAAGTTTTTACATTATGAAAAAAAACTGGGCCTAGATTAGAACAAAAATTTTAATTCTAGAAATTATATTCATAAGTAAGGTTTGTAATATTGATATTGTTCAAATAAGAAAATAAAAGAGAGAATGAAATGATTTATAATTCAAGTAGAAAAATAATTATAAACTAAAGCAAATAAAGGCTTTTAATCGATTTTTGTTAATTTTAGAATTTAATTAAACAAACAAAAGATAATCCTCTTCTTAGTATATATCAAATTTTAGAAAAATAATATACTGTTAAATATTTACTTATTAATAGATAAATTTGAATCTCAGACATTAATGTCTTGTCTTAATAGTATTAAAATCATAGTTTATACTCTGTCTCAAAATGGCAGAAGCAAATATTAATTTTTATTTTTAATACATTTAATTAATTAAACTTTAATTAATAGCACTTAATAATATTATTTATGATTTAATTCCACTAAATCTTTATGTTCCTAATTTCGATAATGAGTCCTGTTGTTGGAAGTGAATTAGAAACTTTAAGTTTCACTGAAAAGCATATTTACATTAATGATTTTAAGCATTATGTTTAAAATGTAAATGTACATCATTATAAGATTATGATTGGATTTATAGGTGCTATTGCTTAATATCTTTTTTGTTGTTCACTTATTGAATATTATAATCCAATGCCTAAGACAAAATTAAGAGTTTAGAATATTTTGAAAGAAATTCGCTATGGAATTCCTTAATTGATGTTTGGAAGCTCAGTAACAATGGTATTATATTTAAAATTACTAAGACGTTTTATTATTACATTTATCCCTATACTCCATATTATAAGTATTTTGAAATCAATGAATATAGATTACTTGATTTATTTTCAATAATATTTCAATGGATTTGGATTACATGTATGTCTTAAAATTTTATATTTAGTTAATGGTTATTGGATTCATAGGATGCTACATTTAAAATATTTTTATTAATACATCCATAGTATTCATCATTCTTTTAAAGAACCTACTTCCTTTGGTTATTGTGCAGGACATCCATTGGAAGGCTTTCTATTAGGTACATTGCTTCTTCATTCATCTGAAGTATTGATACCTATCCATCCTTTATAAACAATGATTTTTGGGGGTTTATATGCAATTAGAGATATGTTGGCTCATGATGGAGGGTAAGAATCAAACTTAATGATAGTAAATTGGATTATGCTGACCATTATAGGCATCATTTGTATTATGTTGTAAATTACGGTCATCCTATTTTAGATTATTATTTTTGTACTTCGTACAATCCAGTAAAAATAAAAAATAAATTGTTAGAAAAATTATCCCATTAAAGAAAAATGTTCCTATGTTAGTGAATTTAAAAATAAAGATCATCCCTTATTTTCTAAGTATTCATGAATAATTATAAGAAAAGTTTATAATTAAATTTATTTATTTATATAATATAATATGATTATCAATAATTTTCAATAAAAGTTGTGAAATTAGAGATCTGATTACAAATATCATCTAATATCAAGAACTTATTTGTATGAATAATCAAATTATCAAATGTATTCTAAAATATTTGATTTTTTGAATCATTATTTTGTGTAAATTCTAGTGTATAAAAAAGTAGCATTGAGTAGATATTTATATTATGGCTTTTACTAATTAAGTAAGTCATAATTTTGCTTTTATCTTAATTTTTTATGTTTATTACTGATTAATATAAACTTCAACAGTTTAATACCAATCTTCAATAAAATGAGAATTCAATGTAATTATTATACAATTATAAGTCAATAAATTTTCTGAATTTTCTTATCAATTACTTCTAAAATTTAAGTTTAGCCCTACTCACATAATGATAAATGGATCTATAATTTTTGTAAATTATATCTTCTTTTATGAAAAAGTAGAAAGTTGATAAATTATGAAGATGAAAAAAATAAATGAAAGGAATGTAGTTTTCAGATTAGTTAATTTATCATATAAAATACTATACCTAATATTATTATACATTTCATTTTGATTTCAGTGACCTTTTTATTATTATTTCGATTTATCTAGTACAACTTTGACTAAAGAAGCAACAATCACGCCAGTACCACAAACACTAAAAATAGATAAATTAGTTCCCATAAAAATGTCAATTATATATCCATAAATAACTTAAGACTAACCTAGCATGGATATTTCTGTAAGGTTTCCTTTCATATATGCTCTATTCATCAATAATTATACAATATAGGAAGTAGACCCAATTAATATTAACATAGTCATTTCAAAATAACTTGGCACCAACCATTACTAAGATGGAATAATAAATAGAGCCACTGTAGTCACACCAATTGATATAATGGAGAAGTATTATAAAATTACTAATTAATTCACCTAAATTACAAAAATTCATACAGACTTAGCTAATGTATTAATTAATACTTGTATTATTGATGAGAATATTGCAGCAGATATCATTAATATTATTCCCATCAATTATGTCTCCACTAAATTTTCGCTTTTTTCATAACCAAAAATTTCTAATAGCACTGGTGGCTAACTAATAAGAAAAATTCCAAAAAAGCAAATAATCAAGTTAAAAAATAAACTCATCTACAATTTTTCTGTTTTCAAATAATAAATTGCCATAAGAGATGTCCAAAGAGGAGATGTTCTAAAAAGAACTTGACCTTCTGACACACTAACCTACATAATTCCTGAATAAAAACAAATTGTTCCTAAACATCCAAAAATGCTTCTCATAAATAATTTATTGTATATATCTGATGTAAACCCATATAGTTATATGTTTTAATTACTAGTTACTGTCGTGTTGAATAAACACATAATAATTGCTCTAAAATATACAATTTAAGATGATGGAATATGTGATATCATTTTACTAAGCATTGAATTTATTGAAAATATTAGTGAACTTGTTAGAATATAATAAATTGGGGCATATCTAGGCTACTTAAGTTCAAGTTAAGAGATGGCTGATTTTATAGAAGACAAAAAGTAATCCATATATAAAATAATTTTAAGAATTAATATTGAAGAAATAATATATTTGTTATGATTAAGAAAATTACATCAAATTATCTAATATAATGAATGATTATTAAATAATATTGATTATGAGTTCGTTTAATTATTATTCAAATTTCTCTTTAAAATTAATGTAATAAAATGAATAGTTGTAAATCGTTATCTGTGATGACGAAAAAATAACTGTGTCTCCAATAATAAAAGTTAATATTAACTTCATAAAACTTTTAATCATGATATAAATATGTTTTCATTTTCTGATGATCAATCAATTTTATATAATCTAAGATAAAGTAGCATCAAATAAAGGTATTTATTAGAAAATAATTAATTTAGCATTTTCTTTTATGCCAAAAAAGTTTAAAGTACTTTAATTCTCAAATTCTTCTGGTCATCGAAAAAAATAATTAGCAAAAATCAGAAATTTTGGGTAAACCTAATAGACAAATTGAAGTGTCTTTTGAACAATTTTAGTAAGGACATTTCTAAATTATAATATTCTATTATTGAAAATGATAATTATAAAGAGAAGAAGTTACTAAATTACCCTTAAATTCATGGGACAAGATAATTATTATAATCAATGCTGCTTAAAGGGTATTTTAATTAAATTGATTTAATTTAATTTTTTAATATGTATATAATTTTTCTTATTATTTATTCTTACTTGTGATTCTTTTTCATACACAAAATATGAATAGCAAAAAAAAGAGGATAGCATTTTCTGTATCATTCTTAAATTGAAACTTAAGTTTTTATTATCTAAGAATTCATCGACTTATTTGATATTAATATTAAAAAATGTATTCATAAGAAACTTATATACTGTTTTAATTATAACCTATTTTTTAACATGTTATTTTAATTCTCCTTTTAGAACTAGATATTCAACAATAATTTATATATATAAAATGGGTTATTCCTCAATTAGAGACTATCCATCAATTATTAATAAAACAGTTTCACCAATTTTACGAGTTGTTAAAATGAAATGTTCTAATACTTAAAAAAGTAAAACAAATGCAATGATTATCAAATATAATTTAACTCGTCATTTCAATTTTTAGATTTAGAAATAAGTTTTCATTTATGATTTACACCCTATAATTAATGTAAAATTTAAATGATTTTCCATTTTTTACTATATTTATAATGGAATTGATTTTATGTTAGAATCGATATAAATTATACTTTATCATTAAATCAATAACAAAAATCGATTAATTTGATAATCCTATAAGTGTTATGATAGTTAATTTTTAGTAGTTTTATAGAAAATAATTGATTGAATGTTATGAGAATATTCTTTTAGTAAATATTTTTATATGTTAATCATATAGAACATCTAAAATGAAGAGATCAGAAATGTGAATATTAAATAATCTGTTGATAATAATTATTTGATAACAGTATTACTATATTGAGATTATTAATTATTTTACACGAATAAAGAAATGAAATAAGATGACCTTCACTCACCTAGTCTTTGTGGGTATCTTAACTTTTTCCATGTTTTGGGAGAGATGGAATCATAAAATCTGATCTCTTTATAAGAGAAAAAGATTGTGAAATAAAAGTTGACAGTCAAGGATCCCTCACTATTAGTATTATTATCAAAATAACATGATGACAATCAAATGAAGGAAATGTTGCTATCCTACATTTCTTAGCTTCAGATGACTAGATGTAAATCATAGACCTAGGAGTTGAGTCCATCAAGAAAGCAGGAGGGATAAATTTTAGTAATCTATAATTTTATCTGAGACTCAAACTGTAAAAATGATTGACTAGTTGATCAAATAATTAAACAGTATGTTCCAAAACTAACATTAATAAGTACAAGAATTAATCAATATCAATAGATGACTGAAGAGTTTAGAGACAAAATATAAAAACTGAGGGGACTTTTATATTAGATTGATTATCAGGAAGAAATTGATTTAACTACAACTTAGTAATTGCAATAGATTTACTAGTTAATAAAAGTAAATTTATCATAATGCTTAGCAAAGGTATTCACGTTATATGAATTCACTTCTGTTATTGATGGATGAAAAGGTTGAACCAAAAGATATCTAAGAATTTCTTAAGACATTTTTAAACTAATTAATAGGTTGTACATCCTATGGATATATAATAATCAAAGATGAAGTGGTCTCATTACATAGGGATGAAAAATATGAACAATTGGATTTAAATGAGTAATGTAAAAGAGAATTGTAAAATCTCACAGACATTACAGAAATTCAATAACTTGAATCTTTGAGAAAATATTTTAGAAATGGAGAATACATATTGAAGTTGTCTAATACCTAATTTTTTACTATGCAATTAGATTAAGATTTTACATAATTTGTGATGTTGGCAACTAAATACAAATATTTGGATTCAATTATCGATCTTGCATAATTTGTGATTTATACTGAATAATAAATTAAGGTATAATATTTTAGCATCTTATCAATTGGAGATACTGTATTAGAAATTGGATTAGAGATTGTCAGATGTTCAAAGTATTTATTAATTGAATAAATATTATCAATTATTAATGGATAATATCAAATATTACAGATTAATGAATATTAGCCTCATCTGGTTACATTTAAGTTTAAGGATTCATAATCTCAAAACCTATTTACAACCGATATGGACTTAAAGAAACCTTAAGATTTATTAATTTACAATCAAGTTAATCAATAATATCAAAGATATTAACAATTTATAAAGTAATGTTATGAAAGAATGTCCTTTTACAAATATTTTCTAAGATCTAAAAGTTTATTCATGATTGATTTTGATAAATAAGGAAGACTAAGATTTTTGAGTAAGGCATTGCCTCAAAAAATCAAACAGTAATTTAATATCGATAAAACCCAAATCGATTTAACTTATAAGTAGATCTTCCATTCCAATCAATCAATGATATAAACAATTGAAACCTATATTAGTAATTCTAAGTGGAAATTAAATCAATAAGAAGATGAATCAAATAAGACTTTTGAAATATTTATCCGAAAAGAAGAGAAACAATTTAAAGGATTTACATTAATTGTATCAGAGAATGATTGGGTAAGGAGAAAGGCGTAGCCTCCAAATGCAGGCAATCTAGTTAGACAATAGTTATTACAAACAGAAACCATGGATTATATTAAGAAACTGGAAGAATTTAATCCTGACATCAGAAATTCAGTTGTGGCTATGTACATGCCTTAGATTCAGGAATTCAATCCAGTGTAATAATAGTCATAAAAGACTCCAACCTTAGTTTTTAGAAAGATAAAAAAAGACTAAGTGGTTGGGAAGAATAGTTTCCTATTTAAATAAAGGGAAGAGGAAAAAAAGTCTATGAAAGTTAATCCTAATAAATTTAATGAATCTCATTTAATTGTTAAAGAGTAAGACATCATCTTAGATTCTCTAGATTTTAATATTCATGAGGTATCAATAATAATATTAATCTTCTTTAGATCAATAGCTTGATTGAGAAGCAAAGATTGGTTTGGTCAATTTTAGCTAGAGGAAACTTTATATAGATGTTTGGCATTCCTTAAGAGAAATTAGTCAATTTTTTAAATGAGATGGAAACTCAGTACAATATGAATAATAATCCATATCATAATTATGATCATGGTATTGCAGTTATGTAAGCTGTAAACTGCTTTGTCAAATAATTATTATAACACCTAGGAGAACACTTATTCAATAACACAACTAGATTTTGTTTATTGCTTTCTGGGCTTTGTCATGATGTAGCTCATACTGGTAAAACAAATGCGTATGAAGCTAATTCATTAAGTACTTTGGCTATCAGATATCATGATAGAGTGGTAAATATATATATTAATATGTTAGGTATTGGAATAGCATCATGCTGCAACAACTGTTAAGATTCTTAGAGATTCTTCAACAAATATCTTATGCAATTTTTCAGATCAAGATTTTCGATCATTTAGAAAATAATTGATATCTAATATTCTAGCTACAGATATGTAAGAACATTTTAAGATGCTGAAAGAGCTTGAATCTAGGATTGAATAGTATGGAAATGATCCAGAAGATTTATCTTTGCTTTGTGGAATGATCACACATACCGCAGATTTCAATGGTACTGCTAGAAAGTGGCCTTAGAGTTAATTATGGAGTGAGAAGATTAATTAAGAGTACAGAGCTTAATATGAGGATGAAGGAAAGAAGGGATATCCTCAATAACCATTTATGAAGGATTTAGACAAAGTATAAATTATTCTACAACTTTTTTAGTTGCATGTTATGTCAAAGAATGAAATGGGATTTATAAAGGTGATTGTGAGACCATTATATTATCAAATGAATGTATTTGGGAAGGGAGCATTTTAAATTTGTGTAAATAATTTAGATGAAACCATTTTGGAATGGGACAAATTGTACTAAAAAGGGATTTAAGAATTAGAGCAATAAGAATAACAACAAAAACAAGAGTCTAAATGATAGTATTTCATAATTTTCATTTATTCATATTTCAATAAATATTTCAAATGATATATATGAAGGCCCTATTTGAATAATAGATTTGATAATAATTATAATACTTTTATCCTATTATATTTATAATATAAGTTATAATAATCTTATTCTTATTCAAATGTAAATCATCATTATTTAATATTTTCTAAATTAATTTTGACTTAAGCAATATCAATAATGTTTGTTTCATTATTTTATAATTGCTACAATATCTCATCATCATTAACATATTCCTCTGTGGTTGCAAGGAGTCTAAATGTAATACTTTTACAAGAATCGTCGGGACCTATATATTTATATTCATTAAATTGAATCCCAATATCTTCATTCTCTTAGATTTCTGTCCTATTTCTATCAATATTTGGAATTAAACAAGCCATATGAGTGTCAGTTTATGCAATTAAAATTAGACTCTTTACTTTATCCTTGACGTATTTCCAATTTATCTTTGGAAGTTATCCTGGATTGATTAAGTAACCATCCTCAACTTTAGATTTATGATTCTTGTTAAAATCGACTTGTAAAGTAAACTAAGTAAAATGATCAATAGCTCTCCCTAATAAATTACCACTTGCCCCTCCAATAAAACCTCCAATGATTCCACCTATCACAACTCCAATTGGACCACTTGTAGCACCTAATGCCATTCCACCTTCAATTCCAAAATAACCTAATCCTATAGCACTTCCAGTTTTTACAGCAATCAACATAGAATTATATACTTTCTCACTTTAAGACAAGAAATCAGACAAGATTACTCCTCCTACTGAAATGCTAGTCATAAATGCAGTTAATCCAATTCCAACATAAGGAACTGCTCTTCCAAAAGATTGTACACTTTACGCATATATTAAACCTCCTTAAATAGTAGCAGAAGCTAATAATCCTTTGCCTAATTTTTATGCATCGATTCCATCGATTATACAGTCAACAGTCAAACTACCAAGTGTTCCTGCTATTACTCCACCTATCTACCCTGATATTTTAGCTTATTAGATTTGATAGTTCATTTCCTTTGCTTAAATGGATTACATGTTAAATTTCTCACTTTATCCCTGTATTGATTATTATACTTCTTATACTGTTATTGATTTCGTTTCTAATGGTTTTCCTACTTTCTACCATTTATTTGAATATCCATTTTTACCTGTGGCATCTATTTTTTTAGTAAATGTCAGTTCATTATTGTTATTTGGATTGTGATGCATCAACAATTTATTCCCATCTTAAAGAGTGGCTTCATATGCAAAATTGCCATTCTTATGTTAAACTTATTGTAAAGAAGTAATCTTCTATCCTTTAAGTTGTTAATAGGATAATAATGAAGTATTACCCTTATAAACAGGTTAAGATTACAAAGACGATGGGTCTACCTTTTAACTATTGGGAACTGCTATTGTTGAGTTTTAAGATTGTTTCATTTTTAATTTTGCTTGTAAGTTTTCTAAATATTCTTTCCAATATTCAATGTTGATAATTCCCTTTAAGATCAATGTGCAAATATTTTATCTTAAGGATTTTATTACTTTATCTATAAGTTCTTCTATCGATTAAAAGAATTATTAGGGATTTTGATTTTGGTATTCAATTTTAATAACTTAGGTATATGTTTTAGTGAGCTTTTCAATTTGACTCAAAACATCAGTGTAATTAGAATGACTTAGAATTTTTGTTAATTACATTTGAATCTATCCAAACACATTCACTAATTCATTTTCAATCCTATAGAGAATTTCATCCATATATATTTCTTAATCTTTAAATTCTTCAGCAAAAAATGATATCAATTCAAAAATTCTTTTACTTTAAAAATTTACTAGTGTTTCAATTTTTGGTTTAATTTTTTCCTCTTTTATTTTATCCCAATATATCTTTCTCAGCATTGGATCAAGAGCAAATGCATAGTTATTTTTTACTTGCTTAATAGTAACCAAATAGATTGTAATGGGTTCTACTTAAATGCAATTGATTTCTTAAACAATAAATTCAAATTATGGGAATAATAGTACTTCTTCCTCTTTTGGATATTGGGTATGGTATGCTTATAATTTAAAACATGGATGAGGAACATCTTAATCCAATAGAATTTAATAAAGTATTCCATAATTGCAACTTGAACAAAAATTATATGCAATTTCTGAAAGTAAAGATGTACTAGTAATTGTATTCCAAAAGAGAGATTTTCCCTCCATTTATGAAGATTATAGATCTTAAATTATTGTTTCAAATATTTCTTTTGAATCAAAATATATTCCTCTAAAAAGGGATGAAAAAAATTTATATTCTTTTAATTACTTAAATCCTTGATAAAGACAAAGAATAATATTTTTAATTTTTTAATAATTATGCTATGCAAATTACTAATTAAAGACTTGATATATCTCTTCTCTACTGTATAGATAAATTAATTTCTCGAACAAATTAAATTTCTCTTTTAATAATTGTTCTTTTTCTATTTCCTTCTTTTGTAAATCTTCTAAGATATTTTATTTTTTCTATTATTTGTTTGAAATATTAAGTAATGCCTCAATTTCATTATATATATCTGATTCTTCAGGTTCTTTGTTCTTTCTTATATCCTCTATGACAACTAGAAATTAGATACTCACATGATCCTTTGAATGTTGATATTCTATTGCTTATTGTTAGGGTGGTGATAACAATTTTATAAAATCATTGTAAATATCAGTTTAATTCATACTCATAATGACATCTTCATGAGCAGATTGAAAAGAATTTGATACTATAGATTTGATCTAAGTATTATCGAGGAATAAATTGAGGTGATAAAATTTAGTGCCACAAAACACGATCATATTTTTTTTTGTCTGTTTTACAAGTTAATAAGCACATTGAGCACTCGTTAAGATAGTAACATCTTTATCTTTAATTTTGTTTAATATTTTTAAAGCATCAGATATATTATCAAATGCTTGAAATAAGTTCTAGTAATCATTTTGTAATTGTTCACAATTAATCCTATTTTCCCAATTGAATATATTTTTATCAACCCATATAAAAATGGGATATTCCGAACGATTATCATTTTCGATTAAATTCATATGTGTATATTAATAATACTGTTTATATTATATAATAATCAAATAACTTTTTTCTTTTTTAATTTACTTTTTAAAAACACTTTATAGACAACATAGAGAGCATAGACTAGCCAAAGAGCTATGGCTGAACCAAATAAAAAGGGTTTAATAGAATGAGTGACTGTGATTGGAGTTGAAATGATTGAATCATTTGTTAATTCTTTTGCACCCATAATGGATTCTTTGGATTCTAATTCTCCTCCATTTAGAAATGCAAAGCCTAATATAACTGAGAAGGCAGTCAAAGTAGCTAAATGACTATTTTTAGTAGTGTCTCTTTGTAAAGTGTTATCACTCTGATGTGGTTGTGATTACATAATTAGATTTTACATAAATTCAACCTATTGTTTTAGAACAACATTTTCAGCTTACAATTTTGCATTCAACATTTAAAGTTATTGATTCTCTTTTTTCATATCAAGTAGTTCCTATTCCATATCTTGTACATAATTCTTTTACCTTCCTCGAACTCTATTAGCTGATTCTCTATTTTGTAGTTTCCTAAAATAAATTATTAATATACTTTCTAATTTTTTTATATTATTCTGGATTATCTTCATATCGATATACAATATTGTTTTCATAGATAGGTTCATATTTTTTGGCAATGTTTTTCTTTTTAATCTATACATTTTTTTAATGAGTATCATCAGATGACATGCCACTATCTCTACTACTAGTGAATTGATATTGACATGACTGATAGCAATTATCTTCAAAATCAAGGTTAAAGAAATCATCTGTCATTTTTATTAATATAATATATATTCTTAAATTTCCTTGTCAGATTAATCAAGAATTGTAAATTATATATATATATTTAAATTCCGTGGTCAATGGAAAACAATTTAATTTGGTTAGAGAAATATCGTTCAAAACTCTAGATGAAGTTCATGGCAATTAGGATATTGTTGACAAACTTAGAGCTATAGCAAAAATGGGAAATCTACTCAATATTATATAAGTTGGTTCTCCTGGAATAGGGAAAACAAGTAGTGTTAATTGTTTAGCAAGATAAATATTGGGAGATTCAATAAAAGAAAGTGTACTTGAATTAAATGCATCTGATGATAGAGGGATTGAGACAGTGAGAGAATAAATAAAAGGATTTGCATAAAAAAAAGTAAATTTATAGGAAGGATAACATAAAATAGTAATATAGAACAAACTAACAGAAGGTGCATAAAAAGCATTAAGAATGATCATAAGTGATTAGTCTACATCAACAAGATTTGTATTATCTTGTAATGATCCAACAAAATTAATTGATGCAATAAAAAGTAGATGTTGTATATTGAGATTCAATAGATTGAGTGAAAATGAGATTAGAGATTGATTATTGGAGATTATGAAATAAGAAAGTGTTACTTACACAAAAGATGGATTAGATGCATTAACTTTTACAGCTGAAGGAGACATAAGATAAGCAATCAATAATTTATAAGCACCACATACAGGTTTTGGATTAGTTAATAGAGAAAATGTATTCAAAGTTTTTGATGTACCTAATGTTGATGATTTGAAGAAGATTTTCTTCATATGTTGAAAGGGGAATTCTAACCTGCTTAATTGCTTAAGAAGTCAATTTTTGATAATGGGTATATGGCTTATGATGTTACCAATACATTCAATAAAGTTATTTAAAATCATAATGGAGATAGATATCTTTAATTCGAATTCCTTCGATAAATTGCCTTCCTCAAAGCTAGAATCTTAGAGGGTTTACCTACATTCTTATAGATGTCAGGATCATTGATAAATGTTGTAAAATATCCGAAAGCTATAATAATAAATGATTATATATATTTATATACAATTATTGAAATTCTTATTAATAAAAATTTGGCTGTTAGTCATGCAATAATTCTAAGTCTCTAAAAACAAATAAATAGGTAAACTATTCTAGTATCTAAAATAGCTAATCCTACACAATTATACAATCAATTCTAAGTTCGTTCACCCTTCAGTAATGTTGAGAATAAAAGTTTGATGTAAAAGACAGCTAGCGATATGGAAATGATTAATAAACCTGTTGCTCCAACCAAACAATTAACACATTAACAAACACCCAATGCATCTGAGTATAAAATACAATTTAAAGTTGGAGGAGGAAAGTAACTGTAAAAGGAAGATGCTAATTAATTTAATTCATAAACTGCTCCTTTTATTCCCATGAGTCCTCAATAGCGTCATGAGAATGCTTAAATATTGTAATCACCCCAAAATCGTTAACCATATTTACTTTCTCCTCAACATCAATCTCCTTAACTTTAATTCTAATCTCCAATTAATAGAGATTTAAAACCATAGCAATTCTTTTCATAAGTGCAAACACAACAATAATAACCTAAACAAATTGCTCAATAATCTTCTTATGTTTCACCTACTCTGATGTAATAATAAAATTCACAAAAGGTAGTGAATTATACTAATACATTTGCTCTTTAAGAGGAATTGAAATGTTTATAATAATAAAGTATTAAGATGACTTAAGAGATTTAGAAATTAGAATCTGAAGCTTAAAGAGTATAATCAGTCTAATTAATTAAAGAATTAGAAGATAAGATAAAATTACTTAATTAGATGAATAAATAATTATTATTAGATAATGCAGAACTAATGAAAGTGCCTGATGTATTGGTATTAAGAGATTTAATAGTCAAATACTAAAATGATAGAAAAGTAGCATATAATCAATTGACAGTGTTAAAAAATGAGATTTAGAATTATAAAGTACGTTGTGAAGAATTAGAAGGAAAAATAAAAAGTGATAATTCTTAAGAATTGAATGATTTGGTTTAAGAATTGGAAAATAAAGTTTAAACTTTGATTTTAGAAAATGATAGAATAAATTTATAATTAAAAAATGGGAATAATAATGCAAATTAAATTTAGAAATAAAAACTTGAGAATGATCTTGTAAAAGAGAGATTAATAAAAAGTAGAAAAGAAGAAGAGGCTTTGAAATAATCCTGTTAAAAGGAGGAAATGAAATTGAAATTGTATGAGGAATGTAATGATAAATTGAAATTACTTTAAGATGAAAATAAAAGATTATAATAAATTCTAAATGATTCAGAATTGAATTAAAACGATTTAAATAGTCTTTAAGAAAAGGTATTAAAATAATAATGATTTTAATAGATATAAGTAATAAGGTAAGATAATGAAAGAATGATGAGATAACTAAAATATAAATAATGATTTATATATAATATATTAGTAGATTGTATTTTGTTTTTGTTTAATTTACTTTAGTTTATTTTAGCTTATTTTAGCTTAATATAGTTTTGTTGTATAATAATTATATAATATAATTTCCTTTAAAAAAAAAAGATGGATGATGCATATTCACGATAAGCCTCAACTCCAGCAGATCGAAAGAGTACGTTAGAATCAATGCGAAATGAAAACATGAACTTTGTTGAGTAATCTTAATTAGATAGTCTATAGCTCAAACGATGTGATTGTGGAGTATTACAAAAATCAGTAGAAAAATTTATTATGGCTAGATAAGTGAGCGGATTGGATAGATATTTCTTAGAAATTGAATAGTGGCTCGATGAAGATAAAACATTACATACTAATACTCCATTGGTCCTAGAAGCTGATGATGGAATTGGAAAGAAAACGCTCTTAGTAAAATGGATGGAATATCATGCCAGAAATAAAAAAGGAGTAAGAGTAATGTAATTAATAGCGATATCCTGATTTCATCATTCCTCATTTTGCCACTTAGTCAGGAAAAAATAGCAATTATTATTATGCAATATATAGAATCCTTATAAAATTAAGAGAAGCTTTGAATATTAAATAAAAAGTGGAGCTCTTGGAAGAGAAATTGAGACGTTACTTTTAATATTGGTTAGAAATATGTAGTAGACAATTAGAACAGCAAATTATTAATGGAGCAGAAATAATCTATGATAAAGTATTTCTATTTATTTATCACATAGGTAATTTTAGTATTTGAAGGTATCGATAACTTTAGAGAAATCTTGGATATGCATAGAGAAGCTAATGTTAATTTTTGGTTGCCTAAATACTTTCCAACAAATATAAAAGTTATTGTAACTGCTGAAAGACAATCATCTTCAATGCGACTACTTAAACCTGATTGTTAAGTCATTCCTATTGTGTCTGATAAAGCATATATGAAATAGATGGTTAATAATCATTTGGGCAAGAATTTATTTATTTAAGTAAATATCAATTATTCTTATATCTTATAGAAATTTGATCAAATTTTAGATATCTTCATTTAACTTAATTATAGAGTTAGAAATCAACCATTATTTGTAAGATCCTATTTTTCTGTATTTGTACCTTATCCAACAGATGGAGTAGTTGAAGAACATGAAATAGATATATAATTGATTGAAAATATCCTAAACCCATTAAATCTTGATCACTTTAAGAAAATGAAAGTTGTAGAAGATCTATTTTAATTTTAATTAGAATATTTCTCTAAAGCATAATTGCTTGATAAAGATAAATTTTAAAATGTACTTCTTGTCTTAGCCTTAACATAAAAAGGATTGACATATCCAGAAATAGAATCTGTTTGTGATATCACATAATAGGAATGGAAAAGATTTCTTGTGTTCTTTAAGGTTTACATTATGAAACATAGAGATTTATGGTTAATACATAATGAAATATTTAAAAAAGTGGTCATTAATCAATATTATTAAGATGTAAATAGTATTTTGGAACTTCATGATAAAATTGCAGCAACTATTGACAAGATAACTCCAAACTCAATTAGAAAATTAGAAGAATAAACATTTTAATTGTTTAGTGCAAAAAATTATTTTGCTCTCAAAGAAGTTATTAGTATTATTGAGAATTTCTTACTTTTGTTTAATCCCTCTAATAAATATGATTTGTGTAGATATTGGCAATCATTAGAGGAGAATGGATTTGACCCAGTATTAGAATATAATAAAGCTGTTGAAGGTTTTCAAATACACTATCACCCAAATGCAGAGGATATGTTTAGAATCATTATTCAGATATCTAGATTTTTAAAGGAATTTGGTGATTTTGAAACTAAAAATACACCTGTCTTTAGACATCCTCCTATAATAGGAATACTTAGTGATTTATATGATATTGGATTATTGTATGAAATATTAAAATTGGATCTCTATTATGATAAAGCACCAGAATTGAAGTAGTTTGATCCAGCTAAACATTTGAAACGTGTAGCTAAACCATTAACAGCTCCAGTATTATCAAAATAGGAATCTTTAAATGTTGAAATAGCGTAAAATAGAGCAGAAATTAGGTCTCATTATTTAAAGTAATTAAGTAAGCCAGTTGAACCAACTGATAATGAAGAGGAATTACCATAATCAGTAGATTAATTGGCTGATGAAATAGATTAAAAATTAAGAAAGACTTTGTAAGCTAAAGAAGATAATTTATCAGAAGATCTACTATCATAAAGTGAAAGGGAATCAACAGATTATTATTATAAGAGATGGATTTGGATTTAATTTCCTTGGGCTTGTATGAGTGTTAGTAAAAAATGTGATTATTCAACTGTTATTAAGTAATGTTTTTCATCAGCTACAGATTATATGAGTGTAGAAGATGAGAATGCATTTACAGAATCTGCACTTAAAATAGCATTAGAAGCAAAAAGAAAGAAAAAGGAAATGTATGAATAAAAATACCATGAAGAAGTAAGATTATAAATTATTCCTTAAATATCAGTATTATAATAGAAGAGTATGGATGAAGTTTTTAGAAAATAAAAAAGAGAATAATTAGATTTTAGTTCATTATCTAGTGCAAGATTTGATAGATCTACAATATCTGTTTTACCTCCATTATCAACAAGAAGTTCTTAAGCTAAGAAAACTAGTTCTCCCGATCCTATTTATCCTCATTTAATGTTCATTACATCTGATTTTACTGATTCTAATCATTTAAATGAAGAATCTAAATCAATAAAATTAACTTAGAGTAGTTTACCTAATGATGGTAAATAAACTATGCAATTACTTGATTAGATGAAACTTAAAAAAGAAAGAATTAAAGTATTTTCAACTTCTTCAGTTCAACATAATTCTTATAAAGTTACTGAAATATTCCCAATTATTAAAGGATCTATTTAAAATCATTCCTCTTAATAATTAAATGTTTTAAATGGTTAATTGAGGATGATGAAAGGTAAATTGGATTAAATTAGTTATGAGAATCTATAATTGGCTAAGACTTATAAACTCTTGAAAATTATGGATTTTAATAAAGGATATTTGGTAAGAGAAATGAATAGTTTGGATGGATTAAAATAAACACTTGAAGTGTTAAAAAAATAAACTGATATAGCTGAAAAAGAGTTAAAGAGAAGTTATAAAATGAAAACAAGAGTCAAAAAGATACTTAAAATATGTAGAGATAATAAATAATAAAATGAAGAGTATATTAGAAATTTAAATTATTTAACTAGAAATTTTATTAAATTAATTAAATTTGAAGAATAAGAAATTAAAAAGAGTTAATTGAATATAAAATATGCAAAAAGATAATTTGAAGAATTTTTAAAAGTCTATAAAGAAAAAAGAAATCATTAAAAAAACTTAATAATTTAAATTAAAGATAGTTTATAATAAAAAAAACTTTTAGATAAAATATTTTAAGATGGAGATAAAAGAATTGCAGAATAGGCTAATGCATCTATCAAAAAATTAAGAAAGAAATTAGCAAAAAAAGAGGATGATTCTAAAAATAAAAAGAATAAAGAAGCTTAAGAAAAAGAAGAAAAGCATCTCAGTGAAAAATTATAATAATTAAAAGCTTCATATGAAAAAGTTAAAGGAGGAGTATTTGATATTATGAAAGAAAATTATAATTAAACTAATTAGTTCATAGATTTTATGGCTCAAAAAGATAGAAAAAGTGAATATGAAATTAAATTATCTGAAAGAAGGCAGAAATATACAGAAATAAAAGAATAAGAAAAAAAATTAAATGAGCAATTACATACTTATTAGAATGCCTATTTGTCTCTTAATATTCCACAATAATAAGAAACTAAAATTGAAGGTAATTATATTCACTATTAAAATACCCATAGATCCTAATAATGATAAGATATAATCAACAAATTTATAGAAATAAGAATAATATTTGAAAAAGTTAATGCTATTATAAGCAAAACTGGCCAGTTCATTAGAATAAATTAATGAGAAAAGTAAAATTAAAAAAGATGATTCCGTATTATATATTGTAGATTATTATAGATAATTGAAGAATTAAAGAGGAGATAACAATTAATAATTAAAAATGAAGGGGAAGCATCATATCAAAATCTTATAAAGGATAAATACGATATTAATTCCTTATTAAAGAAAAGTGCGCCCTTTTATTTTCCTAAAAGATATACAGTTCATAGTAGTAGATAACCAAGTGAAGAATGAATAATATAATTTTAAATAACATCAATATAAATTCCTGCTTATAGATAGTATAATTTGAGAAATCAAAATAATTTTAGATAATCAACTTTAAATTATATTACAAAATTTTAGTTAAATGTATTAATTTATTAAGTATCTTTAATTTTTATTCTATGTTAATAAAATCAAAATTATGGATTTTTAATTTAAAGTGTAGTTATGAATTTATTATAAATACATGGAATTATACAGACATCTTAGATGAATAGAAATGTCAAATAAATAAATATTTAACTTATAATCATTATATATAATACTAAACAGAATCTAAACTATGAAATCTATTATTATATTTAATATATATAAAATGAGAATCTTTGATTTGAATAAATATGATTTTTTAATTAAATTTTGATGAAATATATAAAATGAAGTAACGAAAGATTTAAAAAATCTTAAAATATCTTTTAATTATATAAACCTTTTATGATCTTCATTCTATTATTTTTTAATATAAATAATACAAAGGAAAAAGCATGAAATACTAATTATATGATGAAACATTAATTATTTATTATATATTATAACACATAACATCCTAAATTAGATATATTTTATATTATTCTATTTAAAAATAAAGTAGAAAAATAATGAGAATATTAGAGTGTAGATTATTAATACATAAATTTAATTACATAATAAGTACGTGTTTAGTGAAGATTATAAATTATAAATAACAATTTCTTCCTACTTTTCATAAATTTCAATAAATAATTGATTCTAATTATGAGAATAGGACTTATTCAATTGATTATATATATATGGGATTGTCATTGTTTAGTCATATATTTCTTTGATTTATATAAAATTTATTCATTTCTATTCAAATATTATCAAATCAAAGCATCCCTATAAACTTTTAATTTAAATTTTTGCTCGACCTTCTTTCTGTAATTGGTTTGAGAGGACTTTAAAGGTATGAAGCTGATCTCAAATCGATTATAACAGTTTCAGAAATTTATGTCGATTTCTAAAAAACGATAGCTGACATATTGTTACCAATTCTTTGGTTTCCTTGAACTCACGAGAGAACATTAATTTCGATTACAACTTTTAATCGATTTATGTTATAGAGGGCATTGCTGAAGGGAAGTCGTCTAAGATCTCCATTTTATCCATATCTCCAATGATTGAAATTTTCATTGGTTCCATTCTCTACCCCTTATGAGGTTGGAAGATTATGGGTGCTTTCGTTAAGGGCTTAATTTCATTTGCCTTAAGTGTCACATTAATTCGATCCTAACAACATCCCATATTATATTAACTTAGGGAAATTGATTTAAATTAATAAATCAAAACGATGTAAAAGTTTTTAGTGCAAATTAATCAAAGATTCTTCAAATTAATTAAAGATAATATTGGAATTTAAATTGTTTTAGATTTTTAAAAACCTTAAAATTCAATAAGAGAGAAAAGATTAATAAAGAATAATTATTAGATCCATAATTATTAATAGGATATAGTGGAAATTAAACAAAAAGTATAGTTTTGAATAAAAATACAATCATAATAGTAAATAAATTGTAAAGAATTTGTATTATTAATTTATTTTAATTATTAGTTATTTATGAATTTTGAATTCTAAAAACTAACATAAAGTATATTGTTGGTGTTTTATTTGATGTTTGTTTATTTATTTTAATAATAATAATAAATTTTCTTTATATATCTATTTATATTTAAATCATATGAAGTGAATGAATCATATATATATATGATTTTGATCATTATTATAATACTTCGTATTTGAATTAATAATACATATTTTTATTAAGTTTTCAAATCTTTAATATGAGCACCAATATGTTTAATGTCCTCAACATTTCAGATGATGAGGATTCAAAAATTTAATAGGCATAATAGAAAACCCAATAACAACAAGCAAAGAAGAGTAAGTCCATTCTTTCATTATTAATTAGATAAGTAAAAGCGCGATTAGGAATAAGTGATTCCTGTTGAATAAGTTAAGAAAGAAAGCACTTAACATCATAATCCAGTCCAAAAATAAAAGGGACTAACAGCTGAACCTCATCCAAAGGACAGACATTCTGGAACAGGTATTGGAAAGGAACTTCGTAAAGAAGGTGGTGGAAGAAGAAATTGGGGAAATTATAAGGATGATTTAAAGTAAGAAAAGTATGAAGGTGCAATAGAAGGTAAGGAGGTATCAAAAGAATAAAATACAGAGTAATAAGGTGAAGAATAATAACCATAAGAAAATGTACCTTAAGCACCAGCAGAGAAAACTTTAGCAGATTATTATTAAGCAAGAGGAGTGGTAAAGAATGAAATTATAATAATTATATAGAATGTTGAAGAGGTGCTTAAAAAGTAGTAATAGAAAGTATAGCCAGTAGTAAAGATTGATGAGGAGGCATTGAAAAAGGAGAAATTACAGGTGATGAGAACAAGAGAAGATTAGAAGAGAGAATAGGAATAGAAAGCAACTAAAAAATAAAGTGGTTAATAATAGGCATATAGAAGTGAGATGAGTACAGAGGGATAATAATATTTCGGATTTACAAATGATTAAAGAAGAAATGATAGAAATGATAGGAATGATAAGAATGATAGAAAAGATAATAATAATTATAATAAAGGATAAAAGAAATAAGTACTTATTATTTATTATTTAATTTATTTTTAGTAATAACCAAATAATGGAGTTCAATTCGATGATAAAGATTTCCCATCATTATGAAATGATCATTCCAAATACATAAAATAGTGAGATATTTGGTATATATAGTACATATATCAATTATAATTTCACTCTCTTCTCATTAGTGATTATACTTCACTTAATTTATTAGATACAGGCAATCTAAGATTCATTTCTGATTTACTATGTCTCATCACTTCTTATCTAGTAGTTGTTAAAGTTGATCTAAAAATATCATCCATTTTTGAATTAAAGCTTCTTACTGTTTATGGTCTCATTGGATGGACATATTTAGATACTTAATTAAACATAGGTCCAATTTCAATATTACGTCTAATTTTTTTATCTCTAGAACCTAGACTCATTTATCTCATCTTGTAGAATGCACTACTTTTAATTTTAGTAGCTGAAGCACCTCTTGAAATAAATAATGAGACTGGAAATTGAATTTATCTAGATGTAGTTGTTGTTGCATCTTCAATTTAGACATCAGTTTTTTATTTTGAAATATGTGTAGGTATACGACTAAATTATTATTATTTTTCTGATTCCTATTCTTATTCTTAATCATCTTCTTTTCTTCTATGTATTTTTTGTAAATATTCAATAACATTAATAAATGGTGTTTCAATATTGCGTGGTGAACGTAATTGTTGAATCTAATTTAAAATATGCATTGAGAATTTCTTGCCTGTCATTTTAGATTTGAGTTAACGATGCTTACAATTTTGACAAAGATCTGACATAAATTTGTAATTATATTATTAAAATTAAATTCATTTCCATATCTTTATTGTATGATCCTTACTAGCAGTAAGAAGATAACTATTCTCATTATCCAAATAGATCATGTCAGTTACACTATCTTTATGTTCAATTAAATTTGAAGTATTGGGACCATTTCTAATTTCATGATCTTCAATAATGAAGACATCTCCTTTGATAAATTATTTGAATTTCCTATTTGAATTATAGGGCGAACAAATCACATTAGTTTGGAATTCCTTTATTATTGAAATTATTTTACTAATTCAGAATTATTAATATCGCTATTCAAAGTCCAACTTTAAATACTTCTATCCTTAGTAGCTGTAATAATTGTATTCTCTAATTTCTAGTTATATCCTCTGTTATTCAAACATAACAACGAAGTAACACTGGTAGTATCTTAAAAAGAGCCATCCAAATAATTCTTCCACATATTTTAAAGTAATTGTTCTTTAACAAATATTGAAGAGAAATTCAAATTAAATTTTTGAATTGTTTAATCACTTAATTAAGCATAAGTTGATATTTTGTTTACATTATTAAGAATCTATTCAACATTTAGAACAGACTTAAGTTTTGGCATTTCCATTTAAATATTCTTATTCTAGGAACAATGTAAAAATAATGTTGGAATTATTGTATTTTTATTCATTTTAAGATCAAAAAATGCAACTTCATTATTTAATGATTGATAACCAATCCCAATTAATTTATCACTATTTGGATTTATACCTTCTAGTAATGAATTCCTATTCATTTCACATAAATTATAAATAGGCAAAGGTTAATCATCTTTTGATAGTAATTGATAGATATTCATTTACATCATACATCTATTATCATATAATATTAAATAACCGTTTAAAGTACTTAATAAAGTTTTTTAATTGTCATGAATTAAACTAGAAGCTAAACCACATTTTTTATTTACACTTAAATGTTATTAACTTCTTGATCTAATATCTTCAAGAATCAAGGATCCTTTCTCAGTAACATAACAGAAAGCATTATCGTAATTTACTATTCTCCTTATTCCTGAATCTGCTTAAGGGAATGTAGTCACTCTTTAATCAATCTAATATTAACTAACTTAGCCAGAGTTTGTACCAACAATGAAACTGTCTGTGCCTTCAAGAAAACATAGAGCATTTACTTTATCAATTAACTTTTGGTCTTTAAAGACAGTAATTTATTTTATACTGCCACAAGTAAAATCTTCCTATATTTTATTCATATCATAAAATCTAATTGTACCATCATGAGAACCAGAGATAAATCTACTTTGATCACAATGTTTTTATAATGAAGTTACAATATCATCATGTTCTGGAATAGTGGTAACTAGATGATTTTTTAATTTGAATTGTCTTACTATTTTAGGTTAGATACTTCTTTAAAATTTAACTTCAGACTTATTTAATTAATAGGATTTCTATATAAATGAATTAATAATGATATTGAAATTGAGATTGTTTATCCATTATGTACTAGATTATGATACTAGATATTTCTTATTGAAATTTTAATTGTTTTCAAACTTTTTCAAATCTATTTTAAAATAATCATAACTAAAATTAGAGTAATCTTCTAAAGTTCTGTCTTTTTTAATAAATTCTTAAAACCTATTATAAGATTCTTATTTAATAAATTTTAATTTATATGCTGCTTCATAAAATTCATTTAATCTTTATTTAACACTTGTTGATGGTAAGACTTGATTATTATTTAATTTTTATGCTGAGATCTCTAGATTTTGTTTAGATTTCAAAATGTATTCATGATAGTAATTATTATAATTGTATTATTCTCTTTCACTGAAAGGTTAGGAATTATTATTAAATTCTTGATTCTGATTGATAAATAATGATTACCTAACTGGTTTTTAGATTAATTAAGTAAACACCTCTTCATTCAAATGAGGTACATCTTATTTTAAATATTTTTTGATATGTGGTAGTATATGTAAATAATTATCTAGACTATTGAAGTTTCTTAATTATATAATAATAAATTGTTAAGCTTCATCTCTTACCCATCTATTATGATGTAAAACCAAAGGAGATATTTCTTTAATAAATTATTTGATTTTATCTAATTCCAATAATTATTATTCTGAAGCTTTAGTCACTATTCTTAAAGTGCGAAAGAGAGCTATTTCATTTCTAGTATTCAATTATAAACAAGTCAATAGAGTCTTACTCATATCAGTTTTGGCATAGTATTATAATAAATCAAATCCAACTTCTAATAATGGAATTTTTAAATGAATTTTATTTAATTAAGCAATTAGAAGCTTCATGATTTCAATAGTTTATGATGAATCATAATACTTTAATACATTTTTAATATTCTATATTAATAATATAGATAATTCTTAATTGTCATCTTATAATTTCTTTTATATTATTTATAAGTAGAGATTCTTTTCCTCTTTTCTATTAAATATATGTAAGATTTCTGCTATATCTCCAATTTTAAGTGCTAACATTGGATTCTAATTCATATCTTACAATCTAGTTTTGATTTATTCCCAAATGTACAATTAGAAAATAAGTGATTCAGTTTTATTGCTATGTGGATAATTGAATCTTCTCAATAAATCTAATAGAATAGAGAATGCATAAAATTGAGTTTAACCTTCATAATCTTCACAAAATAAACCCAAATTAGGTATTATTAATTTATACATAGATGAATCATCAATAAATTCAAGTAAATATTCTACTAATTCTAAACCACATAATTTTGTTTATAAGAATCTACAATTTCTCATTTAATTAAATATCCATAATATCATAATGATATATTCATTCTATCTCTTATTATTATTGATTTTAACACTTTCCAATAGAGATTTTCTATCAAATGATTTTGATTTCCAACATATTAATTCATTTATATTCTATTTTTGATTTCCTTTTATTGAATTATCTTCTTAATTTTGAATATTATTTTTAATAATTAAGTTTTCATTATTTTCAATCTATCCTGCCAAAGTATCACAACTTTGAGGAATATTGAATTTAATTTATGAGAATCTATTTGAATATTGGGATACAATGTCTAAATCATTAAATGAATTTAAGGAAATAAATTAAATAGGGATTGGCATAACATAATTCCATTATTTAAATTGTGTAGATGATAATATTTATCTAAATAATTAGATTCTTATATCAGGATACATGAATTCTCCTTTGAAATTTATTGTATAACATATCTTTTGTAAAAATTCAAATATTTCATCAGCACATATAAAAGTTTAAAAATTATTAAATGCCATTTCAGCACTATAACGTTCATTTGGATCTAAATCGATTAGATAACAAATTAGATCTCCTATAAAACCATCAACTTAAATGAGTGGTTCTCTTTCTTTTCTTTTATATGATAATAGTTATTTAAATGTAAATAAACTTTCACCAGTATATATTTCATATATGACACATCCAAGTGAAAACATGTCCATCTTCTATAAATCATATATCTATTGTTTAGTCATATTAGCAATATATTGAATTTCTAGAGCATCTGCATATTTCTCTGGTGCCAATGTACATTTTTGAATAGATGATTCATAAACATTCCTAATGACTTCAAATTCATTACTATAGTATGGTTTATAAGATGCAAAATCTGTCAATACTAAATAATCCAAACTAGTAATAAGTATATTTGATGTTCGTATATGTCCATGATATAAATTTTGTTGATGTAGTGTTTTAACAGCACTTAATAATTATAGAGTGTAGAAATGTAACAAACAAATTGGTAGCTTATAATTGGATTATAATCTTTCTTCAAGTGTCATATATAACATTTAACGAGATACTGCTAAATAGTCTTTATTACATTCATTCTACATTTCTTATGGAGAAGGTTTTTCTAATTTACCAAAATTGATTAATCCACGAAATGCCATTAAATTTGGATAAGGCTCAAGTTTTTCAATCAAATATTAAAAGTTTTAATAATGGATGTAAAGTTCATTATGTGTCAATTATTTAAGTAATAGATGAACTTTGACAATTAAATTCTAATGATGCATTTTGTAATGCATAGTCTTAAATAATTTATTATCTGATAACCGTTTTTATCTTACTCCAATGTCTTATTCAGTGTTGTGAGTCTCAAAAGATTTCATCAAATTAAGTTTACCTCTATGATCAATTAAAGAATTTCCCATTTATTTATAATTATATATATATCTATATATAATATCACTTCTCATATTATAAAATATCAAACACTTAATTTAAATATACAAACACAAATCATTTTGTTAACATTTTTAATAGAATTTTATGATTCTCTTTCTAATCAGGATGAGTCTCTATATAGTAATCAATCATATCTCTGGCTTCATCATATAATATATGCTCATCTAAAGTCATTTTATCTAAATTTGTTATGAATATATACAAAATAACTTATAACTCTTTATAGAATCTGGATCTTAGCTAATTAATTCTCTCAAACTCTAAATATATTAATTCCCATAAAAATCTCGAATAAATTTAACTACCATTAATTATATATTCAATACTCCTTAATTTATTCACTTTTCTACAATTTGGATTACATTTTTAATACTCCTAAAATACTTTAAGCCCCTCATCCTTGTTTTTCTCACCTACTAATTTTGCTTTCATCTCTATCAATTTCAATGAATGTTCATATGGTAATGAATCAATAAATTACAAAGCTACATCATTAGAATATATCTTTGTGAGCATTTAAACTAAAATATATATATTGAATTTATACTACCTTTTAATAATTATATCTCTTCATTTGATGGATTTAATTGGAAATACTCATCTATAGTACATAAAAGCTCTTTTTATCTTCCTTAGTTATACAATAATCTTACTAAAATAAATATTATTTATACTTTTAGCTAGATAACCATTTTCATCTCTAGGATTTAATTTAATATGTTAATCTAATAATGATATAGCTTAATCATGCTGCTTCAAAATGGTTGTCAATATTTCTGCCTTTTTCAACAATATATTTTATTCTTTATTAGAACATTATTAAATGAATTTTTCCCAATGTTATTTTATTTAAATTGGCTTACATTTGTATTTCATAAATTAAGCTTTAAATAATAATTATAAATTTAATAAAACCTTTCTCTTCATATCCTTTATACTAATATGGGAATAAATTGATATAATCATCAAATACTTTCAATGCCATATCTAATTAATTCAATTTATAATAATAATTTGCTATATATTATAATTTATTATTTATTACCTTTATCAATGTAAAACTTAATATCATTCTTATTTTATTATATCTATTACTCCATTTAATTAATATCATACATTTTTGGTATGATAATATTCATTACTTAAAATTAAACTTATACATACTTTCATTAAATATTTCATTTTGAATAATAAGTTTCCTTTTTTATTCAATAGTATTTAACTTATCCAATTTTTCGATTATTAATTGATTACAAATATATGAGGATAGAAAATACTTTAATTTCTCTAATTCATATCCTTTAATTATCTAATTTTAAGACTTATCTAAAAATTTAATATATGTTTTTGATTACAATTCTCTATATCTGAATAGATTATTTAACATATATCCTTTATATCTAAATTGTTTAAGTAATCAGATAAGATATGAGGAATAAATTTACCCTTCAATTGAAAAGCAATTTAACATTTTTTATCAAAACCTTCAAAACTAGAAGGGAATTTGAGTAAATATTAATCTAATTGATTCTCATCTCTATCTAAAAGACAAAGCTATTCAAATCCATATATATCATTTGGATTATTCTTAATAAATAATTTCAAAACAGAAACATCATTTTAGATATTCATTAATCTCAAATACCCAATTCTATTATTTGGATTATCATTTATAAATTAGTTCCAAAGTTCAATTTATTGAGTAGGTAATAAATCACATAAACAATCATAAACTTCAATTGAATCTGGATTTTCTTTTAAGTACTTTTTATAGATTTCAATTCCTTCTTCAAATTAATCTAAAAATTCAGATAGAAATCTAACTATGTATTATAATATAAATATAATTACATGCCTGATGATAATATTTAAGTTATACTCTTGTTTACTTCAAATAATCATCAATTACTGTTTAATAGTCTTAATTGAAATAATTGTGTAATAAGCATAATTTGCGAACCAATAAATGTCTATCTCTAAATAGGGCTTATTATGTTGCATGATTGATTTCACGAAATAATCTTTCCTTCTATTTTTGTGTTATGCAACATTAGAATTAATTGTATTAAGTGAATTCCTAACAATCTAATAGGATAGATTTTAAAGACATGACAATAAATTTATCATCTTCTTATAGATATTTTCTCAATACTATAATAAAATTGGTTATAGAATGATAGAATACATTAATATTGCCATGAATTGGGGAAAACTTATTATAACATTAGTGTATTATTGTTTTTTAAGTATTATTATGCTATTGATTATCGTAAGAGTTAGAAAGATTATGGAAATTCCTTCTTTTTATAATGCAATTAGGAAAGAACTTAAGACTTATCAATTTGATTTGTTTAATTCATATAATTAATATATAATTGATTAATATATTTAATGTTAGCCTCACTCACAAGCAAATTTAAAGTCAAAAGACGTCACACAAATTTAGAATGCTTAAAGAGGTGATAATGGATAGCAGAAATCAAGGTTAAACAAGAGATCATCGACTCTTCCAAATTACAAATGAATGAATTAATGATTATTTGGTTTTACTAATTGGAAATTTTTGACTGAAGGTTTATCTACTCTTCCATAAAAGTTTAGAACATGAGCTTTCATTTTTGCATCCCATCTAGGAGGTTTATTTATGAATTCCTCAATGAATTCACGCTTATTATTTTAATAATCATATTAAATTCCTTCATTATTATGAAGAGGTTAAAATACTTTTGGAATATTCCTTTCTCCAACCTTAGGTATTAATACTTTCATTTTTCTAGGTCCTTTATTCTACATAATATGACTTTCATAATAAGCAACTCCCAATTAAGTTCTAAATTAGGATGTGTCTTTACACTTCTTTAAATTCTTACCTTCATCCCAAAGTATGAATTCTGTTCCAAGGAAATTAGATCTAACCTTACCCAAAAAGCATGATTTTTTGGTTGAGAATTCTCTCTTATCCATTGAAATGACATAATTGGAAGTAGTATTCATGACTACTTTTTTTGCACTAAATAAGTATACATCCTCTTCAGTTGTGTAAACATGATAAACTGGATATAATCTGGCAAGACCACTCTTATCTCTTTTAATATAGCATTATAATGTTCTATCTTACATTAAAGGACTTGTAAGAAATGCTCTTCCTTAATCTTAACCTTGCATTTATTCTTTTACATATTAAATTTCAAGTTTAGGAGGGAATGGATTGACTGAGACATGACTTGAATTCATTTATGATGATGGTGGTTATAAGTTCAATTATTGTTATTGCTATGATTCTTGAAATTGAGATTGTTGATCATTATCTTCAATTCTCTGTAATTCAAGATGTCTTGGTTATACTTGCTAATTTACATCCTCCACATCTACTTATTCACCCATCTCTGATTAGAAGTTGACAACTGATTAATTATGCTAATCTCTTTCATCAGTATTATTTGATGATTCTTCTGATTAATTTTAAAGATTATTGGAATTTTTGTATTATATCTATTGAAACTAATTCTGTTATTCATATTCTTATTATTGTTGTTTTTGTATTTTCATTTATTATGCAGCTGTTTAAGGTCTATTCAATCTAAGGTTATTTAAGTCTTATTCTTATTAATTGATGTATTGCATTCCTGGTTCATGAATAATTTCTTCATCTTAGAAGTCTTTTCTTATTTTCATTTGTTGCTAAACACTTGTTTTATACTTATTGTCTTATTTATTATTATTATCATCATCATCAAATTAAATGATATTATCCTCTTCACTATTCTTTCTACTCATATTTTAAATTTATTATAATAATAATTAATCAAAAATAGAAACACCTTTTATCTCCTTTTTAATCTATTTTATTTTATCAATATAAATAATATTCTACATTAATCTCTAATAATTATATATATATGTATCACTTATATAATTTCATTTAAATATAATACCTTTATATTATTATTATAAATAAAAATGATAAACATAAATATAATTTAATCAAATAACTCTAGCAAAAGTCCATCCCACTATTCTATTTAATTTATAATTTTCCTCACTATAATCACTGTCTCCTATATTCTAAATATATATAATTAAATATTATTTACATGAGTAGAATTCTTCATAACATTAACCAAATTTTCTTATGTTTATCCAAAATTAACTTTCTCCTCTGGATTATTCCAATCCAACCATTCATGTTATTTTATGATACTCCAATTAACCTAAGATGGAATTTTGCATCCAATCCTCTTATTTGCCTCTTTCTATAACAAACTCTACAATAAAGATTAACATGCTTTGCTTAATCTAGATGGAATCTCAAGATTATCATTCCTAATATTATTATACAAAGTATCCAAATCTTCATTAAAATATGGAGGTTCACCAACAAGTAGCTCATATAAAACTGTTCCTATTCCATAAACATCTGTTGCTTGTACAGCTCCTTTCTATGAAAGTACTTCTGGTGCAAGATAAGCAGGAGAACCACAAAAAGTTCTTGCTTTCCCATTTTCAATTTATTTAGAAAGTCCAAAATCAACTAACTTAATTTTATTTTCATTGTCTAAAAGAACATTCTCAGGCTTTAAATCTCTATATAGAATATCTTTACTATGTAAATATTCTACTGCTTTCATTAATTACCTTATAATGATCTTACATATTGATTCTTTAAATGTCTTATGTTTATATAGATGAAATGATAAATCACCTCCTCCACAATAATCCATAACTAAATATAGATTATTGAGTGTTTAAAATGATTGAAATAAATTAACAATATAAGGTGAATCTACTTATTTTAATATTTCACATTCAGTAACAGCAAATTTTACTTATTTCTTTAATAGCAATTTTCTTTTGTTTAATTATTTCATAGCATAAACTTAATTAGTAGGATTATATTTAACTAAAAACACTTTACCAAATGCTCCTTCTCCAACCTATTTAATAATAGTATAATTTATTAAATATTTTTTGTACTATTAATTATTTCCATGATTATGATTATCATCAATTGGTGAAAGTGTTTTAATAGGAGATTATTATTATTATTAAACTTATTATTATTATTATTTTTATTATTATTCTTAAACTTCTTAAGCTTCTTTCTATAAATTTTATGCAACCTAATCATTTAAAGATTAACATCTAGAATCTGCTATTATATTAAATTAACCACCACCACCACTCACTATATATTAATTCAATGCCATTATATCTCCTTATACAGATAATTATGCAATCCTCCTTTCAGTTTCTTTATAATACAAAATCGAATCTTCAATACTCTTCTTCCAACTCAAAATTGTATTCTTACTTTTTGAACAAAACTACAATATCAAAATTCCACTCTTCTTATATTAAACCTATCATATGATATTCAGTTTCAATTACACTCAAATATTCGTGATCACCTTTCATATACCACTCTCTCTTAGGATTCCATACTGAAACTACATTTGACAATGCTATCATTTCTATTGGATTTAGAGGACAATCCCTTTCAGTTTTATATCTACAAAGTGTACCTGCTTCTGGATCTAAGGTTAAGTAACGTTTATAATGAAAGAACTTCATCACATTCACTTTTTTAATATATCCTTTCTGAGCTTTAGGTTTAACCAATTCTTATGTCTTATTTAACTTCTATTAGCAATGGTAAGTCACTAATTAAGTAGCATATAGATCTCCTTTAATTTCATTTAAATCAATGGCTTAAACATCAAATTGTGGATGTTTGAGAATGAGTTCTACTATGTCCAATTCTCCTTTTTAGACTGCTAATTGTAAGGCACTCTTGCCTTATGAACAATAATTCACATCGCAGACTTACTTACTAAGTAGTAATTTGGCACATTCAATTTTTGAATTTTTTAAAGCTAATTGAAGAGGAGATTGTCTATCTTTGGTACAGAAATTAATATCGGCACCTTCATCAATAAAATAGACTACTAGTTCTTCATGGCCAAATTGGTTTGCATAATGGAATCCACTAAATCCACAATATTATCTGTCGTTAATGATATCGAAAGATGGACTTTTATGATTGCTAACCATTGCTTTCACTGCTGGAATATCATTGCATTTAACTAACTAATAAATTGAAACATAATAATTACCTTAATGAATTCAGCAGCAATATCCATTTAGGATTTATGTATAGTTGTAGATTTCTTTTTATTTTCATCTTCTTCCTCTGAATCTTCATGCACAATTCCCAATTTCTCATATCCCTTCATACGATTGTAACCTTTCTAAACTTCCAATACCTCTGTTTCAGGAACTTCTTCTTCAACAACTTTATTCTCTCTATTGACATAGATGAATTAGCAATCTTCTGGATTGTAACTAAAAAGATGTCTATCATCTTCAAGAGTATATTCATTTAAGATCAATATCTGATCATCCTCACGAATATCAGTGAGTTAAGCAATTTGTTATTTCAATTGAAATACTTTGATGTTGGGATTCACCTTACATGTTTTGGTACTCATGTTACCCCATTAAGAACAATAACGAATGATAATTTTCATTATCTAATTATGTAGAATAATGTGATGTTTTTAATACTGTAATGTACAATTATACTAATATATATATAGGTCAATTAATCACTTCTTAGCTAAGTATTCCAACCATTTCTGCCTAATATTCTGAGCATAGATGGAAGGCAAATTTCGCTAAAGAGCTTACTATAAGATATCTCCTTCGCCTAGTTTCTCAGCTTCTTAAAGAGCCTTCTATAGTACAAAGGTTCCAAATTTATTTTTCATCAATTCTAAACAAATGCAATCTTGTGACAATTGTTTAATGAATCGTTTTTATGTTTTTGCAGAAGTTTCCAAAATACATTTCTCTACAACATTTGAAGAATATTTGTGTATTGATAATTGTACTAATTTCTACAATATTTTATCAATAATTGGTGTACATTTCTAATCTCCATATACCTATATATATATAAATATAATATAATTACATCAATAACATGTTATACACCATAATTACCAAATGGATCTTATACTATATCATCTAATTGATCACGCATCTTAATTAAAATAAAGTTGCATTTCTCTAGATTATTTTTAAATTTAGAAATTAGATCCTTCAAAACACAAAGTCCAAATTGATGATTAACTACTTAAATGAATCTCTCCATTAATTTGCAAAATATCATATTTAAACGATCTTCTGAAAATCTAGCTATAATTTTTTTAATTAAATGTGTTCCTTGACTATCTAAAGTGAGATAAATGATATGATTTTTAATGCTATTTTCAACCATTTCTTCTTCTTATTTTGATGATATCAAAGAAACCAAAGATTAAATAGCATGAGTACCTTTTTTATCACATGCAATATCCACTAAATGATTAGAAATCTGTAAAATATTTATTAATAAAATGTTACTGTTTGTAAAATATATAATCTTTAATGAGGAGCACAACTTTAACTCAAACTACCAAACATATAATTGGCATATGGATCAACCATTAAATCTCCTATATGTGGACCTATTTCTTGTAATAATTGATCCAATTCCATTTATGTACAAGTAGTAAAATGTTTTTATATAAGACGACTACCATGTTATGTCTTTACAAAATTGACTATATTGCCTCGTATTTATTCAAAACTTTATAAATCTTCTGTCCATTCATCTGGTTGAGTTTATTCTTCTAATTGAAATGATTAGAAACGAACTCTTTATTGAACAGGACCAACTTATGGTGTAAAAATACGAGTTTTAGGTGAAAAGAGAAATGAATCAACAATAGGAGATGATTTAGGTGATTATTTTGTTAGATGCTTAGAAATATCTGGAGACAAGTTAATTTGTAAAGATTTTAAGCACAATTATGGTTGATTGTGTTCTTCTTCTAGTTACATTGAAATACATATGTCATCATATCCGATACAGATGTAATCACTTGTAACTTTATTTGCATTATAGTAGAATTCATAACTATGTACATTTTTTGATTCTTGCATGAGATTACTATCCATAATGTGAACATCAATTTGAATACGTCCTTGCATTAATGGTACAAGGTGTTTTTATCTTTTTCCAAAGTACTCTCTTAAATTTGCATAATCAATTAAGATGGATGTATTTTTCTTTTATTTGAGTGTTGTGGAATGAGTAAGATTGAGGTAGGGTTATTGTGCAATGGTATGAAAAATTTTAAATTCTACAAAGACTTTAACATTTAGATCTAGGAGGTCGTAGTCAACTGGTACTCTTTCCATTATTTAAGCATGTTAGATTTAATTAGTTAAGAGAGCAAGTTATGCTGTTTTATGTTTGCAAGAATGGGCACATTAAGTATGGACATCAAAATACTGGGAGAGTAGATTGGAGTACAATTATGTATGACCTAATTGAACATTTTGGTAACAAAGCGGGCAGACTGAATTTTCATTTTGGCTCTTTCCAATTATCTCATAATCCTCGTCCACTACTAAAAACATACACTTAACTCAACTACTTAAGGATTCTTCTAATGTGCTACTACACTTTCGGGAGTCTGACTCACTAAAAGTACAATAATCATTTAAATTCTTACTTGGCGCATTTAGAGAAAATCTCTTTGAATTCATTCGGAACAGGGTCATCCCATCCGAATAATGGGTAGATGTCCTCAGTCATATTATAAACTTCTTGTATTTTAAAATAATAAATTGCTGACGAAAGATTGTAAAATTTAATTGGACCATTTTCTAAATGCGTCATATGAGATATTAAAATGCCATTATCTTTAACTACAATAAATAATTCAATAAGATCATAGATTATATAAATATATATAGATAGATAAATCTTAATTATATCCAAACTCACTTATGAGAAGATGAGTTTACTATTAAAAAATCATAACAATCAAATTTCCTATACGATAAATTCTAATATATTAAACTATTTCGTTCATTTCTGAATCTCATAGGAGTGATATGTTATGATTTTGAAGGCTTATTAATCTTTGGTAATCTTAAAGTTGGCATTTCAAAAACTTTCATTTGTTTTAATTCATATACTAATTATGGACTTGGTTACTTTTTCTATAGTTCCAATTTTGGATGTCTGCTTAATTCATATAACTTAGCTATTCGATAAGGTTTAATTATTTATTCTGATTACATTATTTTAAAAAATATATGTCTTAAGAATAAGAATTACTTACTAAAATGAAATCCTTAGAGGAGGATATTTAAAATAGACATAGACAAATAGTGTCTTTGACAGATAAGGTGGAAGAATTACAAAGATCAATTTAGAATAACTCTGAAGTATAGATAACTTATAAATAAATTAGGTTGTTGAACTAAATGAAAAAGTTAGAATGCTTGAGTCTTAGAACATAAAATTGATTGAAAAAAATCAAAATGACGTAGTAGAGTGGAGATCAAAGGAACGTGATTTCAATGTATAAATCAATAGTTACACTAGAATCAAATTCAATAATTACAACGGAAGTTGGGTGAAGTAGAATCTGAACTCACTGAGACTAAAGAATTGAATAAACAATTAATCAATAAATCAAGTGAGTCTTCTGATTAACAATCACAGTTACAACAAATTACTTAACATTATGAACATCTACTATCAGAAAAGGATTCACATATTAAAGAACGAGATGTTAAAATAGCTGAATAGGATCTAATAATAAGCAATTTATAAAAAGAATTATCTCTTGCCTCAGAAAGGGAATAGACATCTCGAATTATTCAAGAATAATTAAATGAATAATTGAAAATATTAGAAAAGAGATAAAGCGAATTTACATAATAGAATGAAAAAATGGCCATTTTGAATGATGAAATCAAATCACTTAAATTATTAAAGGATGAATTATAAAGTGAAAACACTTCACTTAAATCTTAATTATCTGAATTAACATCTAATAATCAAGAACTCTAAGGGAAAGTGAAATAATTAGAAGATTAAACTAATAAAGAATAGATTCAAATCTAAAATCTATAAGTTAATCTCAAGGACTCATAAAGAGAATATAAAGAAGAAATGACTAAAATTATGTAAATATTGGAGAAAATGAAAGAAAAAGTAATAATATTAATTATATTTAAGCATACTAATGAATAGGAATAATACAAGTAGAGAATGCATGAAAGAGATGATATTTTAAAAGAAGCCAAAAAACAATTTGAATAAACTACAAAACAATTCGAAAAGTATATATTAATATATTATATATTTTAGAGAAAATAATAATTTAATTACTTAAATATAATAAGCATAAAAGACATAAACAGAGTAATTGAAAAAGATTTCGGATCTGGAATTTAAACTTAGAGAATTAGAATCTAAACTACAAGAGAGTAATAGACAATATATAAAATAACTTGAACATTCTAAATCACTTGATATTGAAGTATATAATTATAAATAAAAAATTAGCTCAAAAAAGCTATTTCAATCTAATAGAAATTATAAGAATAAATGATTATTAAAGATGAAGAAATGCAAAAAACAAAATAGTTTTAATTGAAATTATTATAAGAAAATCAAGATTTAAAAACTAAATTAGATCATTATCTTTAAGTTAATTAAAAAAGTAAATCAAATGAATTACAAAATTTAAAAAATTAATTATTAGAAAAAGATCAAGAATTAGAATTATTGAGATAATAATAAAAATCATTAGCTACTCAATTAAAAACTAGTCAAGGATATGTGACTAGATTTAAAGGCAGAGTTAAATAATTAGAAATGGATAATACAGAATTATTAAAAGCTAAGAATAATTTAGAAACATTATTTCAAGAGATCTTAGAATAAACTAAATAAAAATCAAATATCAAAAATTTATCAGCAATATCAAATAATCCTACAAAATATTAGATGAGTCTCTTATCACAAAGAAAGAATTATATGTAAGAAAATACATCAACTCATTCATAAGAAAATAGATCATCAAGTTAAAAGTCTAATAATACTACACCAAATAAAGTAGCTAATAGTGGTGATGTCTCATTTAAAAGACCAATTTAAGTTAGTGGACATAAAAAATCTACTCATTCAGGTTCTTAAGAAAATATTTCCATCAAATAATAAAATGAACTCAATGAAATTAAAGAATTAGATGAAAGTTAATAATAATAAACTAAAGTTTAACCTTAAGATGACTCTTAACAATAAATTAATTAGATTGACAATAAAGAAGATACTCAGAAATTAATTGAAACTAAGGAATAAGAATAGATTATAAATGAATAAGAAAATAATAATGAAGAAGTTGAGGATTTCTTGGATGATCAAAATGATCTTGATTGATTATTTATATATTAAATTTTTATCTATATATATATCTATATATTTATTAATAATTTATTAATATCTAATATATAATAATTAATTTATCAATAATGTTTCAATCACATATTTTAGAAATAGATTAAACACTAATTTGTTAACAACACAACTCTCCAATTACTATTATTGTTACTGAATAAAATTTTAAAGGTGAAGAAAGACTTTAATGTGAAATATGTTGGAAAAATAATTAACATAGTTTGCATACTACACCATACTAGTTATATTTAGAGAAAATTAAAGAATAATAAGATGATTTCTGTAAACATTTAAACATAATAATAATGAAAAATTTATCTATGATTGAATAATTAAAAGATTCTATTAACTAAATTAAGACTCAATTCAGCTAAAAACTGAAGGATTGTGAAGAAAAGATAACAATATGGAATACACAGTTGATGGAATTAGGAAATTAAAATTCTTAATATAGCATTTATAATGAAATTAATATGTTAGTAAAAAATTAAAGTAAGATGAATGATCTATTAGAATTAATAAGAAATATTAAAAGTTTAAATAATGATTATTCAAGTAAAATATAACCCTAATTGAATAATGTTATGGATACTACAAAATATGATAATTGTTTATAACATCTACTTGATATAAATTAAATGGATATATTGGAATTGATTGATAGTAGTACAATTCTTACAAGCATTACATAAGTATATATTATTAATAATAAAAGAATATTATGAAAAAGAAATCATTATGTTAAGTTCATAATTAAGAAATTGTTTATGTAGATAAAAGTTAAAATGTTGATATTGAATAGAGAACTTCTTGTTTAAAGTGTAATAGAAGGGTTGGTGATATTCTTGAAGATTTTTTGAAGTAATGGGAAATTTATTGTAAAGATGGTAAACAGTAATTAAAGGATGAATTTTATGATTTAAAATCTTAAGTATAATTTTCAAATAATATATTGAAATCAATAAAATAAGATATATGTTAAATTATTGATGAAAAAATCGATGAAAATATTAAAATATTAAAATCTAGTTATAATAAATATTATAGTGGTGTATGGGAATTAAATAATTTATTAAATCAAGAAGGATTAAATAATATTGCATTAAAATTAAGTATGGAAGAGAGTTATTAGGTTTGTAAATAGATCTATAATCAAGATAATGGTATTTTGATGTCTAAAATTAATTACATTTTGTAATAGTTAGAAAATTATACTACAAAATATGATGTTAAAACAATAGAATATTAAGATATAAATAGTATTAATTAAAATAAGAATTAAAACAAAGATTAAAATGAATGTGATGACTATTTATGTTTAACAATAGCATTTAATAATTCAAATACAATAATGTTATCTGGTTTAGGTGAAAAAATTAAATCATGGCTATTTATAGATGGATAATTAGTAGAAGTTGGTACATTAGTAGGTCATACAGATAATGTTTCATGTTTAGTATTTAGTAAATATTCAAATTCTTTTGTATCAGGAGCATTAGATTATGGAATTAAAGTATGGAAAGAGAAAACTTAATTTAAATGGGAGGGCTCTTAACTTTATATATAGCACTTTGATTTTATAAGTTGTCTAATTTTAAGTTAAGATGAGGATTTCTTATTCTCAGGAAGCCATGATAGAACAATTAGAATATGGAAATTGGATTTTACTTAAAATTTATTATAATAAGTTTAATGTTTAGAATATCATACAAATCAAATTTTTAGTATGAGTATAAATAATTCACAATCACAATTGGTTTCATGTGGATAGGATAAATAAATTATTCTTTGGGAGAAAGGAAATAATAATCAATGGTAATTTAAACATAAAATAGAATAATCAATATAAGACTTTGGATATAGGATATAATTTATTAGTGATACTCAATTTATTTGGTTAAATAAAGGTAAAAATGGTTATATATGTTTTTTTGAACTTGATTAAGGAATATTTATAGAAAAATAGAATAAATAAATTGATTTAGGTAATGATGATTTTGAAGATGAGGATTTCTTTCCAATATGGTATAATCATAAAATATAAGTGATATTTGTCAAACATAAGAAAACAATTTATACATTTAAAAAAGATAAGGATGACAATATAAATCTTATAACAAAAATCTAAATATTCAATCATCCAAAGTTTTATGGATAGTTTACTAATAATGGTAAATATTTGGTTGCTATTTATTAAAAGGAAAATAAAAACCAATAATAATTTATCATCAAATAATTAGAGTATAAATGAATTTTTTATTATTTTATAAGAGATGATATTTATTTAATTTATTAGATTATAAAAATAATAATTTTCACATTCTTATAAAATCTTATAAATTATTAATAATAAATAATTTAAATGAATTTGAAAAAATAAAATTTAGAATGATTTCGTAGCTATTAATCTTAAAATTTACATTGATTAAATATTCAATCATAATCTATTTAATATTGTTCATTAAGATAGAGACATAACGAGATTGTCTAATCAACTAATCAGAGGTGAATTATATTTTAAATTAAGGCATATTGAAATTATACAACAATAATATCAAACCATAAGGCTAATGAAAATTACTGTAAATGTTGGTTAAGTTAAGTAAGAGGATCAACTTATTTCAGGAAGTAATGATAAATCGAAAACATCATACAAAATCAATAAGAATATTTATCTATATTCATTAGATAATAATATATTAAATCAAAGATCAAAATCATTTATAAAGAGCGATTTATTATATATAAAAAATTAGTGATATGTTAATATAAGGAAAAGTGGAAAAGTATCTTATCAAAATCGACAATTTAAAATAATTAAGGAATAATAAAAGAAGGTCTCACTTATCATCAATATTTATTGTATAATATATTTTAAATGGTGGGATATGATTATAAAGGGATTAATATCCTAATTGGAATAGAAAATTGTTTGTTATTGTTTTTTTTATATTATTTATTACATAATATTCAACTAATAAATTAGTAATATAAATAAGTATATTTCACATGCTTAAGATGTAAATTAAAGAGAGTAGAATTCCTTTATTATAAGATTAATGATTCTTAATCAGCAAATATATGTTTGTTGAATTTCATAGTTTAAGTAAAGTATTTTTACTGTAGATCTAAATTCAATTCAATTTCCATAATTTTTGAACTATATATTTATTTTTCAGGATTACTACTTAAACATAAACTAATTTCATCTTTTCAAAACTATTTAGTTTATGTGAGTGAATATTATTAATAAAGATTATTGAATTCTTCTAGTTTGTTTTTTGAAATTGATTTCATTTTATTATAATATAGCTGTTGCCATATTAAACTTAAAATTATTAATAATAATTAGACAATATAAATATATTATATATATAAATTAATTAATGGATCAATTAGATTAGAAATAGTTAGAATAGCTTAAGTAATAATAAGCTTAGAAGGAATAAATGGAAGAAATCAAAAAGTCTATTCTGACTTAAATATTGACGCCTGAAGCTAAATAAAGATGTATTTATTTTGAATGTTTAATTTATAGTGGCAAATATCAAATTGGTTAAACCAGAGAAGGCAGAAATGATTGAAGTTCAACTTTGTTAATGGGCCAAGCAAGGGAAGATTACCAATTAATTATCTGAAGAAGAATTGATCAAATTATTAGAAGCAGCAGAAGGATAGAAAAAACAAGACACAAAAGTTACTGTAATTTTTTAATCTAAATTACATAGTTTAAGAGAAGAAAACTTTCAAGTGAAGATGAAGATGACATTTGATCTGTGTTACAATTATAAATAAACAATTAAACAAAAACTCATGTTGATAACTCTCTTAAATAATCAAAACAACCAAATTAAATGGTAGCTGCTGGAACTACTCTAATAAGTGTTATCCAAAATCCTCTATAATAAGACAATAATCCTTCTTTTCTCATTTTTTTCACACAATCAGAAAATGAAACATATGCTCTTTAAGCTCCCAAAGATCCATTAATTTAAATTCTTCTACGTATAGTATCAATTGGATATGTGAGTGCAGTTGCAGTCAAAGTTGAAATAGATCCAATTCCAATTAATTATGCCAATTAAATCCAAATCTAATCAGATTTATTTTCTATTGGTATATGATCTTTTAATTCATCATGAACAAGAAAACTAATTCCTAAGTATGGTATAGTGCCACAAGAGGATAAAATGAATCCCTGATACAAAGCTGAAAATCCTTATGTTTTGAGAGTCTTCTTAAGACAATCAAAGATGCCTGTGTATAAACGAGCTTTATTGAAATGACTCATATCAACAGTCAATTTAACACGCAAAACTTCAAGAGGATAATGTATAAGTTGATTAAGTAGACCTGTACAAAATCCTGCCACCAATCTATTTGTCACTTATCTAGTATACTATATTATAAATTGATAACATATTTACATTTTCTTTTTGTCGATATTCAGAAACATATTATTTGAATTTATCATAAACAGTAAAACGTATTGCAGCATTAGGAATAGTCTTAATTACATTAAGACCATTGCCTCTCCAAAAAGAGTATAAACCTTGAGTTTTGTAGATTTATTTAATTCCTGACCATGTTCTATCAATCTTGTCTTCACATTTAAGAATTGGACTCACTTACAAAATCAATTTGACTCTTTCTAAAGGAGCAGTGGCTGTTTTACTAACAGCATATGAAAATGTTGTCACAGCCATGCATTTCCAAAATGTTAATCTTCTATACTACTTAGTTTCAGGATAATTCATTTTTATAATTTAATTATGACAAAAAATTGAAATACATATAATACATTAATTCTTCAAGATTTTCTAGAGATACGAAGAGTTTTTTATCTCTTCAAACTAACACGAAGACGAGATGACTTTTCTTGACCCATTTGATTATTATCTTCATCTAAAAAAATGAAAGAACTCTATTCAATAATGGAAGACACGAATCTCTCTACATCAGAATGGATAAAAAATTGATTCTTGAGTTACATAGCATAAATGTCATTGCTTAATTTAAATATCCTCTAACGTAAAGTCAAGATATCTACAGTTTCTCTAACAAACTTTAATTACAACTTTGCAGATTTCATCTCCTACCTGTATTTCATTATTTCTCTTTATTCCTTAATGTGAGATCGATATCTCTCTCTCATCAATAAAGTAATGAATAAATTCTAAAAATATATTTAATATCCTTTCTCATATAGAAATTTAACCCAAGTTAAAAATCTCTTATCAGCTTTGTGCAAAGATTAATATTAATGTATCTTCATTGTATACTAATCCCATTTCTAAATCATTCTTGCTTTGTATTCTCTAACATTCTTTACAAATTAATTTAAATTGACTCTTATTAATTATAATTTACCACTTGTAATCAAAGCCTTCTTTTTAAGTAAATATAAACTAGCTCGCCATTTCAAAAGTGGTAAAACAAGAATCAATGAATTATGAATGATTCTCCTCTTTGATTACTTACAGAACATAGTCAAAGCCATCATAGTTTATCCTACTGTCCTATAACCAAGATCCTCACGATTTAATTTGTAATCCTCTCTAAACTTTCTCATTCTTAATTAAATGCTTATAATCATCATTTTATTTTTCTTCAATTATTTCCTTCTTTATTACAATATATAATTTAAATTATCTACTAACTTAATAAAATGTAACAATTCACCCCAAAGAAATGTCTATTCTCTTCTTCTTTCCCTATTTCTTAATGTTAATGTAATTAATTTATATTCATCATGAGCCCATTCTTTAGCTTAAAAATCAAGATTTTTTTATTGATTGGCTTCAATTATGGCTTTCTTTTGTAAATTTCTTGTTTTGAGTACTTATAAGAAACGATCAGATCTACTCACTTCCATTTCATATTTATTTACTTTCTTAACTGCCTGTATCTTATTTTGATTAACAATAAATTAAGGCATTCTTGGTATATCATCACTCATTTATACTCTCTCATGATTACTTGATATTCTTATTAATTTCTTAAAAGAGTCTGTCTATCCATAATATATCATAAATTTTATGTCTGTTTATTTACGAGCTACAAATGCTAAATTAAGTTTCTCTTCTCCATTATGTCTTACAGTCCATGTTCTATTTTTTATTACTTGATCACAATTGAATTTAGTTGGAAATGGAGAGTTAAAAGATATCATTATTTAAAAGTCCCCATCACAATATACTGTACAATTCAGAGGAGATTTTTAACCTTTTGTAGTAATATTACAATAATAAAATTCCATTGGATTCACTTTATATACTTTCCCAGAAATGAGTGTACCACCTAATAAACATTCTGGATGAAAATTAGGTTCAGTAGTTGTTTGCTTTAATGCATAACGAAGACTCTTTAATTCTTCCACACTTTCAAGCATCATCCATGATCTCTGGAATTTTTCTGTTGTTTCTTCCAATATACGAGATTGATCAAATACACCAGAACCACTTGTTTGAGATCTGTAGTGTGAAATAGATGGAGAATAAAGCTAATTGACTGGTCTAATTATTGATTTCTTCATTATATAATTATTATATATTCTTGATAAATTTAAGTAGTTTCCAATTATTACATTAACACTCCATATCAATCAGAACATACAAGAATCAATGATAAATGTCAATTTTATCAACTCTATTTATATCTATAATAAGTCCAGAGTATACAAATTAAAAGTTTTCTATATAAAATGAAAATTATTATTTAGATAATTATTATAATTAACAAAACATGATTCAATATCTATTGATTATTAATAACATATTAATAGAAAATCGATTATTTTATTAACATGATGATAAATCTAAAATAAAATTATTATAAATAAATTTATATAAGATATTATTATATTCATTTGTTTTAAATGTCAAATTAATTAATAAAATATTGTATAAAATTTATATTGGGTTTAGTGTTTTAGATATTTCAAGCTAGTTTTTCTATTTCTATATTATCTTAAAAAATAATCTTTAATAATATAATCTTTAATTATATAATCTTTAATTATATAATATTTAATGATCTATAAAATTTAGTTATAATTTCATTTATAAATTATGTTTAAATAACAAATTTTAGAATCTAGTATTTTTTAAACAATTCATCATCATTTAGAAGAGCAAGTTCATGTAAAATCAAATAAATTTATAAAACTTGAGACTGAAATTGAAATGATTGATATGTCATTAAAGTAATTATAAGAATAATAATCTGAATTATTAATAAAATGTTTAAAGTAATGGATTATATCTGAAAAGTACTTTAAGGTGATTAAGATTTTAGATAATGTAAAACATGATAATAAGAGATTGTTGGAATTACTCAAACTTTATGATATTTTTATTATACATCAAAGTGAAAACTCAGTTCAATATATATACAGTAATAAATTTAGTTAAGTTAATTAAAAGTAAGAAGATTACTTTATAAATCAATCATAAATAACCTATATATTTAAATTTTCATAATTAGGTAACATAAATTAATAACATGATCTATTTGTGAATGTGATGAAATTGATTAATTGTGTATATCCACTTTCTACATTGACATTTAAATGGATTCCATATAAACATTTGAATTTACTACTTGATAGTTAATCATAATCTTATGATATTAATGAGGTGATAATGAAATTGTTTGATTTATTTGATATAATATAATGGAAATAGATTGATTATATGGAATTATTATCTACAATGATACCAGAATCAGATATGTTGATGTATAGGAGTCCTTAAGAGTTTTTTGATTGTGCATTAGGAAAATAAAATGTTTATGAATAATATTTGGATGGGAAATGTATATCATTTATGAAGGGTTAATTTTAATTTAATTGTATTTGTAATTAAGAATTTAAATAATTTTTGGTTTTGGGTAAGACAAGATCAAGATTGTTAAATGTTAAAGATCAAATAAAGATTGCAGAATTAATAAATATAAATTGCAAATCAAATAAGAGTATGATTGTTTTTATAGAATCAGAGGATGAAACATTTGATATAGAATCATTTGAGTAAGTGTGTCATTAAAATCCAAAATTGTTTAGATCTTAACATTTTTAGATGGAAAGTTAATAAAATGCTATATTGATAGATAAAATTGCAATGTTATATCTTTCAATGTAAGATGATCTTAGTAATATGTTCTCTTAACTTTCAACAGAATAACATGAGATAATTTATAATTCATTTAGAAGTGCATTGCTAAACAAATTTGTAATTGATAAATTATGAATTATATTTTTTTAATAAATTTTATTTGACAATGTAATCTAGTGGATAAAAATCTCAAATAATAAAAAGAACAACATTTTTGAATACATCTTCTGCTTTTAGTACTAATAGTAGAACTAATTCTATAATATAAGATAATAATTAAAAAAAAGAGTTAAGAAGGTATATGATATTGATTATATATATAATTATAGGTATCCAACAGAATGGGCTGAATAAATAGATAATAAATCAGATAATAGATTTCATCATACCATAATAAATAAAAGTAAAGAAGAACACAATCCAAATTTGGCATCACCAAGTAAAATATTTGGAATCTAAGATGGGTATTAATTAATATAATAATCATTAGCAATAATTCAAGTAGATTTCATACAACTAATGAAGATTTATTATCTTCATTCAGAAAGAAGAATCAATCACTAGGAAATTTGGGAAGTTGGTAATTTACTTCACCATAAACACAATCATCATTGATTTCAAAATCTAATACAAACAGAACTCTATCTAAAAGAATAGATTAATCTATTCCACTATCTGAATTATTGGAGATATCAAGATAATTAGATTGTTCATAATAAGATGAAATCAGATAATTATCACGAGGATATGTTAATCAACTTTTCCAATTATCATAAACTATTGAAAGAGTACTTCGAAATATTAAGAGATGAGATAATTAAATATTATTGATATTATGATAATTAGTAATTAGTATAAATCATTTAAGAATTGACAATTACATCAATGCTTTATCCTTCTAAATCTAAGCTGAATTCTTATTGTGAGTAGAAGCTGATTAATTTCTCATAATTTTCTATTTTATCTTAATTCCAGTAGCTATATATTTTTGTTCATCTAAATCCCCTAATAAACGATCATGATATTTAGTTGGACTGAATCGACTTTATGGTGTCATAGATTAACAAAATCCAATAATTGTCTTTATAATCTCAGTGGATCTTTGTTCATTATGATTACTTTACAAAACAACCATTCTCTTATGTCCAAGATATCCTTTAAAGATTGAATCAAAATGATATTAAGGAATTAAATGATCTTATTTTGATGCTAACAATATCATTGGACAAGTGATATTTAAATGTTAAGGCAATTAAATCTTATTTATATGAAATTGAAATAATTTTGCAATGCATCCTACATAACATAACATATTATACTTCTTATCAACTCATATAATCCTTTATTTATTATATCTGGAGTATGGAGCTTCAATTTTATTAAATTTATAACTACATCTTCCAAAACCAAAAATGGACTATCCAATACTAAACATCTTATATTTGCATTATTTTAAGTATACATCAAGGCTGTTGTAGCTCCCATTGATCTTCCCCATAATATAATATGAAAATATTTCTCCTTTAAATATTTAATCACTAAAGCTACATTCTCCTCCTCTTTTAAACTTCATTAACATAACTAATTACCCAAAAGTAACAAAATCACCTTAAGACTATCCAGCTGCTTAAAAATCAAATGAACAAAAATCAAAATCATTTTTGCATACAAATGAAGCATATTAAACAGCTTCTAATCTTGATCCATTATAACCATGCAAATATAAAATGCATGATTATGTATATTTATTGCATTTATATAGAGAACATTATAATCCTTATAATTAGAAATCTTATCTTGGAAAACCACATTCTAAATCTGATTTATTATAAGCAACACGTTTAGGTTACATAATTTACCTACAATAGCCATCAAACATTTTAATTTCTCTTTATTTATATATATAATTAATAATATTGTTTCAAATATATTTATTGTTAATTACTTATTGAATTACTTTTATTTTCTAATCTAAATATATATATATTTGTATCTATAAACAAAAAGAATAAAAATTCCATTTACTTTTTAATATTTTTATTATACTTTTTTTTATTATTTATATGATAAACAACATTTTTTGTCTTTATATTTTGAATATTCAATATAGACATTCTAATTGTTATAAGTAAATATATTATTATATAAAATATTATATTGATATCTTTTAGTTTGAGTAATTCTAATTTGATCTATATTACTAATGGATCAATATTTTAATACTCTAATGTTAGAATTCATAATGATATTTTTAAATTTCCTAAGTTATATGAACTCATTAAATATATATATCTACTTAAATTGATTTATTGTACAATATCAGATAAGATAACTATTATTAATAAAAGTTTATATATAGATCATATGAAAAGAGTTAAAAAAATACGTATGCATACTCTTACTGATGAACGATTATCACCTCTAAAATTTCCATCAATTTAATAAATCAATAAGACTATTTAAGGTGAAGATGGAACAGTAAATATTAATTACATTAATCAAAAAGGTTTTTGAGATGCGATAATTGATGAGTCGAGCCAATATGTGTACAAGTAATAAGACTGTTAGAACATTATAGAAAATTACTAATGAATAAAGTGAAAGGAAGGATTTGTAATTATTGTAGCAATGGACAGATGTAATATACATAAATAATAAGTATAGTCAATGGTGTAATAAATTTAACAACAAAATTTTTATAGTATTACAGAGTTTTATGATAAGATAGAACTCATTTATTCTGGATCTATAGGTTAACTTTGTCAACAACTTTCTGTAAAGTGCAATGATTATTCTTAATTAATTGATAAAATATGGATGTAATTCACTGGAATTGTGAAGGAGATAATTGAAAAATAATCACGGACTAATAGAATATTGGAAAAGGAAAGTTTAACAAATACAATAAAAATACATGAAAGATATTAAAATTAAATGAGTGAGAAATTACAAAGATTAAATGAAGCTGAAAAATAATTGAAGAGGAATGTTGAATATGCAGAAAAAATGAATAAAGAAAATCGTTATCTAAGGAAAAAGACTTGTAAATTGTCAACTGAACTTAGTAGTCATAATAATGATATTGAATTACTTAAATTATAATTATAAGATTTAAGTAAAGAGAATGAAACTCTTAAATTATTTTAATAAGTTAGACATTAAAATGAATAATAACATTTCACAGCTGATTTTGAAGAAGAACTCTATAAAGCTAAAAAAGAGATATTTGATGATTTTAAGTTAGTTTTTGAAGAACAGACTAAAAAGTTTGAAGAAGCTTATTAAAATAAAATATAAGATTTAGAAAGGGGTTAAGATGATAAAGCTTAGAAAGATGAAAATTTAATTGAAGAATATGAAGAAATCTTATTTAAAGATAAATGTGTTGGAAATACTGTTGAGTTCAGTGAAATATAAGTGGATACAAGCGAGTAATATATTCAATAATAAAAGCTTGATTATTAAATCAGAAATGTTCACTTAAACTATCAATTAAAAGAGAAGAACCTATGATTGTGCAAATTAGACTATGCCAATACAAAGTAATAATTAAGCCTGTGAAGCTAATTATGCTCTCATCAAAAGAGAATGTATACCTAGAAATAAAGAAGAATAAACATGTTTAGAAATGTCTAAATATCCAATTAAAACATTTACTGATGATTACTATCAATTATATATAGAAAGAGTTGAAATTGAGAAAAAGACATTTCCTATTGTTTTAGATAGCATCTTAGATAAATTGAAAACTAGATCTCTCCAAATATTCAGTGTAATGTCAATGAAAGAGGAATTATTTTAAGAAGACTTTCGTGAAGCTGATAAATATTTCCAAAATTCTTATTCAGTATTTCTGTTATTGGTAAATGATTTTTAAGATATTATCAAAAAATTGAAAGAGGAATTAATAACTCGAAAAATATAAATCTTTGAAACTTAAATTGATTGTAAATAAGCAAATAGATAAAAGATATAAACTTAAAAGAGATTTGATCTATTGGCATAAAAGTATTAATAATAAGTAAAGAATTTCAATTTCATCTCTAAATAACTTAAAGCTGTCTCTCGATTTTTACCATAATATTAATAAGATTAAATTAGAAGAAAAGCTATTCGTCATAAAATTAATTTTGAATTTCCAAAAGGTATATCACCAACTCCTATGTTAATAAGTACAAATAATTTAAATCCTCCTTCTATTCCTTAAAATTTCATGAATAGTTCTACATCTCTCTTACATCCTTAATAAACTCAACCAGCTTTGTCTATCAATCCTAAGAATTCTTTGGGGTACTTTCCACCCATGACTCCACTAGAACCCTTTCAAGATAGTAGTAACCCATAAAGAACTTCTATGGCAGAACTCAGTTGTGATTCTCCTGAAGGTCCAGAAGCATTCTCACCTTCCAAACCTATCATAGCATTAAATTGTAAAATCTCTTAATATCAAATATAGTCTTCCCAGACAATAAATTTGAAGAATCATAAAGTTCTTCAGATGAAGAAGTTGATTTATCTGAATGTTTGAATCCAGTGAAGAATCTATTATCAATAGAGAAGAAGTTATTTGTGAGTAGATGTAGTAGTAAGAACACTTAATTGGCCACTTAAACCTTATTACAAGAGATATAATAATTTCGACGAGACAAATTAGATAATATTGTCACATAAAATACGTTGATCAAAATCTTATCTAGTTTTGTATAATGGTGTCTGAAATTCAATAAATTAAATTATCCATTACATGTTTAATTGTATGAATACTTTTCAAATGAGAATTAATCTCAACCTTAAAATGTTTGGTTGGGAAAAGTAGCCAGAGTTATAAAATCTGTAATATATTATAAGAGAAGAAGTGAGACAGCAAGACTATTTCATTCAATGTTAGTTGGAGATGTATTAAGATATAATAAAATTAGTTAAGTTTTCAAATATATTTGTAAATTTTGAGTAATTTACAAAGTGCCACATTTACAGATACTGGCATTTAAGTGCTTCAATCTTAATTAGCAGATTATATTAAAGGAATGCAAAAGTTACCTCAATATGTAGATTATGATGCAGAAATATCACATCATTTGGGACCTATGCAAGATATTAAGAATCAGGAATTATTATTAAAATATTCTACAATACTATAGATTTTTGCAGAGGATGGTGAAAGATTGACTCAGAATCAATTCAGATTATTATTATTGGAATTGGAGAATAAGAGAGATGAATAATAGATAATAAATATGTTTAACAATGAATGTGATATAGAATAATAATAAGTTCAGTATATTTCGTTTTAGAGATTTGCAATAATTTGTGAAGAACTCTAATTACTTTAAGGGTTAGATGAATACTTAATTAGAAATGATGTTTAGTATTTTAAAGATATTGATATGTGGAGAGTAAGAGAAATAGAATTAAAGTTGATGTTAATTCGAAGTCATAATTATGATGCATCAGAAAGAGATTTATTTACAAGAATGTATAAAATGCATTAGCCACAATAAAGAATTATTTTGGGACGATATTTAGAAAGAAGAGCAAAGGAATTACTATTATAAAGATATACTTTAGAGTGTTTGGCACCATTTATGTAACTTTTCGAATAATAATGATAATATTTATTTTGATATTCATAAAGAAATATATATAAAATTAAAATATCACAAAAATTATTATTTAAATATAATATATATATATACTGTCTAATTTTGTGAAATGATGTGTAAATAGAAAAAAGTTAATGATGGCTTCAAACTACCAAGAATTGAGAAATCATCTGCTTATATTATTTAGACTAATAGAGATTCTTTAGATTTTCTATTAGGAAAGAATAGAAATCATAATGATTATGATTATGTTCCTTAATTGAAACAAGAAATTAAGTAGATTACTGAAATGACAACTAATCGATTAGCACGTTGTGGTAGTCAAATTTTAGATGGCTCTTCATAAGTGTTTATGCCTGTACAGTAAACTTAAAGAAGGATCAGTCAAATGGATTGTAAATATGATATTCAAAACTTTTTTATACTGGAACCAAAACCAGAGGTCAATAAACCAATTGTTATTAATAAAATTAATCGTGTACATAAGCATTACCGCTTATAAACTTTTACTGATTGGGTCAAGAAGTTATATGGTTAAGATTGGTTTAATGATTAAATATGATCACAAATTTTTACTTAAATTTGACTTAATTTATCCTATACCATTTATTCTAAACTCCTCCTATTAACAATCTTCTTATAATTGTTATTGCTATTTACTGAAAGATTGTAAAAAGATTAATGATTCCTATTTTATATTTCTCTAGACTTCTTTCTATTATAATGGGGAATCTATTTTAATAACTTTATCTAATACCATCTATACTATAAACTCTCCCAGTAATTATTGGTGTTTTCATTATGATTTACTCATGCAATTCAATTCTTTCCTTCATTTATTCTTTCATAGATGAAGTCAATGTGGCTCTAATATTAGGTGATTTAATAGGTGATGTAGATAATTAATTAATACGCATCATATCAATATTATTATGATGTAGATCATTGATCTTTTATAATTGTTAATCCAATTTACAACTATCATCTATATCCATATTCTCATCATCAAATTACCCCAAATTTGAAACATTAAATGCATTGAAATATTCATGTTTTAAAGCTTCCTCAGCACTTATACGTTATTTAGGATCTGTTTCTAACATTCTTCTTAATAAATCAAAAGCAGGTTTAGGAATCAATTCAAAAATTGATGAATTCCATTAAATTTTGGCCTCCTTATTTAAATTAACAATTGTTGTATAACTACGTCCAGGAAATACAGATTTACCAGTTAAAAGAAGATGGAATACCAAACCTAAAGAATAGATATCACAAACTTTATCATATTTTGTTGATAAATCTTTTATATTTAATACCTCAGGAGCCACAAACCTTTAAGTGTATTATTAATATGATACCCTGGAGTTCCACAACGACTGTATAAATAGATCTTTTCATGAACATATGTGGCTAGACCAAAATCAGCAAGACAAACTGTATCAATAGCATTTTGTTTCTTAAATAGAATGTTTTCTAGTTTGATATCTCTATGCATTATATCTTTTTAATGGATATGCTTAAGACCTAATTATAAATTTGAACGATTAACCCTCTAACAATCCTTTAATAATAGTTTGTATTTCCTTATTTGTAAATATTACTTTCTTTTTCAACTATTCATATAATTATCCTCCTTCCAATAATTCTAAACAAATATATAGAGAATTTGTAGTTTCATTCACTTCATATAATTTTATAATATTGGGATGATCCACTTATCTCATTAATTTGATTTCATTAATTAGTCCTTCTTTGCCATTCTCTTCTGCATATGCTATACTCTTTGAAAATGCTTTTATTGCCATTTATTAACCATCTTCTACTCGTTCTGCTAAGTAAACTGATGCAAAATTTCCTTTTCCAATTTTCTTGAACACTTTAAATAAGTGATGGAATCCATATTAATTAATACGCTTCCCTAAAAACCATCTCCATTATGTAATTATCAATTGATGAGCTATTAATTCATATTTGTCTTATTCATCTTTAAACAACCTTAATTTTATTGGATCCCCCAATTTCTCTACATTTTCAATTTGTACTTAATCCTCACTTTTGGCATTAGGCAATTTAACTAATGGAAATCCTGGCTTCATTTTAGGTGCTGTTCGAACTATCTCAAATTTTAGATCAAAATTAATTGTCGTATATTCTAATGGCTTTTTATAATGAGGGTCCTTTTTGTTAATCTCTCACAAAAAACCTCAAATATTATGAGCAGATTGTCTGTTCCAACTAAATAACGAGATTTCCCTTCCCTTAAGAATTCTGATTTTATCAAATGCACTCCTATATTTATATCATTAGTGTAAGGATTCCACAATTATTTTTTCATTTTAATGATATTTTTATCTTTTTTCTTATTAGATTTTATGTATTTCAGAGATATTTCGAGCAACATATTTCAATTGATGAAAATTAATAATACTCCTTATAGAAGCATTCATTATATTATCTTTTTGAATATATTTATTAGATGTGATTTATTTCAACTAATGAATTAAATTTTGGAAATATTAATTCAATTTAATATAAAGTATTTTTTATATAAAATATTTCTATAATTTTTATAGTAATTTTTAAATAATAATAAGAGGAACAATTACTTTAAAAAATTCATTTTTAAATAAAGCAAAAATTATGGAAATATTTATCAAACATTTTATTTTGAAATAAATTCATCTTGATTATGAGTTCTTAAAATGTATGGAATGTGAATCATTACATTTTAATTTCTGATTAGAATGTATAAAGAAAAATATAAATTAGAAAATTGAATCTATCTATTACTATTTAAGTTGATTGAATAATTTAATTACTATAATTATATTCAATCAACATCCAAGGATTAGCTCTTCTTTAAAAAACCCATTTTAGGTTTTTAAGTATTTAATTACAATAAGTATTTGTCTATGTTAGATTATTCATCATCATTTACAAAAGAATCATCCTTACTTTATTATTTTTATTGATAACTGTTTTTTAATGCAAATTTGTGAAGATCATGACGATTTTTCTTTTTCTAAGAATATTGATTATTTGAAATAAATCCTTCCTATTTCATTTGAGTACAAAATTAACTGAATTTAGAGAAATTAATTTATTACTTATCTTACTTATTATTATTACTATTATTAGAACAATTAGAAAATGATCCTATAGTATCTGTTTACCCATTCCATTATTATTATTTACTAATCAATAACAATGATCCTTCTTAGCTTTCTTGTGAACTTAAATTTAAAATATTTATTACTTCATTCTCTATATTGGATTCTTGAATTCTAATTCTTATCTTATATCTGTCTCTATTAAATCATCTTAATTGAAGATTTCTTAAAAGTATTGATGTTTTAAACATTCTTCTGCACTATATCTATCAGAAGGATCAACTTTTAACATTTTCTTCAATAAATTCTTCAAAAACTTAGGACCCTTATAAGAATTATAAAATATTAATACTTTGCTTAGTTATTTAATATCAAAATTAATTTGACACTCCTTGTTTGATTTCAATATTTCCTTATATTCACATCCACTAAAAGGTTGAATACCAGAAACTATAAAATAAAAAATCACTCCAGCACTAAATATATCACATTTTTCATTGTAAAACTGACCCTAACCATTGTAATTTAAAATCTCAGGTGCCACAAATCCTGGAGTACCACATCTTTTATAAAATGGTTATTGATCCATAATATGAGCTAGTCCAAAATCTGCGATTACAATATCCGTATCATTATTTTTACTCTTAAGTAATAAATTCTCTGGTTTCAAATCTCTATGCATACATTTTTTAGAATGCATATGAAATAATGCTTTTAATAAGTTGTACATTAATTGTTGAATTCTTTAGGGCGAATAAATTGTATTTTAAAATCTACTAAACAATTCTCCTCCTTCTAATAAATCCAATACAAAATAAATAGAGTTTTGAGTTTCATGTACTTCATGAAGACGCAGTATACTCTCTTAATTCAATCTCCTCATTACTCTTATCTCATTCTCTAATCCCTCTCTACCTCTGAATTGTCCCTGGATATAGAGTTTGCTGAAAGCTTTTACAGCGTACTGAACATTATCTGAAATTCTTTCTGCCAAATATACAGTGGCAAAGCTTCCTTTTCCTATCATCTTTAAAACTTTAAAATCATTATGGAAAGTTGTTAATATACACTTAGAAATTAAGACTTGTTTCAATTATTCATAATTATCATTGAAAATATCTACATAATGGCAATTTTTCTTAAGCCTTATAATTTCTTAATCATCATATCGTTTAAATAATATGATAGTAACAGTGAGTTACAGCATTCCTTAAGGCTCATTGTTTTTGAAGGCGTATAAAGTTTCTTGACCAATTTATATGCTAAATTTTTTTATTTACTTATTTGTTTTGCTTAATCTACAACATTAAGTCTCATACTCAATAACATCATTCTAAATTTATTATATAAAGAATTACATTATATTAGTCTTTACAGAACTTTTTCCAAACCTTGTTCTTCTGTTGGTCTTTATTATCAAAAAAAGAGTGAATTTCACTAGACATAAATTAAGAAGAATTATATATTCTAAATTGTAAATTATTATAATTATCTATCCATACCTAAAAACTTAAAGTTAAGAAATTATAGGAGGCAATTATAAAATTAACTAAAAAAAATGTCCATAGTTAAATATATATTAAATCTCTTTATTAGACATATTCCTTACTAATTTAAAATGAAATTCTTTAATTAATTATATACATTCTAAATTTATTATATAATAATTAAATTTTCTTATTACCATAAAAAATATGTCCTTTATTTTTCAGAAATTTGTTAGCCTATATTTTTGACAAGTTAAAAGGCTTAAAATTTTTCGATATTTTTTATCTAAATCGATACAAAATTAGATTTCAATTATTTACAATGATTCTAATTTATTTGATTAATCATTCGAATTGTAACTTTTTCAATAATACCTTAAATTCATAAATAAAACACAATCAATATTTCAATTATAAAATTAAAATGATAACTAATAAAAATACTTAAGCCTTAGATATTTATAATTATCGCTCATTCTTTGACATAATCTACTGAATTTCATATACTATTTTATTTATATAAATATATCTCATTACAAAAATAATATTATAAATTATCAGTTTAAGTTATTTAATAAATATATATGAACTCTTTGGAATTTTATGAAGAAGACATAAAAATCGGTTGTTGTAATAGATAAAGAATTGATTCTAATTGTGTAATTGCTAATAATAACTAATAAAAAATGCAAGACTGAAATGCTGAAATTATAAATAGAGATAAAAAAAGTAATAATATATATATGTTGAAGTTATATAAATTATTATATAATTTTTATAAATATAATCATAGATCATCGTTATGAATGAGAATTAAATCGAACTAAATTTAGAATATGTAAATAAATAATATTATTTAATTAAAAAACTTATACATTATTATCCTTACACTTACTGTAAAAAAATAAATGAATGAACAATAAATTATTAATAAGAAACACTCTATACAGTATTTATAATTGGTTAGTAAAGATTATTACCATTTCAACAATCTATAATCAATTATAGTAATATTATAACATTTGTTATCAAAAAATGTCAAGAAAGAAGTAGATTTAAAATACTAAAAACTAATAAAAAATATGAATTAAATTATTTTTCTAAAATTTAGTTATGATTGATAAAAAAGAAAGAATAGAATTCAATTTATTAAGGATTGATTAATGGATTAAATATGTATGTAAAAATTATTAAGCTAAATTAAAATAAAATAAACCCATATATTAATGACAATTTATTCCCTATAATTTATATAATATAATAATAATTATAATTAATTAAACACAACTTTTGTTATTTATTAAATAAAAGTAATAAATAATAACAAATTTAGTTTTGTAGCTAAAAAATAAGTCAATTTAATGTCTAAGTAAAAATACATAAGAATCAATGAAAGGTGATGCATTATATGTAATTATTTGGAAAGGTAATTAGAATTCATTTCAAATTATATTTTATTATAATTATAATATTTATTAATATTAAGACATTTTTCATTAACTTTATATTACATTATATATACACAAAAAATTTAATCAAATTTCAACATTCACAAATTCATCTAAGAAATAAGTTTAGCAGGCTTAATCCTTTTTATTTGTTTTAAATGAATAATTAATAACACTTGTATTGAAATTGTATTCAATTTAGTTTCTTCTTATTGAATGTGAGCATCTACGATTCATTTTGGTCTTCTATGATTACAAATATCTATCTGTTTCTGAATCTATGTCAGTTTTAATCTCTCTTTGATTTCCACAAGGAATAAGATGTAATTGAGGATATTACTTATTTTTTCTGTTCCTAAATTATTAATTTCTTGATGATTCTACTACTATAGAAGATGCATCTTAAATTTTATTAAAAATTAAAAGGTTTCTATGCAATTTAAAAATTTAGGAATGTCTTTTGTTTTGCATCTTTTTCTTAATTTTAAAAAATTTTTAAATTAAGATTTTTTAATAATATTATTAGTATACAAAAAATATAATTTTATAGAGTCTAGAAGAGTTTAAGAAAACTATTTAAAATAATATCAAAGAGTTAATAATTATCTATTTGATTATTAGATAATAATAGATAATAAAATATATACAATCCATCTATTAAATTTATATATATATATATTATTTTGAAATTATATTACTAAAAATATGAATAAATAAAATTTATTCATATATTCTAAGGTAATTCTTATTCATAAATACAATAATTTGTAATTTAAAAATCATTATTATTATTCAACCATTTCATATGCACAACATCCCATTGTTGCAGGATCCAATCCTTCATATTCATCTTCTAATGTAACTCTTAAAAATCCAATTTTTTCAATAAATAGAAGAGTTATCAAATGAATAATTGCAGACCATCCAATATAAATAAAAGATCCTAACATTTAAACAGCAAATTAATAGCCTCCTTTACCATAAACAATTCCTGTATCCATATCAAACCATGAAACCAAATTAGCTCCCAACATTCCACATGCCTTGAATAAGATAAAATTAAATACAAAATGGATTGAAATTGCATCAACTGGATCATCTATTTATAGATTGAATAGAACTCTATTTGCAAATACCATCATCATACCTCCCAATATTCCAATAACAAAAGCTGCCCAAGCATCAACATTATCACAAGGTCTAAATTAAATAACAATATTTAAATACCCAGTGATGGCAACTAACCCAGCCAGATTGCCATTACAGATCATAACTAAGGAATATCTATTACCTTAATCAATATTCATTAAATAGTAAATAAAGAAAACTGTTAAAGCTCCAGAAGCTCCAGCAATGAAAGTATTCATAATAGCACGACTCATAAAAACACTAGCTCCATTTGCAATACCTAATGAAGATCCACCATTAAAGAAACACCAACACACCCATAAAGAAAGACAAGCTAAAGTGATGTAAATTGGATTGTTAGGTTCAAAATGTTCTGCATATTTTGGATTAAACCTTTAATTTCTTGGTTTCAATAACATAGTTGTCATTAAAGCACCCATACCAGCAGATGCATGAATAGTACCACTACCTGCATAATCATGATATCCTAATTTCATTAACCAACCATTTCCAAATCCCCAATGTGCACAGAATGGATATATAACTGAAGAAAACACTACCGATAATATAAAATATCCAATGTATGTCATACGACCAGCAGCACCTCCTGATACTATGCTAGTAGCAGCAGAAGCAACAGCTGTTTAAAATGCAAACTCTGCTAAATGTTTAGAATTTTTCATATCGAATCCAACATAAACAGATGATCCAACGAATTCTTTTGAATCACTTCCAAAAGCTATCCCATAACCAACAAGCCACCATATTATAATAGTAACACAAGTGTTCATAAATATTTTGAGCATTATACTTTACATGTCCTTATACCTAAGACATCCACCTTCAAGGAATGCGAATCCAACTTACATCAACAAAACAAATGCAGCACATATACATAAATATCCCTATAATTATTGATAAATATTACAATGTCTATAGATTCTTTAAGTTGTTCCATACGTTCAATTGCTATTCCTAAATCCGTCATTCTTTTTATAAAATTTATACAAAATAAGTCAATATCAATTTTATTTCCTATCCAAAATCTTTTGTATCAATTTCTATTTCCAATATCTATCCTACACTATAGGTTCTGGTACTTTATACACAAATGAACTAGAGATTAAATAAATCTTAAAAGTACTTTTTAAAAGTTGTTTTGAATTGTCCATCATAAGACCCATTTCCTTATTAATGATTACTATTATGTTTTTTTGGTGGTACTTCCTCAATCTAATAATTTGGATAGTGTATTTTAGACAAGGCTTCTTTAAAGATCATTATACTCCCAGAAGCAAAAGGACCTCTTAAATAAACAAATATTGAATACAGAGTTTTCTTTTTTGCAGATTCCATGGGTTCACAATTATTAATTTGATAGTTCTCTTGATAAGAGGTCTTGCCAATGAAGGGCAAAGTTCCAATGCTTTAACCTCTTTAAGGTCCCACTCTTTCAGTAAGACAATGTTTCCAATTGACATAATTTTATTTATAACTTGTAAGAGTAAGCATTTCAGCATCATTCTTAATGTAGTAAGNATAGCACGACTCATAAAAACACTAGCTCCATTTGCAATACCTAATGAAGATCCACCATTAAAGAAACACCAACACACCCATAAAGAAAGACAAGCTAAAGTGATGTAAATTGGATTGTTAGGTTCAAAATGTTCTGCATATTTTGGATTAAACCTTTAATTTCTTGGTTTCAATAACATAGTTGTCATTAAAGCACCCATACCAGCAGATGCATGAATAGTACCACTACCTGCATAATCATGATATCCTAATTTCATTAACCAACCATTTCCAAATCCCCAATGTGCACAGAATGGATATATAACTGAAGAAAACACTACCGATAATATAAAATATCCAATGTATGTCATACGACCAGCAGCACCTCCTGATACTATGCTAGTAGCAGCAGAAGCAACAGCTGTTTAAAATGCAAACTCTGCTAAATGTTTAGAATTTTTCATATCGAATCCAACATAAACAGATGATCCAACGAATTCTTTTGAATCACTTCCAAAAGCTATCCCATAACCAACAAGCCACCATATTATAATAGTAACACAAGTGTTCATAAATATTTTGAGCATTATACTTTACATGTCCTTATACCTAAGACATCCACCTTCAAGGAATGCGAATCCAACTTACATCAACAAAACAAATGCAGCACATATACATAAATATCCCTATAATTATTGATAAATATTACAATGTCTATAGATTCTTTAAGTTGTTCCATACGTTCAATTGCTATTCCTAAATCCGTCATTCTTTTTATAAAATTTATACAAAATAAGTCAATATCAATTTTATTTCCTATCCAAAATCTTTTGTATCAATTTCTATTTCCAATATCTATCCTACACTATAGGTTCTGGTACTTTATACACAAATGAACTAGAGATTAAATAAATCTTAAAAGTACTTTTTAAAAGTTGTTTTGAATTGTCCATCATAAGACCCATTTCCTTATTAATGATTACTATTATGTTTTTTTGGTGGTACTTCCTCAATCTAATAATTTGGATAGTGTATTTTAGACAAGGCTTCTTTAAAGATCATTATACTCCCAGAAGCAAAAGGACCTCTTAAATAAACAAATATTGAATACAGAGTTTTCTTTTTTGCAGATTCCATGGGTTCACAATTATTAATTTGATAGTTCTCTTGATAAGAGGTCTTGCCAATGAAGGGCAAAGTTCCAATGCTTTAACCTCTTTAAGGTCCCACTCTTTCAGTAAGACAATGTTTCCAATTGACATAATTTTATTTATAACTTGTAAGAGTAAGCATTTCAGCATCATTCTTAATGTAGTAAGGTTTAAAACTATCCTGATGGTTAATCCTAGGGGTACGATAGGAAGTCTAATGATATAAAAATATAAAACTTCATATTGCGTTTGTAACTGAAGAGATTAAGCAATTGGAATTTAGTCATATATTTTGATGTTGAAATTTGAATGATCAATACCATTTAGTTTTTTATGAACTTGATTATAGGTTGTCTACTTTTTTTGTGGGAGAGACATTTTTATTTCTTATATTCTGTTTTGTTGTCTCTCTTGCATATACAAACCAAGTAGATTAACAAAATACTCTTGATTATCCAAAATCAATCTTTCAAGATTGAAGTTTTGATCTTCTTGTATTTCTGTGGGAATCAACTCCAACCAAAGGGGATCATCAATTGGTAATAGGTCAAAAATGTAGTTATTTTATGTTTTGACACTATCAGAAGGAGCAGGAGTAGTAGTTCGAGATTTTACTGAATAATTAGGTTAAGATGAATGAGAATGTTGTGATTTAGTCAATTTGTCATAAAGATCAATAATTTCGCCCTTATTGTTTTTGTATATAATTCTTTTCTTTCCCTTACTCTCATATCTACTGTAACTCTACAATGAGCCATCAGTTGGTGATCTAACCAAAAGATTTTGTTATGATGGCTACAATAAACCTTGCATAATTATTAATTAACAGGAAATGGAAGATTGTTTTAATTAATATAAATTGATATTTCATTATTATTTGCATTCTGATTTCTCCACTTTTTTTAATATCGCCTCCTTTCCTAAAGCTCTAAAAATTATTAAGATTTATAAATATATCTTTTTCTCATCTTCATTCAGTTCTCCCTTTTCTAGTTTAAATTTCAAGGAACTATAGAATCTAAGAACACTAAAGTATATCAAAATACTTTTCATTTCACTAATTCTTTATCATATCATACTTTCCAATTATAGAGATCAAATCAAAGTCTTTAAAACAATAAAGAATCTATCTACATCAACTATTAATCAAACAGTTCTAGTCTTTTTGTTATTTTATACTTAGTTGTATATTCATATATAAAATACTTACTCTAAATAACTTACAAAATTCATCTAGATTTTTTTAAACTTTCTTTTGAATGATGCTTTTGACTATTCTTACAATAAATATTTGTTGATTTATTAAAATAGAATTTCTTCTTTAACACCACATAGGTGAAATATTGATCTGACAAGAAAGTCAAATTATTAATTAAATTATTATTATTCTCTTCATATTCCAATTCAGTCTTATGAAGAAATTTAAGCATTTCTTGATCCTTTTAATTATTATGAAGTACTAACAGTGTATAATATGGTCATCTAATATTACATATCAAAATTGAGTTATTTAAATCATACAACCAATATTCTTACAATGGTTATTATTTTATTTTTCAATGTCACTTACTAAGTTTTTTGGTTCCACATCATTTAATATTCTCTATGCAAAAATAAATTCATTTTTCTTTAAAAAATATTATTCTTGGTTACCTACTCAAAAAAAATGGTAAATTGAGATAATCATATTCATGTGTGAATTTGTACTTCTAACTATTCATCATATATTTAATAGAGATTATGGAATTGTATTTAAGTGTGAACTCTTTAAACTAGAGACAGAGTTTTGGTTTTCGCTATTATCTCTCATCAATCAGTTCTAGGGAATAATACTCATTAAAAATTATAATGAATTAACAAAAACATTTCAAATTCATACTCTAATATCTAGAATTCAGTTCTAAATCAGATCAATAGTAGTATGAATTAACAATCTTATTGAAACGCAGTACAGGTGCTGCTCAATAAGTTGTTGGCAAATTACCAATTAAGAATCCTGAACGTACTATGACAATTTGTCGTCTTCCTATTGATTAAGTAGTTGAGTTTTAATAACGAATGATCAAAAAGGATGGAATCTATACTGACTATAATGTAAACCCTCCTTATCTAGCTAGATCAAATTCCTTTTCTATTTGGCTGGCAATTAATTGCTAGGTGATTGTGTAATCAATTTAGCATACTTTCTTGATGGTGGAGCACCTCAAGATTAAAAACAAAAAAAACCACTCACATCTACAACAGATAAGAGAGCTGCTTTACTATTTAAAGTGATTAAGGATTCAATGTTTGAATCTTAAGAATTGCCAATAGCAGATGTTCCTGCTCCAGTTATTGGACCTGCTACTCAGACAGCAAGAACATCAAGTACAAGAAAGATAGAATCTAGAACAAATAGAGCTCGTAGTCAATCACCACCTAAGGAATTTAAGAGTACAATAATAGTTAGTAAAGCTAATGAATAATTAGTGTAACCAACTATTTCATAATCTTAATTCTAATAATCATAATAATAGTAGACATAATAAGATAATCTTACATAAAAATTTGTATAGTTAGGTGAAAAATTTCAATAATAGAAATAATAATAAATCATATAATCATCACCACCACCACCACCACCACCACCACCACCACCAGTACCTGAATATGATAATTTTAAAGAAATAACTGATCTTCTCTCCTAGTAAGAGGCTGAATTAGAAAAATAGATTGAATAATTAGATATTCATATTAGATCTGATGGTAAGTTTAAGAAGATATTTGATGATTCCACATTTAATAATTTTGATATTAGTTCTAATGATTCAGAAATCTAATAATGGAAATAGAAATGTGTAGAAATTGAAGAAAAATTGAATAAAATTTAGGATGAAAATTAACATCTTACTGTCATTATCAGATAATAAAGTGAATAATTAAAAAAAATGAATTAGAAATCTCAATCTGTTTAAAAGTAAATCAATGACAATCCTCTTAATCAATCCACTACATCTAATCAAGAATAATATGATAAAACTATTGAAAAAAAAAATTAAATCATTAAAGAATTATCAAATTAATTGTTAGAATTAGAGAAGAATTCTAATGTTAATGTTATTGATTAGTTAAAGAGTTAAATTATTAGATTAGAATAATAAATGTAAGAGAAAGAAGATTAATGGTTAACATAAGAAAGAATCTATAAAGATAAGATAATTTAATTGTTATAAAATACAGAATGAATTTATCAAACAAAAATTTTGTTTATTTGTTCACATTCTGCTTTATATTCATTACTAAATTCTCTATAATTCATTATTAATTATTCAATCGTCTTATTTTCTTTGGCTATCACATGAGACATTTCTGAAAACATCTCATGCAAAATTACCCAATGTAAATTTACTTAATGTATTCCATCTTCCTATAAAATAACAGTCCAAAATGAAATTAAAGGACATTTCATATCTACCATCATTTTCATATTATTTGGTGAAAAACATAGAGATCCTTATGGTCCAAGATGTACTGACATGTATTCTGATCTTAAACCTGTAAAACTAAGTCCTTTATAAGGATCTGGATATTCATAGACTCCTTTTGGATCTACTACACATATAGGTAAATGTTGAATTATTTTCTTAGTATGTTCAAAGTTAATAATTTCAAATACCCAATTATGATTAACATAACTTAAACATGGTTCTTACTTCATAGGTTCAAGTATTTTCTTATTTTAAAGTGAACTAATAATCCAGCTGAATTTAATATTATGAGATTTATGAAATTGTAGTGGATGAAATAGTATAATCTAAAATTCTTCATCATGTTCATATTCTTTTTAATCTTTCTAAACTAATTATGGTTCATTATCAAATTATTATTGTAATTATTATTATATTTATTATTCTTATTGCTACTTTTATTTACCTTATTTTTTATTTTATTTTTTCCCTCCTTTCTTATTGTTATCTTTTGGAGGTGGTTTATTATGTATTATTTATTCAGGAATATTATGCAAAATCTTGATCACATTATCAGGCAAATTTACTTTACATCCTTAACTATAATAACAATCTTCATTTAAATTTAAATCCATCTAAATTAAGACATCTACAGTCAAAAAATGATATTGATTCCTAGAATATTTGCCTATTACTGGGATTGCAGGATCTCCAGTAAAAACATTTGTAAGGGAAGTAGATTAACATTTATTTCCTATCCTGAGTAAGAATGAAAATTAATCAGGAGCAGATTTTTGTAATTCTTTAATATTTTCGATTTATTACATAAAATTTAATTAATGATCTGTGTGTGATGTCATAATTTGTTAATTAATAAAAAACATGAGTATAAAGTCATTCGTAATTGCTATATGCACAACTTAAATAAGAATATGGGTCTTCCTTATAAGTTGGAGCATATTCATCTATTTCCCCACTTGAATATTCTTCTTTGATTGAGTATTCTTTTGATTCTTCCAATAGAGAATCATTTGATTCCTCTTTCTTTGGGAGACTCAAGAATTTGTCATATGGTTGTTCTTTTTTCAATTCAGCCTTCAAATTTTCAATTGCTTGTATGTACATTTGTTTGGTTGATTGATCTTTGATTTTATTATTAACAAGTACACAGATCTCTGCCTGACTACCCAAAAATTCAATCCATTTACTCTGAGTTTCCATTTGAATGATTTTTGTTCTTGGATTGATTGCACCAAATAACTTTTTAAGATCTCCTAACTCAAACTTTTATTATTTTGAGGTTTTCTTTTTATGGATTGCTCTCAGATACCCATCAACCTATTTATATCCCATTTCTTCTGCCCAATGCATGAATTGATTCATAAAGAATGGTACTATCCTTCTTTAGAAATTATGTTATTTCTTGACTGAATAGGGTACTTCTCTTTATTGTTATTATGGTTTTATGGTGAAATGAGTATTAATAATATCCAATAATTATTCATTTATCTAGATGATAACCTTTCCGTTGCATTTTTTTAGAATCTAAAATATCTTATTATATCATACTTGATAAGTGTAATCTTCTTACATTTTATTTCTAATAATAAAATTTCATATGAAAATTTAGAATTCAATAATATTTTCATTACAAATTTCAACAATTTTCATGGAATTTTCATTATATAATAAAATTAATTAATCACTCTTATTAAGTATATGGGCATAATTCTCTAATTACCATATCACTTATTCTGATTTCCATCCCAATAGCCACATCCAAAGTGGTTTCATCATAATTATGAATTATCCCTCTTAAATATTAAGCAAACTTCTATAACATTGAACCATTAGCCATAATCAATCTGTAATGAATTTCATTCCTATTTATCCTATTAACTACTTCTTCTGGTTTTAAACCACAAGGACATCCCTCATCCCATAATTCACTATATCCACCAAATTCCTTACCATGTGGAGGCTAATCACAAATATGAAAAATATATCTCAAACTTGGAAGAGTAGAACTATCTCTCCAACTTATTTTCTTAACTGCTTCATTCAAACCATCCAAAGCTGCTTCAGCTCCATCTCCTCCACCATAACAATCTGCTTATTTAATTATAGATATTATTTCAGATCTCGAACATAAATCATGAACTTCAGTTACATAAGTTAATTCTTGAGGTGGATGATCACGATAACATACCAAACCAAATTTCACACTAACTTATTCTTCCAATGATTGTTATTTTATTTTATTTATTATCATCTCTACAGCCTCTGTTGTTCTCTCTAAATAAGGATCCATAGATCCAGTTGTATCTACAACAAAAACACAATCTACCATTCCAAATTCACAATCAGGAACTTATGATATCATTATTGATTAAGATTATATAACCTTTTATTCTTTTTAAATATTGTTTTATGGTTTTGCATATTCTTTCTCATTAAGTCTATCATTATTATTTTAACTTGAACTTAATAATTTGATATCCTCTTTATTTTCTTTTACTTTTGTACAAAAATCTTTGTTAATACCCTCAATATTATTATTATTGATATTATTATCTTTGATTTAAATCTAATTCAATTATTCATTTTATTTAGATTAATTTATGATTGAATCCATCTTTAGTTTTTTAGTTTAAAAAAAGTTTGCTAATTTCAACGATGTTTTTGTATTCTATTGTTTTTCTGGTGTATTTATGGATTCCTATAATTTCTTAATTTTTATATTTTCTTCTTATTTTTGTATTACTACTTATTATACTTTGTTATTTGGTTTTAGAAATGATGTAACTGTATTGTTTTTAATTGATTTTGCTTCTTACTTATGTCCTTAATAAAAAATTGATTTCCACCAATCTTATGAAACCTTTTTATCTGCATCCTATTATTATTCCTTATTTTTATCATTTTATTAAATCCCTTTACTATTTTAATCACTCATCAATATTTAACTTACATCGATCTCTTCTTATTATTTTTACTTATCCTACTATACTTAAGACGATACAACTTTATCTATTACTTTTGTTTAGATATTGTCATCTTATACATTTACCTTTTTTTGAATGAAGTAATTTAAAGTTTTTTAAGTAGAAGCTAGAATCTTAACTTTCTATTTCTATTCCTTTTTCTCTGATTTACTATTTGATAATAAACCCTAATTTTATTGAACATTTTGATTGATCTTGATTTGACTTTATTTTTTAGGTTTTTATGTAAAATCAGGGAATCTGCTCAAATATTATTCTGCTTCTTTTATAGTTCTTTCAATTGATTTGGATCTCTTAACCATATAATAATAAAATATTATTAGTTTTACTCATAATTCTGTCGGATTTATGTATTTTTTATATGATAATATAATAATCTCATTATAATTTAGGAAATTCCTACTCGTTTGTGATGTCCACCTTCTATTGTTATTACTTGACAACCTATTGAATCTCCTTCTTTATGAACTCAGTATCAGGTGCATTCTCATAAAAAGACCTTTAGGCTTTAATCAAATCAATTGATGCTTCGATTTAATTAAAATAAAATGGAGCAGCAACTTTGATATTATCAAAATATTGGAAAGTTGTTAAATCATGTTATAAGAAATAATTCTAAAAATAAAAAATATATATTTATACTTCTTCTTTTTTCTAAAACTTTGTGAGATAAGAAATCAAACTATCACACAATTCTAATAAGTTATAAACATAATAAATTACTTATTAAGTCTTCTCTTGCTGTATTGGATCCTTCAACATCATATTCTTCTTCACTTTGTTCTTCTTCAACTTCAATTTCTTCAGGAGCATCAGGATCTTCTACTTATATTTTATTGAAATGTTTTTCAATCTTCTTGGTATGCTTTTCTTCTGTCTTCTTGATCTTCTCAATCTTTTAAAGAATGTAATCTCTATGTCTTTACAATTCATGTTGATTCTCATGTTGATCCTTCAATTTAATATAGGCTTAGAGTAAGATGAGAACTCTTGAAGCAACTCCTAATTGGAATTAGATCTTCTCTCTTTCTCTCATAATGGTGTATTTGAAATTTTATTGATCTTTTGTTAACTTTTAGATGGCCTCATTATCTTCATCACTTTTTTCCTATTTATTTGTCAAAGCCTTCAATTTCTATTTATTTTGATGATAATTAGCATGATCACTAGAATATTTTGTAAGCCTCTCTCTCAAATGTTGTAATTTCATGGCTGCAAATTCATACTCATCTTGAACCAATTTAAAAGTTCCTAAACTTACTAAATGTTAAGATGTTGTAGCTTCTTTGAATAAAGCTTCTACTTCATGCTAAGAATATGGACATATAATATACAATAGCTTATTCAAATTGATTAATTTCTTTTTAGATTTCTACAGTCCATTCCTTATTTCTTAATTCATCAAGAGTCTTATTTGGCTGAATTTCTGGATGTTTTGATACTACCTTAGTATGTTTCTTCTATTATTGGGCTGTCTTTGGTTGTTGAATAATATGAATCATTAATTTAATAAATGGATTTTATGATCTAAATCAACGTATTATCAAAAAGATTTGTTTAATATATATTCTTTAATTAATTAGATAAATTAATTTCAAAATTTAAATATTCGTCATTTAACAAAGTGATGCTCATAAATTGTGTAATTATTATATTTTATATAATTATTATTATATTTATTAATTAAATTTTGTTTGTGTTTTCTATTATAAATAATTAATATATTTTTTGTTATTTATTAATTACCTAATATATTTCAAACTTATTAAAATAAAAAATATTTATCTAAAATAATTTTGCACAAAATTTCATATGAATACAATTAATATCGAAATCAAATTTGTTAATAAGAAAATAAGCAATAACATTGATATTATGTATAAATTCAAATTATTTAATAATATTAATAATCATAAAGGTAAGTATTTTTTGAATTAAAATTTCTTATTTAACAATGAAAAATTACAATCTATCTTCTATATTATAAATAAATTTGTGATAAATCACATTAATATTGTTATTAAATGAATTTTAGTATCTTTATACTCTATATGTTTTAAATAAGCGCATTTTAGATAATGGAGAATGAGATTTCATTGTACCCAACAATAGGAGAATATTATGAATACAATATATATGAGCTTGTATATGAAGACGCATATGTTTTATATTAATAAGAAGAATAAAATCATGATTTGAAATAAATTAATAACATAATTGATAATAATTATCAATTAAAATGGATAAGTCATCCTAATATTGAAAATATATAAATTAAGAACTAATTTTAAGAAATTGACTTAATATTTGGAGATTGTATTATATATATGTATGATTATAGAATTTAAATCCTTATCATCAAATAATACTCATTTTGCTGGTCTCACATTTGAAAATGAAATAAAAATTTATAATTGGGAGAATTAAGTAATGAGATAAATTGGATAATCATTAAATATAGATAATTAATTTAATTGTTTTAATATAGATATATCAAGTAATAATAGAATTTTATTTGATTGTTATTAAAATGAATAGTTATATTTAATGAATTTAAGTGATTCATAATATAATATTGTGTATTCAAATAATTCATCTATGCCTATTAAAACTAAATTATAATCTATAGTTAATGGTACTAATATATATATAATATATGCTTAATATTATTAGAATAACTCTATTCTATCATTATTTTCAAATAAATATGAAAATTTAACTTGCTGGAACAACAACTTTTTAGATTTTAATATCCCAATTAAAATAGATCCTTATATTTATGTACTTACTTAATAACAAATCTTATAATTTTCTATTTCATCTAATTACACTTTTGAACTCTAATATAATTTTACTCAAGATAATATTACTAATTTTATTACCATTCACAGTTATTACAATTATTTTACTTATTCATAATGTGATCAAATATTTGTATAATCAGAATTTGAAGAATCTTTTACGATAATCTCTTTATGGGGATGTGAAAAATAAATAATCCTATAGAATAATTATAATCAATATTAATTTGATTAATCAATATAGACGATACTCTAGAATAACTAGTTTATAATATTTTAATAAAATCATTAAATAATTCTTTATTAATAGACAAAATCAGCAGTCTTTTAATATAATCATATAATATAAACAAATTCCTTATTATATTTTAATGCTGATAATGAATTATTTTCATTTAACTAAGTTATCAATACTTATAAAATATAAAATCCATCTTTATTAATCAACTTAACTAACCTATAAGTTGCAGGACAAAATGACAATTTTTCTATTAGGTGTTTTAGTTAAAATATATTAAAAAACTAAAATCTTATAAAAATTAATCTTTAAATATTGCCAAAGAATGATACTAATATTTATGTAATGTTTTAATAGAATTCTCCTTAATACTAATATACAATGCTGAAAAAAATTACAATAAATTTTATTAGTTTCTCAGGAAAACTATTATAATATTCTCAAAATAATGATACAAATTATTTTAATTTTGAATAAGCAACTTATAACAATATTAGTAAAATGATTAATAAAGACTTTTATTTAGTCTAATAATTGTAAACAATCTAAAATTTTAATGAAACCTTATTGTTTTTAATTGGATATAAGAATTAATAAGTCTATATTTACAATTGCTCTTATATTAAAGATTTCCTCTAATATACTACATTTAATAATATCTCAATTACTATAAAAGCAAATTAACTTTAAGTTGCTTATAGCATATACCCTGAAATAATAATAATAGGTCTAAGTAACAATTAGACAATATGTTTAATTTAATAACAATATGATGATAACAAGACTTTTACTTAATCAAATACAACTTTTGAATCAGAGATCTTAGAATTTTTAGTTACTTATAATAATATTATAATTTTATTTAATAATTAAGAAATTTAGATAATGACATTGGATTTTTAAAATATCTTTACCTTAAATTAAACAAATATAAATAAATATTTTAACATTGAATTCAATCCAATATAGATTATTGTTAATACACAATTATTATCTTCATTTTTATACATTAATAATATCCAAAATATTATCATAGTCTCAATATAATAAAATAGCTTACCTATTCCAATTTCATTGATATAGGTGAATTTTACAATCTATAAAATCAATTTAGTAAACTAATAATTGATTTTATCATATCTTTGTTACCAAAATCAGTCTATTTGTTTTCAAGTTTGGAATGTTGAAAATATACCATAATATTATTATGAGAAGAATTTATGTGAAGTTGATAATAATGATCAAATAAGAATTTCATCAGATAATTTGTTCTTTTATGTTACTTTTGCTGATAATTCTGTTTATATTTATAATCCTTCATTACCATATCATATGAGTTTATATTATTAATTAAACTAAAGTTTTTAAAGTACTCTTGCTATTTAAAATTAGAAATCATTCTTATTTGATTATTCAATCATATTTTAATAAAAAGCTTTTTATTAACTTGTTTAACTTTAAACTATTACAATATAACCTAATTAAGGGATTTCTAAATTTAATTTTAGTTACCCATAAGTTATTTATAATTATAATGTAACTTCTGTATTAAACAATTCAACCAATTAATCAACTCCTAATTAAAGTATTACTCTCTTATCAGATTTTATTTAATTTTAGAACAAAACAATTACCATTAATTTAACAAAAGAAGATTAAGATAATAGAAATCATCATTTTTCATATCCGTTGAACCTAATTGTAGATAGATAATACACCAATTGCACAATAAATGATCTATCTCATTTAACAATTATAGATAATAAATTTATTAATAAATTGTTAACTTAAGGTTGCTTATAATTAGGATATAACAATATTTATAATAAAAATATATATGATGCAATATTTAGCAAAAATTCTTTAATAACTTCAATAAATAACTAATTTATTATTTTACAGAGTAACACTTCAATTAATATTTTGAATAGTAGCTTAACAGAAATTAACTATTAACAACTAACTTTTAGTTATTGTCTAGCCTCCACATCATATAATGACACATACTATTCAATTTGTGAAAAGAACACATCATAATATTTGATTATATTGACATTAAATTAATCAGGATCTATAGTAAATCCTAATACTTCAAAATAACTTCCCAATATATTCTCAAAGATTATCAAAATTAGGTGTGTCCTAGACCAAATTTTTATTCTAGGTAGCTTTAATAATTAAACCGAATTCTTGTATTGGTTTAACCAAATTAATAACACTTTTATACAATTAACTTAAGAAATTAACCATAATTTTGATAATAAATATTATTGTTAAGATTTCTCTGCTGCCTTATTTTAATAAACTCATAATTAAGAATACACTATAATAATTTTTTAAATAATAAGATATCAAGTCTTTTATCAAATAATAGAAGTTGAAGGAGAAAATGTAAGAATAAACCCTCTTATTTATGTGATAATACATTATTGTAATTTTTAATATAGTTGCTTTTAATTGGATAAATTTAAATACATTCTAATTATAAATTTAATTGGGAAAAATGTAATAATCTTTTTGACTGATAAATACAATTTTAGTTACTTTATCAGAGTTATAATAAATCCTAACAATATACATTCTTCTAATTACGCAGCTAATGTTATAAGAACAATACCAAATTATTACAACTATGTTTGCACTGGTAATTCGTTTTACTATGATGGCGTTCTGATGTAATAATTTACTAATGGTTTAAAATATGTTACAGGAATGTATTATTTAGAAAAATTAGGTAGTCAAAGTATAAATGAACCAATATTGATGTAAGGTTCCTTTTTTTCATAACTAAAACAATATGCTATGATTGTAAATGAACAATATCCTAGTGGCATTGCTTTATCTCTAAAATATAGCAAATCTGAGTAAGCTGTATCTCCTTAGGTCATTACGTTTAGTACTACCAATATAACCTGTAATTTGAAAAGAAAAACACTATAATTCAATGTCAATATTAGTTGTTCAAATAATTTTAGCAGTGGCACTTATGATATTACATTTAATCTCTACTAATAACCCTCTTAAAGAAGAGGATGGATATATGCCCTTCTAATACTAATTTCTTTGCTACTATTTTATTTTTACTATAAAGTTAAAACCAAGAGTAGAGATTATAATATTAATTTAGAAATTGAATTATGATATTAAATTTTTGATTTATGATATAATTAATTTATTTTAGAATATTCAGATATTGAAGATTCATCATTTTTTTATTACCAATTCTCTATCACTTATTATAGGAATTTATCAAAATCTCAAATCAACATCAATAAATAAATGAAAACAGCAAAGATTGATAATTGACTATCGTACCTCATTTACACTNTTGATAATAAATATTATTGTTAAGATTTCTCTGCTGCCTTATTTTAATAAACTCATAATTAAGAATACACTATAATAATTTTTTAAATAATAAGATATCAAGTCTTTTATCAAATAATAGAAGTTGAAGGAGAAAATGTAAGAATAAACCCTCTTATTTATGTGATAATACATTATTGTAATTTTTAATATAGTTGCTTTTAATTGGATAAATTTAAATACATTCTAATTATAAATTTAATTGGGAAAAATGTAATAATCTTTTTGACTGATAAATACAATTTTAGTTACTTTATCAGAGTTATAATAAATCCTAACAATATACATTCTTCTAATTACGCAGCTAATGTTATAAGAACAATACCAAATTATTACAACTATGTTTGCACTGGTAATTCGTTTTACTATGATGGCGTTCTGATGTAATAATTTACTAATGGTTTAAAATATGTTACAGGAATGTATTATTTAGAAAAATTAGGTAGTCAAAGTATAAATGAACCAATATTGATGTAAGGTTCCTTTTTTTCATAACTAAAACAATATGCTATGATTGTAAATGAACAATATCCTAGTGGCATTGCTTTATCTCTAAAATATAGCAAATCTGAGTAAGCTGTATCTCCTTAGGTCATTACGTTTAGTACTACCAATATAACCTGTAATTTGAAAAGAAAAACACTATAATTCAATGTCAATATTAGTTGTTCAAATAATTTTAGCAGTGGCACTTATGATATTACATTTAATCTCTACTAATAACCCTCTTAAAGAAGAGGATGGATATATGCCCTTCTAATACTAATTTCTTTGCTACTATTTTATTTTTACTATAAAGTTAAAACCAAGAGTAGAGATTATAATATTAATTTAGAAATTGAATTATGATATTAAATTTTTGATTTATGATATAATTAATTTATTTTAGAATATTCAGATATTGAAGATTCATCATTTTTTTATTACCAATTCTCTATCACTTATTATAGGAATTTATCAAAATCTCAAATCAACATCAATAAATAAATGAAAACAGCAAAGATTGATAATTGACTATCGTACCTCATTTACACTGTCCTCTCAATTGATACTCTCATTTCTATTTGGATTGTACAAAAAACATTTAATTACCTTATAGTTGAATTTGTAGTTAAATGTGGAATCTTTTTCTAAGCATTATATATTGATTATTGTTATAAACTTATTTCATTATATAATTACATATTTTATCAAATAATAATAGAGGAAATAGATATTATAAGTTATATAATTTTCTTTTTTAATGTTTAAGCTCTAAGATAGTGATCTTGATTGGCTAGAAAAATTATAAATTCAAAAAACAAATACTTTCACATTTAATAAATTGAACCTTGATATATTTATATTGTCAAATCTAATTGAATAGAAGTTCCATTCAGAATAAGTTTAAAACATCCTATTTAGATCAAGATTTTATTTTGAAAGATATTTAAAATCATATTAATATGGATTATATTATTGGATAAGTATAATTGATAGATTAGTTTAATAAAGAGGATGAGTGATTTTAAGGATATAATAGACATGCATTTTTGATTTTGACATATTGAATTTGTTAGTTGGAATAGATGTTGATTGGAAATGAATGAATTAATATAAATGATTATGAGAACTGTGTAGTATAATATATAAAAAATCAGATAATAATTTAAATAGTTTAAAAAAATGGACGACAAAACAAATCAAGAAGGGTAAAAGTTAGAATGAAATTTAGGGCTGAGTAATTAGTGATATTTGAGGAGAAAATCACAACAGTTAATGGATAGGTGGCAATTAAGAAATATTAAAGAGGGAAGTTTTTAGGAAAGGGAGGATTTGCAAAGTGTTATGAAGCAACAAATCTTGAAACGAAAAGGGTTCTTGCTGCTAAGATTATTGTTAAAAGTAGTTTAACAAAGAATAGAGCCCGTTAAAAAGTAAGTACTGTTAATTGATGTAGCTAATTTCAGAAATAAAAATACATAAGAGTTTGTAAAACACAAACATTGTATAATTTGAACATGTGTTTGAGGATCATGAGAATGTTTACATTTTATTAGAATTGTGTTCAAATTAAGTAATTAATGAAATTTAAAAATAGACATTAAATGAATTGATAAAGAGAAGAAAGAGATTGACTGAAATTGAAGTGTAATGTTATGTGGGTTAAATAATAAATGCATTAAAATATTTACATGCATAGAAAGTGATTCATAGAGAGTAAGAAATTTAATAATAATCAAAGTCTTAAATTGGGTAACTTATTTTTAAATAAATCAATGGAATTAAAATTAGGAGATTTTGGTTTAGCAACAAAATTAGAATTTGAAGGAGAAAAGAAAAGAACAATATGTGGAACACCTAATTACATAGCTCCTGAAGTTTTGGATGGAAGAGTGGGACATTCTTTCGAAGTAGATATTTGGTCATTGGGTGTCATAATGTATGCTATGTTGATTGGCAAACCACCCTTTGAAACTCCAGATGTCAAAACAACATATAGAAAAATTAGATTGAATTCATACTCTTTCCCAGAACATGTGTTAATATCAGATCCAGCCAAAAGTTTGATTACAAGAATTTTAAACTTAGATCCAACATAAAGACCTACATTAGATGAGATTATGGCTCATCCATTTATGAATACTGGAGGTACAATTCCTAAGACATTACCTTTGTCTACTTTGGCATGTCCTCCATCAGCTTCTTATAATAAATAATTTTAACCATCTACCAATACTAGTAATTTAAAGATGTCAACAAATGTATTACCATAGAGATTAACAGAAACTACTCCCAATAATCCTAAGAATGTATAAAAATAAACTAATGGATCTTCTGATCGTTTCCCCTGTAACTTACCAATTAAATAATATTAGTATAGAAGCCAAGTTCAAGTGGAAATATAATGGATGATAATTTTGGTTCTAGTGGTCTTAATAATGCCTAGAATGTTGGTTATGGTGGAACTTAAAGACCATAATCTTAAAAACCAAATGATATCAGAAATAGTTAGAGTTAAAAAACACTTTCTTAACCATTTGGAGGAACAGGAATGTAAGGTGCATAATCAGTTAATAATTTGGGAGTGAAATAAACATAAGCAAAATAGGAAGTATATGTTAAGAAATGGGTTGATTACTCAAGTAGATATGGATTAGGTTATTTATTAAGTAATGGTGCAACTGGAGTATTCTTCAATGATTCAACTAAAATTGTTTTAGATACTAAAACTTTATAATTTGAATACATGGAGAGAAAAGGATAAGATAAGTAAGATATTTGTGAAACACATAATCTTAATGATTATCCTTAAGATTTACATAAAAAGGTTACACTTCTACAACATTTCAGAAGTTATTTAGAAGGTGAACCTCAAACTGCTTAAAGTGAAGAAAATGAAAATAAATAATTAGTTTATGTTAAGAAATGGATGAAAACTAGACATGCTATTATGTTTAGATTATCCAATAAAATAGTTTAAGTAATAAATTTAATATTAATAATAAATAGGTTAATTTTACAGATAAGACTGAAATCATATTATCTTCTGAACACAAGATGGTTACATATGTGAATAAAACTGGTGAAAGAAGTCATTATCCTTTGGCAACTGCTCTAGATAGTTAAAATACAGAAATGTCTAAAAGATTGAAGGTAAATATATAGTATTTATATTATTTATAGTATACAAAAGAAATATTAACTCATATGTTAAATGGTGGTTAGAATGCTGGAGACTCTAATTCTAATTAACGTGTAAATGCTAACTGGTAAAATCCTTGAATATTAGATATTCTGAAAACTATAATAAAAATATATAGTTTTGTTAATTTATAATTATTCATTAGAGAATATATAATAATAATTAAATAGACATAATTATTTATTATTATAAATAATAATAAGATGAAGAATAAATTTGAAAACAAAATAATGTTATATCATTTAATCAATTTATTTTTACACCAAACTCCAATAAGTGAACCAAAAGTACCATGACCATCAACATAATCTTGAAAGAATTCTCCCTTGTAACATTCATTATTTGATAAATATAATGCTCCTTGACCATCCTTAAGATCATTCTTAAAATTGCCAACATACTTAACCCAATAACTAATTAGTTATCATTAAGTCTTACTTTCCAATTAGATCAAAATTTGAACAATCAAAAGAAGTATTCAATTTAGTAGGTTCCTTATTGTACAATGTTCCAAATCCAGAAAATTAATCATTTTCAAATTGTCCTTCATATGCTTTTTAACCAACTCCATAAAATAGAGTTCCATAACCATGCATTTTATTTTATTTCCATTATCCTTCATAATAACCACCTTCTGCAAATTGATATCTTCCAAATCCATCTCTTAATTAATTATATGTTTCACCAACATATGATGATCCATCTTAATATTATTCAGTTATGAAACATCTTGATTTATTCATCTCAATCATCTATTCCATTTCTTATCTATAATTTATGTCCTTTTTAACAACATAACTAATTGGTATTTCAGTATAACTCAATGGAATACTCTTACATGATGGATGAGTATCTATAGTGATTACACGAGGATTTGATTATTAAGTAGTTTTAGTGGTTTCTGAATAAATGGGTTTTTAAGATTCCACTTAAGATATTTGAGGTTTAATAGATGTATTTGGCATTATAAAAGGATCTATTGAATATGATTATAATCCATTTCCAATTAACTATTCTATCTTTTCCTTATCAGTAAATTATTTCTTTTATGAAGAATTTGTAAATTATAGTTAAGAATTAACCATAGGTTTATTGAATGAATAATCAACTGAAGCATAACTATTAATTTTCTATTATTAAATAGCTGATTTACTAGGATCTCTTATAACCATTTATTCTTAATACTAATAAAATCCTAATTCTTTCTTCTTTGGTTTCTTAATCATCATTTTTGATTTAATTCTTAATTATTCTAATTCAACCATAATTTTGCTAGGTTTGCTTTCAATTTATTCTTTCAATTAATTTAATGATTCTGGTATAATGTCTTCCTTTAAATTCATTGGTGATTTTGAATCCAAACAAATAGCAGAACTATTAATTAATGAATTCTCTAAGGATTTTGATATTCCTGCATCTGGATTACCTTTCATGAGATTCATTAATTAATTAAAATCTGGTCTGGATTCTTCATCCATCTATAACATTGACACTATAACTTATTCATATTTAATTGAATAATTCTTCTTCAATAGAGCTAGTTTCCTTGACACATCAACATGTCCTCCTTCAAAACTAATAATATTTATAATGATCATACTCAAAACAATCTCTACAATGATCCAATAAACTTGCTTATAACATACACATTCCTAGACTCCATACATCACTCTTATATAGATTATGTCTAGGGAATTGATTATTCTAATTGATTGCTTCCAATAACTTTGGTGATAATTCAAATAATTTCTAATTCTCTGGATTCTATTAAGCCATTTGAAATGCACTCTATTGAAAGTAATTGTCACAAAGTTTCAAAGTGTTTTCATTTACATAACTAATAGTCAATGGTCTGATATTCTAATGTACTAAATGTGCTTCTTGCATTGTCATCAATAACTAATTATTGTATTATACATTACATTAACAAGGCCCAATAATTAATTCCATAGTTCTTACTCAGTCCAGAATGCACCTCTACCTTTTCTGTTCACAATCTCTTTATGCATTGAAGTAGAGTAATATTCACTTATAACATACATTATGTTATATGAAGTACACAATTCTTATTCTTTCTATATTCCACTATCCAATATTTTCACCAAATTTGGATGATCAACCTTTGCTCTCTTAATAAATCCATCATGTTGACTTTCATCCTAAATAATTACTTTTCTCATTGCACAAATCTAATTATATTTTCTAATTAAAGTAGCCTTTCCATAACGTGAGTCTTGTATTTGTCCTTCTTATTTACTCTCTTAAGAACCCATATTATATTAAACAAATATTTATTTATATCTTGTATTCAATTATTATTATTTCAACTATTAATATAATATTAACTAATTCAACTGAAGAATCTAATTAAACCAATTAATTGATATATGAATAATAATTAATAGTATTAATATTATTAGAATTATTAGTATTATTATTATTAATATTCAAATCAAAATACAATATTCATATAATATAGAGTATTATATTAATAATAATAATAAATTATAATAGATATACATATAGATATATTAAATAAATTATAAATAGTCTTAAGATTATAATAGTCAATCTATAATGATATTCTAAAAGTATTATAATTTTATAATAACATTATTATTTTTAGAATGCAAAATAGATATTATAATTTACACTGAAGTCAAAGAGATACATACAATCATGTTAACCTAATTAAAATTTATTAAACTCTTCCTTTAATTTTCTAGTAAGATTGAGACATTTGAAAATGTGTTTTTAAATTAATAGAAACTAAGGTAAGATTGAGTGTTATCATATAATAAATTATTAATTCAATGGTAATGTACAGAATGAGACAATGTACTATCTACATCTATAGTTCTAGATTCATATGGATATACTTGCATCTTAGGAGGATTTCTATAATATCTTTAGACTGCAGGTAATTTTAGTCTTGGACTGCAACTGCGTCGATGTTAATTGAAATATTTCTTTCCAGTATCATCTTTTTGAAAATTATTCATTTTATCAATCATCGTTTTAAGATTATCTGGTGCTTTCAGATTACGAGAAGTATGAAATCGAGCAGATGCAGGAGATTTATCAATAACAAAGACTGCCCTAACAATAGGATCTAGATTCTTAATGTAATTAGCTATTTCTGATGAAGCTCCACGATAATTCTTATATCTTCCAAGAATGGTTGGATCAGAAAACAGTTTTTAATTTTCAAGTCTTGATTAAATAGATTTAGAGACTATTATACCTTAATTTAGGATTTCTGGCTAAAATTATGCTGTTTAAATAATTGACTTTTGAGACCATATCTCCGTCATGAAGGTTGGCATCCATAGTAAATCGATTAAGTTCTACTTTATTAGAAACATACATAAAATAATATAATTATAAATGATATTCTTTTGAAGTTAAGTAAATAAGTAGAAGCTAATAAAGGTTTCATTTTATTGAATAACATTTCCTAACTTAAACCATTTTTTATATTAATAATGGATAAATAGAAAGTAAAATAGATGGCAGATGATTCTGATAGTAGTAATTTCAAATAACTATTACAGATATCTAAGAAATACAACTAGAGTAGATTATGATTATAATTTAAGAAATAGACATAGACTAGAAAAGTAGGAAATACTAATATTAAAGAAACTTAAACTACCCAAACCTCCACTTCTAATATCAACATCTTTACCAAAATTATTATTTTTTAAGAAGAATTGAAGTGGAATATATAAAGTACCTTAACATTTGCATATAACTATCCTTATGAAGTGTATTTAATTAGATTAAAATTTTCAACTCTATTTGGGAAATCTACCAGATAATGTTGATAAAGATCATCTTCATAATTATAATAAATTGAATCTCTTGTAGTTGTATTTGATCCTGCATATCCAGTTATACAAGAATAATTGTTACAGAGTTATAAATATTGTTTTATGTAATTTAGAAGCATTTAAGAAACAGAAACAGCATTATGATGCTTTGGTGTATATTTTAAGTGGATATGAAAATTATAAATCATTAAATGTAGATAGAGATACAAAAAAATGTGTGTAAGGGTTTTGCATTTTATGAATTTGAAACTGATTTAGAAACATAAATTATGTAAATGGATTGAATAATAAAGTTAATGGTGGTAGATTATTTTAACTTAAAAAGAATACTTAATGACCTACTTCAAATTGAAAAAATTGGTAGATTAATAATTATTGTTGTTCTAAGAAAAAATCAAGATTATTATGAAGGAATTGGGAGAATTCTTGTTTGAATTTGAAAATGTATAATTTACTAAATTGCTATTATTCTTTTATAAAACAGAATATATGATGGAAGAGAAATAGATATTGCCTTTTATGATCCAGATAAATAATATATATTCATTTAAATATATTCATATCTTAACTATTTAGTATAATTGATATTAGTATTAAATTCTTAAGTTAATTACTAATCAAAAATGATGTTATTTATGGTATATATATTAATGTAATATTATTATTCTATTTTCAACATAATTTTATAGTAAATTATTATAAGATGTGAAATTTTTATATTTAATATTTAGATATCAAAATTTATAAATGAATTTCGGAAAATAATAGATTATTTATCAAATTTAATTATCTTTAAAATTATATTATTTTCTGGAAAAACATTAATAATTAAAATCTGTTCCACATATTCTCATATCCTTTTAGCAGTAAATTCTGAATTATAAGTACTAACTAATTCGATGAATCATAAGTTCATATGCCTTTAAAATTTATTTTAATATTAATTATTAATTTAATTTTCTAAACCTCCTATAAAAGTGTAAAAATTTAATCTATATGAAACTCATATTAAACTAAAAGATCAATAAAAAGAATCTAATTCTATAAGAATAGAAATAAATAATTATCATCATAATCAAATTATTCAAATTTATAAGCATAACTAAAAGTTTGATATCAATTATGATATTTATTACATTTAATTAGAGATTTATCTAAATTAATCTGTATATATAAATTGATTTCATAGTACTGTATGAATTATATTTAAATTCAAAATCGATTAAATTTCTTTTGTATAACATCATAAAGAAAAAGAAATACATCCTAATATACATAACAATCATAAGTGCTGGTGAAAAATAAATGTGTATAATTTCAAAAGATGAAATAAAATAATCTGTTTGAATTATTACTAATGGACACTGGAACAAGAATGCCTTCTCCAATTTCTAGTTAAATAAGTGTTGGTATAGGAAGAATTCCAAAGGATTTTTTTAATTGATTTAATAGTTATATTGATAATCTTTGATGAATATTTAACTATGACTATTCTAATTTGAATTATACTATTTATTTCTTTTTTTTTTAATGATCTCTAATGATTTAAGTATTATTACTAGTAATTATATACACAATTTATGTTATTACTTAGATGTAATATAATATTATTAATAAATTTTAGTCTGTGATGATAATCATAATAGAGAATAAATATAATAATAATAATGAAAAAATTCTTAAATTTTGATTTATAAAGATCAAGTTATGCAAATCCAGTGATGAAGGAATTTGCTTAATTGAGTTTATTAAAAAAGATAGAGAGTAGAAAATTATTGGAGGTAGCAGAATTAGGGTAGAGATGTTATTCAATTGAGAAGAATGATAATAAATGGTTGGAATAGATTTCTGATTGTTTTGAACATTATAAGATTGAATTATAGAGAGTAGGAAATATGTTAAAATAAGCAGAATATGAGATGATGCAGATTGAGGTAAAATAGTTGCACTCCTCCAAATATAGGATGAATTTATGACGAAAGAGATGAATTGCTATAGCTTAGTAAGTGAATTCGAGATGGAATCATGCATTAAAGATTATAAATTATAATGTTTAAATTAGAAACAAAAAGTACTTGATAGGATTAATGAATTAAATTGAGTATATAACAAATCATGCATATCGCCATAATCTCTATGGTATTCATATATATATAAATGTTCTAAGCCACTCTTATTCAACAATATTAAAGAGTCCATCCATAATACTTCAGAAAAAAGTCTCATTCAAATTCTGAAGGAATATCTAAGATAATTGTTAAAACTCAACCAAATGTAGAGAAACAAAAAAATAGATGTGAAACCATAGATGTAGTAATGAAATCAAAGGATTCTGCTCCAGAAGAAACCTATTCACAAAGATTAAAGATAATAAATTAACGAGTGTATGTTGTTAATACATTCAATCGTATAATCAATGTGGATAGAGTAGGACATAGAATGTAAAGGGGATAGTTATTGAGACATTTGAGAGAATTCTATAGTCAAATCATTGTTGAACAAATAAATAAAGTTCTAAAAGTACCAGATACTTTGACACTGTAGATGTATGAATAATTTGTAATTTCATTATAACAATTGGACAGAAAGCAATATTTGAATCTATGTTTTTAGATATATGATTTATAAGGATAAGGTGTAATAACTAGTACAAACTTACTCTCTATCTTATCAGTTGAGAAAAATACTTCCATTATAGAAAATGATATTCTAACTATGATTAAGTTTCGATCAAATCTACTTAAATCATAATTAGATAAGAGTGAATCATCTAGATTACCTAAACTTAAAACTATCATTATAAATCGTAAAAGAACTTCTAAAGGAAAACGAATGATGATCTCTCAAATTGAGGATGAAGTAGATTAGGTTGTTATGCATCCAATTAATATATTGAAACTCATTGATAAAAATCAATTTTGTAAGATTTGGAATGATCAAATCCCTGGAATAATTTAAGACCTCTTCAAAAACTTGAATGATTATTATTATTAATGAGTACAGAGACGACTGAATTTATTCCTAAAAGAATGGCAGTTGCAGTAGCAATCTTGATCTTATTCTTACTCCATTATGCAACCCTCCTTATTAATGCAATCTCCAAAGGTCCAGAATAAAAAGAGTATGTCAACAGAAGAGTGTTCCTTTTTGGAATAGCAGGTCTGTTAATTATATACTAAAACTATTAGGCTTATTGAGTATGTCAACTATACAAAGTAGTGTATTCTCAGCTATACTTGCATGGCTTACTTTTGTCCCACTTGCTGTATTACATTTATGCATTTATGAAAAATTTCAAAATTTGAACAATTACAAAGACACTCTCTGGTTGGCATATTATGGATTACAATTTGTTTGGTTCCTAGGGATTATTATAGATTTCTATTCATGATGCATATATTTAATTATTTATCAAATCTATTCACTCTCCTATTCAACTAATTATTATCATATAACATGTATAATATATAAAATCAATTTATTTTCTTTTGAATTCTTAATTACATTATTGAGTTATTCTACAAATACTTTTTGAATAACAATCTTCATAAGTTTTTCTTATAATTCTATTTCTTCCTTTACAAATCTTCTCAATTTTAATACAACCTACTAAGTTGATTGTATTTCATCTTTTGATTACTTAAGTAATTCACCAATTTTTATTAAACTATATTAACAATATATAGTTCTCTTCTTATCTATTTATCCAGTAATAATTTCCCTTGAAAAAAACTTGATTCCTAGATAAAAAATAACTATCCTTATAAGAATAATCAAGAGTGACTTAATCATCTAATTCATTAGATACTTTTGAAACTTCTCATCTATCTAGACATTTAGATTACATAAAATACTTAGAGTATTAATCATAGTTCTTCAATTATTTATTCTTCAGAATTTAATTTAATCTTTTACAGTTGTAATATTTATGATAACTCTTTGAGTCTAGATTAATCAGACACCTGACTTAATAATTTATTAGACCATAACTTATTTGATATGTACCCTTTGTTTTTATGCAATTTATGTACAAATTAATAATAAATTATTATTTTGTATCTTGGATATCACTTCCATATAGTCTGCCTTCAAAGATATGCTACTTGCTATTCCTGATGCTTTCTAAAATTCATATAATATATTTATGAATTGGAAATCTTGGTGAAAATCTCATATGTCTTTCTTCTGTATACTAATTTAGGATCAAAAATGATGTTTGGAATTAAATTTATAAGTTTCATTTTGAATTATCTTGCATTTATCTTTCTTACGTATTTAGCTAGTATCTTGAAAACGAACTTCATTTTTATGACATTGTATTTATTTCGTTTACTTTTATGATCGAGACTCTAAGGAATCTCCCTTTTAATATTATTTTTATATTCTTTATTATTTTAATCTAGAAAGATATAAGTATTCTAATTTTAAGTTATATATTGTAAAATAATAAGAGAAATTATAGAGAAGTTAATAATTTAATTAGTAAAAATTAACATTATTAGTTTTTACAAAATTTATGATGTAAAAAAATAATAATTACATATTAATTTAAGTATTAGAAATTAGTTTACATTTAATAAATTAATTTTTATCATTTATTATTCTATGATATAAATAACTCAAAACATTATGACAAATACAAATAGAATTCCTAGGTAAATCAAATTTGAATAATTTCCACTTTCATCTAAATAGAATTCTAAAATATCAGGTCTAATTGCTTCAGTCAAATCTGTAACTTCAGGTTCTTTTTCAGTATCAGTTCTAATATAAAGTATGCATAGATAATTATTCTCAACATCAATCCAGTTTTCAAACCCATGAATTCCTGGACTTGAATAAATTGATGGTTTATCATCACTATCTCTTTCATATACCCATGCTCCAATAGCAAAACTATATGAATCTTCAACTTCTCCGACTACCTCTTCCATTACTTCATCTGAAACTGGTAAATCTCCTGTATGATCTTATAGCATTGTTTGAACAGTAGATGCTAATAAAATATTTTTTCCATCAAAATAACCCTCATTTAAAAGCATTCTTAAGAAATTACCATAATCAATCATTCTAATTAAAAGGCCATCTGCAATTGCAATATTATTTCCTGTTTCTCCATCAAAAGCTGTAAATTTAGCATTCTTCATTCCCATTGGAATAGCTATATATTCATCAAATAATTCATGAAAAGTCTTACCAGAGATCTTTTCTGCCATTCCTCCTGCAATTTGCATTCCAATATCACTATAACCAACTTTTGTTCCTCCTGGAAAATACACTTTACTAGCAGGATATTGACCTCCTTTAGCAATACCAAGTACAGATTCTTATAATGAAATATTTAAATCAAAAATCCATTCATCAGCCAACTCATAACCTGATGTATGAGTCATTAAATTCTTTAATGTCATAGTTGGATTAGTATTTTGGAATTCTGGATATATATCAGTTACTTTGGTATCAAGACTTAATTATTGTAATTCTACAAGTTTCATAATAGTAGCCATGGCAATCCATTTACAACCAGAAGCTATATGAATAGTTGTATCATCATCATAAGGTTGGGTCCCTTCTGAACTCAGGTGTTCTTTTAAGTAGATTGAACCATCTGCTCCTTGGATGAGAATACTCATTTTATTATCCATTATGTCTAAATTTTCTGTTAATTATGATATAAGATCATCCTTTGTTACACAATTTGCACAAATTATAAGTAAAACAGTTATCAAAGAGGGTAAGAAGTTGTTTTATTTCATTAAATTATTTGCATAAAAAGATTTCTTTCACAGTTAAAAATTAAAATTGAATGACATAATCAATGTGTATAGGTTTGAATAATACATTCATAATTTGATATTATATTTTTAATTTGAATAAAATGATACATTAATAATCTTTAATTATAAACTTATTTCTTTGTATTAAGTAATATTTTAATTTCAATAAATTCATTGCATTTCTAATAAAATATTAAAATTTTAAGTATAACGTATATATATGTTGAAATAATGAAATTATGAAATAATAATATATTATTAAATTAAAGATGGAAAATAAAAATATGATTTTATTAATCTTAACCTATCTTGAATTAGATGATTTAGCAAGATGTGAACTTGTTTGTAATAAATGGCATTATTTTATTAATTAAGATAGTATATAAACTAGAAAAATCTTTAGTAAATTTACTTATAATAGCCTTTAATAATTTAAGTGGCATACAAAGAAGATCTAATAATTATAAATAAAGGATTTAATATTCTATGAAGAAGAATTTAAAGTAGATAAAAATGATATCATTTTTACTATTTCATAACTTGTATTAGAATCACTTACAATCAAACTAAATTAATTGAATATATTTGATTAGTTATTAATCAATCAAAAATAACTTAGAAAATTAGAAATACGAATGCCTATTACAAATAAGGAATTTTAATTACTAACATAATTACCTCATTTAGAAGAAATACATTTAAGAGTTCAAAAAAAAACAGATGAAAATCTTAAAGTTAGTCAATTACGTAATCTTAGAGCTATATCACTCTAATTATAAGGAATATAATATTAAGAAGTTCTTTAATTGGTTTAAAATTGTTATAAAACATTGACTGAATTAGAAATAGATGCTGATGAATACAATCATGATTAAATGCTCTAAATTGTTGATTGTTTAAATAAGGATAAAATATAGAAATTGTATATTTATTACTTTAATGATTACTCTAATCAGATCATACAAAAACTAAGTTAATTTCATAATTTGAATAAGTAATTTAGATTTCTTAACTAATAGGCTATCTATTTTTAAAGCTTAAGATATTGATTAGAATTATATGTACTAATTATTCTATAATAAATAATTTTAAGAAATCAATTTAAATTAATGTGATGGTATTACCAACAAAGTTTTATATTAAATAGCTTAGAATAGTTAATAACTTAAATATATTAATTTATCATGGAACTTTCATATAAGTGATTAATGTGTATCATTAATATTAGAGAATTCTAAATAATTAGAAGAAGTATATTTAATAGGATGTAAATAATTAACATTTGATTGTATACCTTAAAATTTGAATGGTTTATTTCAAAAATTAAGAATTTTAAATTTTGAATCATGCAATAATATGAATGACGATAAGTTGATGAAACTTAAAAATCAATTTAAATATATCAAAATTATTAATTATTATGGAGATGAGATTGATAAATTTTGATATCATTTAAATATATTATTAATGATTTCACATATTTAATAATATATAATTATATTATATATATATTTACTTAATTGTAAGACCAAACACAAATGAATATAATAATATTTATTAAGACCTATTATTTACAATTAAAATGGTTTAATAATATTATATAAGATTTATAGATATAAATTTTAATTCATTATCTCATTCATACTTATAGTATCTGATATGTTGAATATTTCTTTAATTTCTGATCCCAAAATACTAAATATTATCCATCATTTGTTATAGTACCATAATTATGTTGAGTTCCACAATCAACAGATGATAGAATAATAAATTTTCCATTTTCTAATTATCTAATTAGATAGATATGATATTTATGTTTTATTAATAAGAAATTCTTATTTTTATTATATATTATAGGAAAATAGTATTAATCTTCGCAATCATTATTCTTAATATTAATAGTCTTATTCTTATTTTATTAATACATTGAGCATTCTTATTCAAATACTAAAATACCCTAATTTTAGGTTACCCAAAGGAATTAATAATCATTTATAAATATAACTCTATTTCCTTTAGGTAAATATTTTAATTGATCCAAATAGTATTAAAATTAATAAGATTTAGTATTATTTATAATTTATTAATTATCAATATTACTTTTTTTCTTCCAAATAATATATAAATCAGATCCACAAGATAAAAATGAATTCTCAGATTAATTATAACTTAATGATAGAACATATTCAGAATGCTATTTTAAAGAATACTTATAAGTAAGTTGATTATTTATAAAATCTACACTCCAAATGATAATTTATTTATCATCACTTCCTGATATCAATTCATCTTCTTTTTAATTTAATATTAAACAATTAACAGTATCATTATGATATTAATATATATTTGAATTCCATTTATTAAGATTAACTTATTTCCAACAAATAATCTTCTTATCTGCAGAACCAGAAATAAAATTATTTAAGAATTTACTATAAACTAGACATTTAACATGAAGATTGTGTATTTAAAGTTGATTTTATAAACTTANAGATTGATAAATTTTGATATCATTTAAATATATTATTAATGATTTCACATATTTAATAATATATAATTATATTATATATATATTTACTTAATTGTAAGACCAAACACAAATGAATATAATAATATTTATTAAGACCTATTATTTACAATTAAAATGGTTTAATAATATTATATAAGATTTATAGATATAAATTTTAATTCATTATCTCATTCATACTTATAGTATCTGATATGTTGAATATTTCTTTAATTTCTGATCCCAAAATACTAAATATTATCCATCATTTGTTATAGTACCATAATTATGTTGAGTTCCACAATCAACAGATGATAGAATAATAAATTTTCCATTTTCTAATTATCTAATTAGATAGATATGATATTTATGTTTTATTAATAAGAAATTCTTATTTTTATTATATATTATAGGAAAATAGTATTAATCTTCGCAATCATTATTCTTAATATTAATAGTCTTATTCTTATTTTATTAATACATTGAGCATTCTTATTCAAATACTAAAATACCCTAATTTTAGGTTACCCAAAGGAATTAATAATCATTTATAAATATAACTCTATTTCCTTTAGGTAAATATTTTAATTGATCCAAATAGTATTAAAATTAATAAGATTTAGTATTATTTATAATTTATTAATTATCAATATTACTTTTTTTCTTCCAAATAATATATAAATCAGATCCACAAGATAAAAATGAATTCTCAGATTAATTATAACTTAATGATAGAACATATTCAGAATGCTATTTTAAAGAATACTTATAAGTAAGTTGATTATTTATAAAATCTACACTCCAAATGATAATTTATTTATCATCACTTCCTGATATCAATTCATCTTCTTTTTAATTTAATATTAAACAATTAACAGTATCATTATGATATTAATATATATTTGAATTCCATTTATTAAGATTAACTTATTTCCAACAAATAATCTTCTTATCTGCAGAACCAGAAATAAAATTATTTAAGAATTTACTATAAACTAGACATTTAACATGAAGATTGTGTATTTAAAGTTGATTTTATAAACTTAATTCTCCTTTTTCAAATCTCCATATTTTTATTGATTCCATATCATTTGAAACCATAATTTATCCAGTTTTATCAAATACTATTGACTCACATCTACCATCTTATTTATTATTTTTATTATCTATTAATTTTAATTTAATCTTTTCTTAAATTAAATCTACCTATTTCTTTTCTTCACTAACTGAAACAATATCATTCTATGTTACTTAATCATCTTCTCCTATCAAAATATATTCATTATTATTATTATTTATTTATATATTATTTAATCGACTAAGACACTAATCATTACCTTTAAAATTCTTAAATCTTTGTAATTATTTAATAATTATTTATTTCATATATCTATTTTATTAATTTATTTTATCTATTTACTATTTTAAAAACTAATCATCTCCATTTAAATTATCTTATACATTTTGATTTTTCAAAACTTAATCAAACCTTAAAAAATTTAACTTTCTTATCCATTATTCTGCATTTTCAATAATATTATCTACTTCTTATACAATAATTTATTTCAGTTGTTTTAAAAGTTCTTAAATACTCTATATCTCTTAAATTTTGATTGCAATATCATTATTTACTAATTCTTTTATCTCTTTTTTTCTAAGTTCTATTTTTTATTTTATATCTAATATATATGTTGCCTTTAAAATATCTGATTATATAGTATAATTCTTTTTATCATTTAATTATCTCTCATTCTTATCACTTTGAGAATCTGGAGTGGTTGTAGAAACTGAATCCTTTTAATCTGTAATCTCTTTAGATTTTTTGTTATTATTGATAATAATTCTCAACATTAAAACAGAATTACATTTCTCTACAAAATCATCAGTTTTAATATAATTAATGATCTATTACATTCATAAAGCCTGATGATTATTATAAAGGAATGTTATTATCTACCTAAAATAATTATTGTAAATAATTATAACCATAGTGGAAATTTACATATAAAGGGGAATTTACAGATTCATTACTAATTTCATTATAAAAATATGAATATTGGTATAAATCAATCAACATTACTTTAGTTTTATACTCTTTCTATATTTTAACAAACAAAAAAAATAAAAAATATTGATAAAAATAATTAAAAATAACTAAAAAAGGAATTAAAAAATAATATTAATTTTGGATTTAATTTCAGCAACAGATTTCTTTTTTTTAGTCTTCTTTCTTAGTGTCTTTAACATCTTTAATTTATAATCCTTTCTTTTTCTTACCTTTACTTTCTTATGCTTAAACTTTGATTGAGATACCTTATATTATATGTAAATGTTTACTCTCTGCCAAAGTTTTAAACATTTCATTAATGCCAATACCTGATTTAGCTGAAGTAAAGAAATGCTTAGCTCCAATTTTCTTACAATATTCCTCTACTTCATTCTTATCAATCTACATCTGATTTTTCATGTCACTTTTATTACCTGCAACAACAATAGAAATATCCTTAGTTCCAAATGATCTTAATTCCTCTACCCATTTCTCAACCTAAAATAATATACACAACACTTATACCTTTAGAAATGATTCCTTATATGTTACATCATATACCAAAACTGCTCCATATGCATCTCTATAATAAACTGTAGTCAAAGCATGAAATATTTCTTGTCCTGCAGTATCCTATTATTAAATCGTCAAAGTACCCAAATTGCTAATGTTATATTCTTGCCACCACCTAAATCTACACCCTTCTCAAAGAATGTAGCATCTATAGAAGATTGCTGATTCTCATTGAATTAATCTTTACAATATTTTAAAGTCAGACATGTCTTCCCTACTCTACCTAATCATTTATTCATCTAATCTAACCTTCCCCTAACATAACTATCTTAATTGGAGCACTCATCAGAATTTATTAATTTTAATATATATATTTATACACATGATTCTATTTTTATACCAATTATATAGATTTACAATATAATAAATTATTAAATAGTTTCTTTCGATAATATAAAATAGATTAACCAAAAATAATTTGAATAATACATTCTACTTAGAATAATATTATTCAAAAAAAAGTATAAGAATAATAATTATTATATAAATTATATAATGTATAATAACAATTATAATTATAATGCACTTTCAAGATTAAATACAGGATCATCATTCTTGAATCAAAAGATTCCTGTAAAGTAATAAAGAGCTTAAGAATGTTCAGCACCATTTAGTGCAACAATTACACCAATAAAGGAATCAAGAGAATCATATTAGCCGATAATAGAGAATTATTTCAATTTACAAATAGAAACACAAGAAGATAAAATTTGTTTTGAATGTTTGAATAGTTTTATTTAGAATATGACTTATGGTATGGAAATAACAAAGAAAATTTTAATTGATAACTTATTAGGATTGAGAAATTTTATTGATTTCATTTTGAATTAGCAATAGGAACCATCAGGAATAGAACAATAAAACAGTTGTTTATAAAGTATTAATTCATTTTAAATTGGATAATCAATGAATAATTAATAAAATATACATGAGATTCAATTAATTGAATAAAATAGTTTTCCAAATTGTTTTAATCGTCTTTTAGATGAATAAAATAAGAATCTACAAAGTTAATTAATAGTACATCAATCTTAATAAAGTAAAGGATTTCAAATAAATCAAACAGAACAATAGAATGAATCAGTTGATCTATCAAATCAGAGTTATTATTCAGAGTATAAACGGCAAGCATAAAATATTGAGATGGATTTATAAAGTTTTCTAAAATAAAAATGAGTTTAACATATATTCAATATTATGATCACTATTTAATTCTGATATTCGCATGCTGAATGCTATATCTTGAAGTAAAAGCTTGTATTGCTGGAGTTTGGAGACTAGAAAAGTGATGATGACTAACTGATTTAGTCTTGTCTGCAGTTCTATCTCTACTGTACTTAATTAAACCCTCATTATTTCTTATTCTGAATTAACTAAGAAGTACTGGAGGTAACTCGCTTCTTTTCATACTCCTAGTTGTTAAGGCATTCCTATCACATAAACAACTATCTCTGGTATTAATGGATTTAATCATTACTGGAATCTCAATTTTCTTTTGAGAATGATCCTTCCAATATTTTACTGTTGACATCATGATTGAAGCTCTCTTTACAGCCTTTCTCAGTGTAGCCTTATTGTCTATTTTTGGTTTCTACATTGCATGTTACATACAAATGGATTGAGGATATAGACAATTCAATCGATTCATTTTCTACCCTTAAATACCCTCTTAATAACTCTTTCTTCTTTATTTCGTTGGCATTTCTTATAATTCATGAACAAACGATGTATTTCCATTCCTCTTAGGTTAAACCAGAGATATTAACAATGAATTACGCTTCTCATTAACCATTTTATAACATCTACTACTTGTTTTATGATTCCGATTTATATCTAAATTTGATAGATATCCTTATTGATTTTTCATTTCTTTATAATAATTAAATTAAACTATATATTTAAAATATTGTATCAAATTTCAATTGATAATTACCAGATATTCTAATATTCTTTATTAATATTATATATACACTTTTTTTATGTTATACACAATATGTTTTGACAACTTAAATAATAAATCTAAGAAATTCTTAATAAATAATTTTACTATCTTTGTTTAATAATAAATTATTTAAGATTTATTATTGATTATGATTTTTTTATTTTAGAATGTCTTTTTTAGATATCATTTTCTATTGTTGTAGTATCAATAATTCAACTTATTTAAGTGGTATAATATAAGTATGATATATAAAAATAAATAGTTCATAATTGAAAAGATCTTATTATTTAAATCTTGTATCTAAATTTTAATAAATTCTGTTTCATTGCATATTCAATGATCATAAATAATAATACTTATTCTAATAGGTTATTATATATATATATCATTATTATTTAGGTTTTGATGGAGTATATGTCAATAGATAATGTACCATTTATGCAATAACTTCTGAATCTAGTTTTTTTAATGGGAAAAAGAATCCATCTTTATCAGTCATTATATCCTCAAATTCTATTATATATATTATGTATTTATACCTGCATCAAGTATTTTTTCTTAATCTATGAATTGATTACAGAGATGTGATCCTCTGACAACAATAATAGGTAATTTGTTAATAATGGCTTCTCTAATTTCATCAAAACAATCATTAGAATCTGCAAATAGAATATTGACAATTTTGCATCTTGGTCTTCCTTTTGTCTTACTAATTTTTCCAGTTGCAATTCTAATATTTAAAAAATAAATTATACGTTTTGCATAAATTAATTTTAAATAGTGCTTCAGTTCCTAAATCAACATTTTCACCTCCAATTAAAAATATATGTGTGTGACCATTACTTAATTCATTTTTTTCAATTTTTGTAGGATTCAATTTTGGATATTAGACAATTTATTCAGGTGCAACACCAATTAACTATACTTAATAGGATAGATACAGTGCAATTTCTTCTAAGACTAAATTTTTCAATGCCAGTTGTAATTCCATTATCAATAATAACAGCATCAGTATTATGACATGCTCTAGCAATACCAGCATAGAATTTGCCACGATTAGAATTTGGATTATCAAAATTGTGTCTACAACCAATAAAATTGACAACAGGTAATCCATCATCTAATTTCAGTTTCGTAAGTATTTCAGTCATTGGAAATGTTTTAGGTTGTGTATAATTAACTTTGATAAGTTTGGCTAATTTTCCTGCTGGAAATAGGAAATCAAAACATTTCCATGCTTGATTCTATTCAAGTTTTTATTGAGTCATAAAGACATTGGGATCTTCAGGAGGCTTGATAAATTGGAATATAATAATACAATTTGGGTATCAAGTTGAAAAGTTTATTATTCTAATTATTATTCTTATTATTATTATTCATCTTATTATTGTTCTTCTTCTTCTCCTTATTCTGACATTATGATAATTAAATAAATTTATATGATTTTATTACTAACCCTAATATCAATTGGGTGTGGTAATTTTTTAGGCAAGGTTAATAATGTTGAAACAGACTATCTAAGAGTATTTTTATTTCCTCATTCACATGATGATGTTGGATGGGTTAGAACAATGATGGAATATTATAAAGATTAGCATGGAGTCAAATAAATTATTAGTTCATATATGGAATAACTAATAAAGGATAAAAGTAAGCATTTCTCTTAAGTTGAGATTGCATTCTTCTCTATGTAATTTCAATTCATTTATATGTAATAGTTGGTGGAATGAACAAAGTGACACAATGAAAGAATAGGTTAAACAATTAGTAAAGAATGAACAATTAGAGTTTTTGAGTGGAGGATGGTGTATGAATGATGAGGCTACATCTTATTATGAAGATATAATAGATTAAATGACACTTGGACATAAATTCTTACTACAACACTTTAATTATATTCCATCAGTTGGATGGCAAGTAGATCCATTTGGACATTCTAATACTTAAGCTCTATTCTCAAATATGATGGGATTCAATGCTTAATTTTTTGGGCGAATTGATTAAGAAGATCGTTCAATTAGAGAAAGAAAAAAAGAATTAGAATTTGTTATACATCCTGATTCAGATTAAGGACATTCCATATTGACACATGTTAATTATTATGGATATTATTCATCACCTAGAGGTTTTGACTTTGATGTTACTAATCCCAATAGATAATAAGTTACAGATTCTAATTTACAATCTAAAACAGATGAATTAGCTAGATATTTCAATCAATAATAAAATTCATACAAAGGTAAAATATTAGCTCATACACTTGGTATGGATTTCTAATGGTCAGATGCTGCCTCCTATTTTGGTTAAATGGATAGAGTAATAAATAAAGTCAATAATAATACAGAAAAATATAAAATGATTATTCAATATGGAACCCCAAAATAATACATCTAAGCATTGTATGAATAAAACATTACATATCCATCTTAATAAGAAGACTTCTTCCCATATGCTGATTACCCTAATCAATATTGGTCTGGATATTTCACTAGTCGTTCAGCATTTAAAGGTTATGTAAGAAGAATAGGTAGATATTTCCAATAAATTAAATTATTTTATTCCTTTATGAAAATCAACAATTAATGTAAATCTCTTTGTGATGAAACGAATCTCAAAAATTTAGCTGAAGCATTAGGTACAGCTTAACATCATGATGCAATCACTGGAACTGCTAAATAATATGTTAATAATGATTATATCAAAATGATCAAAACTGCTTATCAGGAGATGAACAAACAAGTAAGTACTCTACTTAATAGTCTTTCAAATACATAATCTATTACTCATTCTACCTGTAATTTTAATGGATCTAATGTCTGTCACTCATTATTTGATCCTTTAATCAAAAATTAAACTGTCATTCTAACTGTCATTGATGCTAAAGTTAATAATGATGGAATCAAAGAATACCTTAAGATTTTTGTACCTGATAATTTATTCATCAAAGCTCTTGATGAAAAAAACAATCTTTTAAATGGAGAAATCCTATGTACTAATGAATAATGTATTCTCTATTTACCAAGAATTGTTGATAATTCAAAACTCATTCATTTTTATAAACTTCAAACTGTTGCTTCTTAAGATGAAACCGATATTATCAAAATTCAACCTGAAACTATTACTGTTGATAAAGATACAAAACTATTTGGCAAATTTAAACTCAATTATAATTACTATGTTTCATCTTCAGGTGCTTATATCTTTAGACCAGATGGATAGCCACATCCTTATGGAAATTATGTAAAAGCTTATAATTTTACTGGAAGTTTAGTTAAATAAATTTATATCGAAAAAAGTGGTATAAAAGCATGGGTTACAACTTATGATGAAGATGAAAATATCTTTTATTTAGATACATTTGTGGATTCCATTAATATGTCAGATTATAGAGGAAAAGAAGTTATCTTACAAGTCATAACAGATATTAATAATAATAAAGTATTTTATACTGATAGTAATGGATTATCATTATAAAGACGACAAGTTAATCACAGAGATTCATGGCAAATGACAGTTTTAGAACCAGTTTCAGGCAATTATTTCCCTGTTAATGGTGCAATTATGATTAAGAATGAAAATGAAAATTAAGCATGTGCAGTTCTTAATGATAGAGCATAAGGAGGCACAAGTCTTAATAATGGTGTTATTGAATTAATGTTATAAAGACGTTTAAATAATGATGATAACAAAGGAGTCAATGAAAGACTTGATGAATAAGAAGAAGTAGATAAAAAAAAAGTTGGAATGCGATAAATGATGTCCCATACAATTGTATTCTACAACCCTAAATCTGATTCTAATATTCTAAGACAATTATAGTATTAATAAGATTTAAAACCTTTAATTTATTTCTCAACTTAAGATTAAGTTGAATATAAATCATTGGAAAATAAATTCGAAAAATTCATTGAAAAATAATCTGATTATAATTTATGCAAATTTTATATCGAACCATGGTTAACAGAGAATTAATATTTAGTTAGAGTACATAATTTAAGAGAAGAAGGAATCTAAAAACTCAAATTTCCAGCAAGCTTAAAATTTACAGAAACTACTTTAACAGGCAATTAAGAATTAAAGAATTGGGAATAAAACAGATTTAGTAATATACATATTTTCTATATTTTTAGAATGGACTGACACATACACAAATCAATCATCTAAACAAACTTATTAAGAGGATTAAGTTGGACCAATGAAAATTAGAACATGGATTGTTACAATTTGAAATGATGAATATGTATTTTTAAATTTAAATAAACAATTAATTAAATGATTTTAATGAATTTAAACAAAAAAAATATGATATCTTAAATTATAATGTATTTAATACGTTTACAATGCCACAAATTTAATAATTTTATAATCTTTAATTATAAAAAAATAAAGAATTATTCTAATCATTTTCCCTATTTTTATCTCCTTACATACCTTAATAAAAGTAAACAAAAAACTGATAAAGTATTTGTTTTTGGAAAATAAGAAATATAAACTATTAAATAAAATTGCAATATGCACTAAAATAACAAATGATTTTTTCATTAATTAATAAATTTAGGGTATTTTTAACATGAATCTCTTACATAAAATCAGTTTAGAGACAATAAATATTTATGATAAAAATATTAAACTATAATTGAGAATGTAATAAATTAAAAAATGGTTGTCAATTTAAAAAATTAATAAAAATTTTCATTTCAAATACAAAGTTATTTAATATTTTATAAATAAATGAGCAATTTAAATTAAAACCATTGCGTTCATCACAATAAAGAATTAACATATTTCTGTGAATCATGCGAAGAACCAATCTGCAAGCTTTGTACTACTTTAGGACCACATAATTACACAGTAAGAGAATAAGGAATGAATTTAGTTACATCGAATTAATTCATTGTAAGAAGCGTTTAAGATGAGAGTTGAACATATAAAATAAGAAATATTGCATAATATTTTACCAAAGAGAGATGAAATATTTGCTTAGATAAATAGAATTGAATACAGAATTTAAGAGATTAAATATGTTAAAAATATTATTGAACGAGATTGCAGAGCTGAAATGAATGGAATAGAGGATCGTTTAAATTAAGCTGAATCAATGAAATAAACAATTCTTTAACATTAAATATCAGTGATATAATAGTAAGTATTATTGAATATATGATATTAGGGATTTAGATGAGATGAATGATTTGGCAATTTAATTTTTTAATTTAACAAAAAAGAATGATTACCTTGAATTTTTATTTGATAGTTAAAGTCTATTGGATAGAATTGAATTTTTGATTGCAAAACCATATAATAAAGGATTAGATGAGATTCCAGATGATTTACCTAGAGAATTAACTGATTTAAGATTACTATTAGGTAAGATGGAGGGACAATAGTAATTACTTGAAATTCTAAATGAGATTATATGGAGAATGATAAATGAGAGAAAACATGAAGAGGAATTATCATAATAAATATTAAAAAGACATTCAGAAAATGAGATTAAAGAATGGTAAAAATTGGTGGAATTCTTTACTGAATAATTAAAAGAATCAGAAATGATATGTTATTTTTGTAATGAACCATTAGATATAAAAACAATAAATAAAACATGTAAGAAAAATAAGGATGATATTCCTGATAATTGTAAAAAAAAGTGAATTTTATTTTAGTTATTGGATATACAATTGAAAAACCAACAGATTAATANATGAATTTAAACAAAAAAAATATGATATCTTAAATTATAATGTATTTAATACGTTTACAATGCCACAAATTTAATAATTTTATAATCTTTAATTATAAAAAAATAAAGAATTATTCTAATCATTTTCCCTATTTTTATCTCCTTACATACCTTAATAAAAGTAAACAAAAAACTGATAAAGTATTTGTTTTTGGAAAATAAGAAATATAAACTACGGGTTTGATGATTAATGCAAATTATCACATATATTAGAAGACATCATCATATATGAATAGAATATCTAATTTAATAAACATCAATTAATTTTAAAACCTCTCTTGATTGTTCTTTTAAGAAAGATTCTTTAAAGGGTAAAAGGACTTATAGAGTGCTTATAAAATTTATAGGAATGAAATCTAAATGTGAAAGAAACAATAAAAATTGATGATGTGTTGCAAAAAAATAACTACATTGAAGTAATAGTTTTAATTGCTAATAAAATATCAAATTTATGAGGAAATGATTTATGATGTTGAATTTGAAATTTAACTTCATACAATAATATTTATGTAATATTGTTCCATAAAACCGAAAATCCGCAACATTTCATAAGAGCATTGCTATTGATTTTAAATACCAAAGGAAGAAATTTAAAATAAATATAACATCAATCAAAACTTAATATTAGATAAATATTAGTAAGAAATATAATAAAAGTAAATTAACTTTGATATTTGTATAATAATGTAAAACTTCATTATAGGAATATCAAAATGAAAGAAATATTAATTTTCTTTATTTGATTATTATTATTATATTTAATATTTTATAAATAAATGAGCAATTTAAATTAAAACCATTGCGTTCATCACAATAAAGAATTAACATATTTCTGTGAATCATGCGAAGAACCAATCTGCAAGCTTTGTACTACTTTAGGACCACATAATTACACAGTAAGAGAATAAGGAATGAATTTAGTTACATCGAATTAATTCATTGTAAGAAGCGTTTAAGATGAGAGTTGAACATATAAAATAAGAAATATTGCATAATATTTTACCAAAGAGAGATGAAATATTTGCTTAGATAAATAGAATTGAATACAGAATTTAAGAGATTAAATATGTTAAAAATATTATTGAACGAGATTGCAGAGCTGAAATGAATGGAATAGAGGATCGTTTAAATTAAGCTGAATCAATGAAATAAACAATTCTTTAACATTAAATATCAGTGATATAATAGTAAGTATTATTGAATATATGATATTAGGGATTTAGATGAGATGAATGATTTGGCAATTTAATTTTTTAATTTAACAAAAAAGAATGATTACCTTGAATTTTTATTTGATAGTTAAAGTCTATTGGATAGAATTGAATTTTTGATTGCAAAACCATATAATAAAGGATTAGATGAGATTCCAGATGATTTACCTAGAGAATTAACTGATTTAAGATTACTATTAGGTAAGATGGAGGGACAATAGTAATTACTTGAAATTCTAAATGAGATTATATGGAGAATGATAAATGAGAGAAAACATGAAGAGGAATTATCATAATAAATATTAAAAAGACATTCAGAAAATGAGATTAAAGAATGGTAAAAATTGGTGGAATTCTTTACTGAATAATTAAAAGAATCAGAAATGATATGTTATTTTTGTAATGAACCATTAGATATAAAAACAATAAATAAAACATGTAAGAAAAATAAGGATGATATTCCTGATAATTGTAAAAAAAAGTGAATTTTATTTTAGTTATTGGATATACAATTGAAAAACCAACAGATTAATAGACAGGAACCAAGAGACATTTTTATGGACATGCTGTTTTATAAGCTAANTTAAATAAAATTGCAATATGCACTAAAATAACAAATGATTTTTTCATTAATTAATAAATTTAGGGTATTTTTAACATGAATCTCTTACATAAAATCAGTTTAGAGACAATAAATATTTATGATAAAAATATTAAACTATAATTGAGAATGTAATAAATTAAAAAATGGTTGTCAATTTAAAAAATTAATAAAAATTTTCATTTCAAATACAAAGTTATTTAATATTTTATAAATAAATGAGCAATTTAAATTAAAACCATTGCGTTCATCACAATAAAGAATTAACATATTTCTGTGAATCATGCGAAGAACCAATCTGCAAGCTTTGTACTACTTTAGGACCACATAATTACACAGTAAGAGAATAAGGAATGAATTTAGTTACATCGAATTAATTCATTGTAAGAAGCGTTTAAGATGAGAGTTGAACATATAAAATAAGAAATATTGCATAATATTTTACCAAAGAGAGATGAAATATTTGCTTAGATAAATAGAATTGAATACAGAATTTAAGAGATTAAATATGTTAAAAATATTATTGAACGAGATTGCAGAGCTGAAATGAATGGAATAGAGGATCGTTTAAATTAAGCTGAATCAATGAAATAAACAATTCTTTAACATTAAATATCAGTGATATAATAGTAAGTATTATTGAATATATGATATTAGGGATTTAGATGAGATGAATGATTTGGCAATTTAATTTTTTAATTTAACAAAAAAGAATGATTACCTTGAATTTTTATTTGATAGTTAAAGTCTATTGGATAGAATTGAATTTTTGATTGCAAAACCATATAATAAAGGATTAGATGAGATTCCAGATGATTTACCTAGAGAATTAACTGATTTAAGATTACTATTAGGTAAGATGGAGGGACAATAGTAATTACTTGAAATTCTAAATGAGATTATATGGAGAATGATAAATGAGAGAAAACATGAAGAGGAATTATCATAATAAATATTAAAAAGACATTCAGAAAATGAGATTAAAGAATGGTAAAAATTGGTGGAATTCTTTACTGAATAATTAAAAGAATCAGAAATGATATGTTATTTTTGTAATGAACCATTAGATATAAAAACAATAAATAAAACATGTAAGAAAAATAAGGATGATATTCCTGATAATTGTAAAAAAAAGTGAATTTTATTTTAGTTATTGGATATACAATTGAAAAACCAACAGATTAATAGACAGGAACCAAGAGACATTTTTATGGACATGCTGTTTTATAAGCTAAAATGCCTAAATTATAGGAAGAAAAAAAGAAATTACCTAGTGCAGTGATTATTGAAGGAATTATGTCTAAGATAAAAGTAAGAATGTAAGATAAATAAGTTAAATTATTAGAAATCTTTTAAGAACATGATAATGATAAGAATGGTACTATATATAATAATAATTTTAGGTTATGTAAATGAAATAATATTCAATTATATTATGCAAGAACATTTGTAATTGATTGATGAAGAGATTGAAAATATTGTAATGTTTATGGATTGCAAAAATGATATTAATTACAATATACTTTTTAATATGTTGAAAAGTTCAAATTTGATTTAAAAAATGGAGACTGATTTAATATAAAAATATAGGCCTCCAAAGAGTAAAAAAAGAACACCATCCTAAAATTGAAAAAATTGATATTTAATGGCTATTAAATTATAATAAAATTTAGTTTTATTAATTTTCAATGATTTAAGAATAAAATCAATGAAAATAATATGATCAATAAAATATTGCATTTTTTATCTTAGATTCCTTTAAAAAAATAATTTACATTGTATTTTATTAATGATTGTGACATTATCATAATTGACGACATCAATATCGTTTGAGAACATCATCATAATTAATGAGTTATAAATAATTGTATCGTATATATATGTGTAAATGGAAATTATTAAACTGATTTAGTGAAAAAAATCTTTGATTTTAGATTCATGGGTCATATTTTATTGTGATAAATATTAAATGTAATCTTAATCTATAAAATCTAATGGAAGTGTACTTCTAGATTACTTTAAGAGTCTTGAAGAAGAGAATTGGAATATAGAATTGACCCAGTATTAGAAACTAGTCGATTTTAAATTAAGTTAGAATGTGATAACTTTTGCAGAAGTGCAAAACTTTTATGCATTTGAGGATCAAAAGTAAGTGTAAAACTTAATGTAGGAATTTCCTTTAAATGCATTCGCAAACTTAATGGACAGACCAAGAATGGAAAATATTGATTTGGATTGTGATATCGTATTGTACGATACATAAAATGAATCTTTTAAAAATGGTATGTAGTATATCGATATTTAGAATGATTGGGAGATGATTGAGAAGTTAATAAAATTCAAAAGTGGTTTAAATTGTTAATATAAATGGCTATGTCATGTAATTGGAAGAGAGGATAGATTATAATGGTGTTAAGAAGAGGAATAGATGTTAAAAGAGGAAGTTGAAAATAGCAAAAATTTGAAATGGCATGAAATACAATTTTAGATATTCATGAAATCTAATGGGAGATATTTTAAGAAAGCCAAACAATGTAGAGAGAGATGGAACAATTATTTGGATCCCAGAATAAATAGGTATAATGAAAGTGAGGTTTTTTTATAGGAGTTATTGGAAACCAGAAGAGGATTTGTGTTTGATGAAATTAGCTTAATCTGAAGGTTTGAAATGGTCCAAAATTTCTTATAAGATGAAAAATAGAACTGAAAATTAAGTAAAAAATAGATTTAAGAGTCTAATAAATAAGGAGACAAAAGGATTACAAATATAATTAGATATGGGTTAACTTATTGACAACATCATCTAAAAATTAGTCCCCTTATAATTTAATACTACTAGTGATTATGTGCAAGAAGAAAAACCATAAAAAGTAATCTGTTTAGATAGGAATATTAATTATATATAATAACAATAATTTTGGATATACTAATATTAGTACTATTTGGCATAGTAGTAATATTAAATGTGTTATAATTACTATTAGGGAGAGTAATCAATCAAAAGTGAAGATTGTCAATCTGAAAAGATATCTAGATCTAATAGCTTTTGTGGATTATTAGATAAGTTATCCTTAGATTCAAAGTCTTTGACTTAAGAATTAAATAAACAATAAAATGTTTAAGAAATTGAAATTCCAATCAATAATATTACAAAATCATAATAATAAATTACTATTCCTAATTTTATAACAGAAAATTAAGGAAAAGTCAAATCTAACAAACAAAGATTCAAGTTTTCTTCTGGAGATTAATGATTAATTATTAATATTTTTATTTAGAAGTAAATCAAACATGTGGTTTTTCAGATCGCTTAGAGCTCTCCAATTAGGATACCCAGCTTATGTCTGTTGGATGATTAAGGGAACATAACCCAGTCATGCCCATGAAGAATGAAACATTTAATCATTTGCATCATTATTATAATCACCTATAATTATCACTATTATTCTAAAATTATGATTCTTAGTTAATAAGAATGAAGAGGAGTAATAAATAGTTTAATGATGACTCAAACTAATCAATGAATATAAATAAATGTGATAATTCATTCAATCTCTATAATCTGATTGAAAATAGAATGGTTAAAAATACCTTAATCATAATATATATATTTAAAAGAAATATGAAATAAATGATTAATGCAAAAATAAATAAGAAAGTATGATATTCAAGACAAATGAAAATAAATGTATATAATATAGTCTCAAAATATTTTATATACATTTATTTTATTCAAAAATCCATTATTCAAATATATGGATTAAATAATTCTTGTGTTGATATTAAAGTAATATCCTTGATATCAACTTAAGATATTTAACAATTAAGGAATAAGTGAAGATTTTAATGTAATTAGATAGATTTAAAAATAATTGTTAAAGAAATCAATATAAAATTACATATATAAAAAGTGAGTTAACTAATATGAAAATATATGAATATTATCATTAAAAAGTATATTAATAAAATGATTCATTTTAGTGATTAATATAAAATAAATGAATAACACTAATTAATTTAAAAATTAAAATTTTACCGTTCACATGTATAAAATGAGAAGACCATTATCTGAAAAGAATTTGGGAAGGTATATTCCTGAACAAACAAGACCAAGTTCAGCTAACTAAATAAAATAATTAACTCAAATGAAAAGTTCAACCCATTTGAGCAAATAAAATTTTTCATATAAGGATCAAAAGGAGAATATGGAAATAAGATCAAATTAATAAGACATAACAAATAAGAAGCCAAATACTAAAGAAATCTTTGAATATAAAAAACTATAAGATAAATTATCATATTTGGAGTAAAAGATAATAAATATCAAAACACATATTGATAATAGTTAGAGATAAACAAAACAAGGTTTGGCATCCAGATTTTTTACTACTAAAAGTAATGATTAATAATAACAATAATAATAATAATAATAAGATAACATTAATAAACCAAAAATTAGCAAGAATGATCTTGATTTAAATTAAATGCAAAATAAATTAAAATCAAGCACTTTAGTTAATGATCCAAGAGTAGTATCAAATGATAATCTAAATAAAAAGCCATCCTTATCTACCTTTGTAACTTAATAGAAAACAAGTAGTGAAGCTAATATCTAAAAGATAATCTAAATTCATCCTGAATCAGCTAAAGGAATGGCTTAGAAAATAGCATTTTCAAATAATTAGAGAGAAAGATCAACAAAATCTGAGACTTAATTTCTATATTATATTTCATCTGTTATAAGATGTTATATGACACCTGAAATAACAAAACCAATATAATAAGTTAGAGAACATTTAATTTAATCAATATCAGCTGCTTAGTATTCTAAAATGAAGAATTCTTAATAATATGAAGAGAAGAGAGTTAATTTACCATCTATTTCATTAAAAAAAACAATAGTGTTTGATTTAGATGAAACATTAATTCATTGTAATGAATCAATAAAAGTGCCAGGTGATGTAATTTTGCCTATAAGATTTCCAACAGGAGATGTGATAGAGGTATTTTATAAATTAAAATTAGGCATCAATTAATATTAGACCTTATGCTCAATAGGTTTTATAGACATTGAGTAGACATTTTGAATTGATTGTATTTACAGCTTCACATTCTTGTTATGCAAATGTTGTGATTGATTATTTGGATCCAACAAAATAATGGATATCGCATAGATTCTTCAGAGAGAGTTGTGTATAGACTGAAGAAGGAGCATTTATTAAGGATCTAAGGTATTGAGTGATTGTTTTTGGTTAGAGTCATTGGAAACAGACTGTTATCGGATCTGGTACTTGTAGATAATGCTGCATATTCATTTTGTATGTAGTAATTAAATGGTATTCCGATCCTGAATTTTTATGATAATAAATCTGATTAAGTATGAAATATAAAAGAGTATTAATAGGAATTACTTTATTTACAAAATTATTTAATGGCTATGAAGTATGCAAAGGATGTGAGATAATTTAATTAATAATATTTGAAACTAGATAGATTTGGAGAGTTCAAGGATCCAATTTAGTTATTAGAGNGACATAACAAATAAGAAGCCAAATACTAAAGAAATCTTTGAATATAAAAAACTATAAGATAAATTATCATATTTGGAGTAAAAGATAATAAATATCAAAACACATATTGATAATAGTTAGAGATAAACAAAACAAGGTTTGGCATCCAGATTTTTTACTACTAAAAGTAATGATTAATAATAACAATAATAATAATAATAATAAGATAACATTAATAAACCAAAAATTAGCAAGAATGATCTTGATTTAAATTAAATGCAAAATAAATTAAAATCAAGCACTTTAGTTAATGATCCAAGAGTAGTATCAAATGATAATCTAAATAAAAAGCCATCCTTATCTACCTTTGTAACTTAATAGAAAACAAGTAGTGAAGCTAATATCTAAAAGATAATCTAAATTCATCCTGAATCAGCTAAAGGAATGGCTTAGAAAATAGCATTTTCAAATAATTAGAGAGAAAGATCAACAAAATCTGAGACTTAATTTCTATATTATATTTCATCTGTTATAAGATGTTATATGACACCTGAAATAACAAAACCAATATAATAAGTTAGAGAACATTTAATTTAATCAATATCAGCTGCTTAGTATTCTAAAATGAAGAATTCTTAATAATATGAAGAGAAGAGAGTTAATTTACCATCTATTTCATTAAAAAAAACAATAGTGTTTGATTTAGATGAAACATTAATTCATTGTAATGAATCAATAAAAGTGCCAGGTGATGTAATTTTGCCTATAAGATTTCCAACAGGAGATGTGATAGAGGTATTTTATAAATTAAAATTAGGCATCAATTAATATTAGACCTTATGCTCAATAGGTTTTATAGACATTGAGTAGACATTTTGAATTGATTGTATTTACAGCTTCACATTCTTGTTATGCAAATGTTGTGATTGATTATTTGGATCCAACAAAATAATGGATATCGCATAGATTCTTCAGAGAGAGTTGTGTATAGACTGAAGAAGGAGCATTTATTAAGGATCTAAGGTATTGAGTGATTGTTTTTGGTTAGAGTCATTGGAAACAGACTGTTATCGGATCTGGTACTTGTAGATAATGCTGCATATTCATTTTGTATGTAGTAATTAAATGGTATTCCGATCCTGAATTTTTATGATAATAAATCTGATTAAGTATGAAATATAAAAGAGTATTAATAGGAATTACTTTATTTACAAAATTATTTAATGGCTATGAAGTATGCAAAGGATGTGAGATAATTTAATTAATAATATTTGAAACTAGATAGATTTGGAGAGTTCAAGGATCCAATTTAGTTATTAGAGACTTTGTTCAAAGAGTATATACCATGATTAATAAAATTATAATTAACAGTTTATTTTGAATATGCAAAGATAACCACTCTCATAGATTGACTATAATTAAGATAATAGAGGAGTAACACCTAAAAACACACAATTCAAAACTACTACTCTAAATAGTGATTTTAAAAGCAATCAAAATTATAATGTTTAATTCAAAGTTAAACCACAGATCTAAGAATAACACAATTCAATTATCATGAGTCCAGCACCTTTACGTAGGAATACAATTCAATAATTAATAACTTCTCCATTATAAAAAAATTATAGCTAGAAACATATAGAAATTCATTCACCTAGATATAGAGGTATTTCATAATAACCACATACTAATCATTTATTAACAGAAGTTCAATTCATTAAAGATTAAAATTAGAAATTACAAGAATCAATTTTCAAATTAGAATCATAAATTTAAAGAGGGAATAGTACTTAATTTATTAGAGAATTAGAAAACAAAATTATTATGTTATAAACTTTAAATGATAAATTGAATTAAGATAATAGCTCTTTACTAAGAATTACTGATATTGAAGGTTTACGTAAAGAAAAGGAGTAATAGTAAACTGAATTATTGTAGATGTAAGAAGAATATGATAGATTACTATAAAAATTGGAATAATTCAATTGTGATAATCTAAAAGGTTTGGATTCATTAAATGAATATAATAAACTTAAATCTTTAGTATCAGATCTTGAATCTTAAATAACAGGTTTAATAATTGAAAATGAATAGTTGAATATAATTTATTCTGAATTCTCAAATTTAGATTAAGAAGTATAATAATTGCAATTGGAACTTCAATCTTAATAAATATAATACTAGAAATCAAAACATGATGAAGTTTAATATAGATACAAATATGATTCAGCTATGCATGAAGACAAGATGCAAAAATAAAAGTTAAATTCTCAAAGAAATACTCATTTAGATAAATTTAATGATAAAGTATTTAAATTGTTTTAATATTTAGATTAAGTTATTAGAAGAGGAAAATAAGAAATTAAAGAATTTGATTACAGACATTGATTATGATGAAGAAATAAAAGAACTTGAAGATAGAGTATATATATAAATAATTATATCTTTAGATTTCAATCATAGGTTAAAATAATAGAAAATTAGAACATTAGTTATTACAATAATGATGATAATTTATAAATAATCATATTAATATCTCGTAATTATTAATCTTTATCTATTTTAATAAAATATATTTCTTATTAACAATACACTTTTTGAAAATCAAATTTAACAATTTACAATTAAGATAATTTACAAAATTTATTTTTTTAATAATTACATGATTTATCATTAATTCCAATATCATATATAGATACTACATATATTATCTGAAATTTATTTTGCTCAAAAAACACATATGTTAATATTAATCATGATATGTATATATATTTTTTCTAAGAGATCTTAATGTATGAATCTTTGTTACAACAATATATGAAAGTAATTAAAATAAAACCATCTAAAATAGATTTATTAGTAGCCATGTAATATGAATATAATTTAATTAAATTATTACGCGCCTTATGCAAAAAAAAATTGCCTCATATTTTAAATCAAGTAAGAAAGGGGATGATTCAAATGATTAAATTAAGGAATAACAATTTATAGAAGAAAATCTCAAGAAGGAGAAACTAATCTTAGAATAAACAGTGTGTTCTTCAAAATCAAAATAACACAATATAGAAGTGAAAGGTGCTGTTCTATTTATTGATATGGCAGAATTATATGAATAAGTATAATGTGATGTCAATATAAAAGGTTGGAGAAATAAAAGGGTAGAATTCTAAGGATGCTATCAAAGAATTAGTTGCCAAAATGTTTATCAGAATCATGAAAGAAAATAAAGAAGAATTTGTACCAGCATACTTATTTAGTATTTTAAAATTGGGACCTGATTATGAATCATGGGAATTAGGAATTGGATAAGGAATCATTGTTAAATCTATCAGTGCTGTTTCTGGGAAGAGTGTATATAAAATATAACTATGAAAAGGAAAAATAAGTTAGAGAATTAATGAACACATTGGGAGATTTAGGTTTAGCGATAGAAAAATCAAAATCAACTTAAACATAATTGAATAAGTTTTTTGTATCTTAAACTGTAAAAGAGGATGTTAAATTAACAATGATCTAAGTATTTAATACTTTATAATAATTACAAAAATAAGAAGGAACAGGAAGTTCATTAGAAAAAGAGAGAATTTTGACTAATTTATTAAGAATGGCTAAACCTATTGAAGCAAAATATATAGTAAGATTTATAGAGAAGAATTTAAAGATTGGAGCAGCTGAAAAGACTATGTAAGCTGCTTTAGCTAGAGCATTCTAATTATATCATAAGGGGATAGTTGAAGGGGATTATGAAAGTATTATAAATTAAGCATTATGTGAATGTCCAAATTACAAAAAGATTATTGATACTTTATTTAGTATTCAGAGTTTAAAAGAAGTTCCTGAATTATGTCATATAATACCAGGAGTTCCATGTAAACCTATGTTAGCTAAACCTATGAAATCTATTTAGATGATATTTTAGAGATTTGAAAATATGAAATTTACATGTGAATATAAATATGATGGATTAAGAGGATAGATTCATTTTGAAAATGGTAAAGTGAGTATCTTTTCTAGAAATCTAGAAAATATGACTCAAACATATCCAGATATTGTTACTTATATTCAAACTAATTATAAACATTTAGATGGTTTCATTATTGATTCTGAAATTGTTGCTTATGATGTTGCAAATAATAGAATATTGCCATTTCAAACATTAACAAGTAGAGCTAAAAAGAATGTTGATTAAAATTAAATTGAAATTCAAGTTTGTTTATACATATTTGATTTGTTATATTTGAATAAATAAAGTTATTTGAAAGAGACTTTAGAAAAAAGAAGATAGACTTTAAGAGAAACATTTAAAGAGGAGGAAGGAAAATTGAAATTTGCAACTTCTAGAGATTCAGAAAATTTTGAAGAAATTGAAGAATTTTTATTAAATTCAATTAAAATGGGATGTGAAGGTTTGATGATCAAAACTTTAGAGATTAATTCATAATATGAACCAGCTAAAAGATCATTTAATTGGTTAAAATTAAAAAAGGATTATTTAGATAATGGATTATCTGATACATTTGATTTAGTACCTATTGGTGCTTGTTATGGAACAGGAAAAAGAAAAGGATTTTATGGTAGTTATTTATTAGCTTGTTATAATGAAGATATGGATCAATATGAAACTACTTGTAAGATTGGTACAGGATTTAGTGATGAAAATTTAGAAAAGTTCTTTTAATTCTTTTAAGAATACTTAATTCCACATCCATTATAAGAATATAAATGTGATGGAGTAAATATGGATGTTTGGTTTAGTCCTGTTGTTGTTTGGGAAATCAAGAGTGCAGATATTCAAATTTCACCTATTTATAGTGCTTGTTCTACTATCTTATAATTAAATAATAAAGGTGTAGGATTGAGATTTCCTAGATTGATTAAAGTAAGAGAGGATAAGAAACCTAATGAAGCCACTAGTTCATAATTTTTATATGATGTATATAAATAATAGGCTGTAGTTGCCAGTAATAATACATTTGAGTAGGATGATGATTTTTATTGATTTTAAAGTGTTTGGTATTCAAATTATTAATTTTATTATATTTGGGATGAAAATATTTAACAAAGCTATTTACTTTACGTTTAGGTTATGAGTAATAGTTGGACAATTTGAATATTCTAAAAAACTATAATTGTGACTATCCCATAGTAAACATTTAATCGATTTTATTGTTATTATCATCTATTTTGGTATTTCATAACTACTAATAATTTCATCATATTTCTAATTGAATTAACAACATTCTTATTTAAGTAATTTCCATTCTGTATCATCATTCTTATGTGTCATTCTAAAATAATTATGAGTTATACCCAAATTGCTGAATGAACCAATCTACTACAATTTCTTTTTAATTATTTATCCATATACTATCAATAAATTCATCATTTGATTGTATTGCCATTAAATAACCATATTTATCAAAATAAAACTATCATATATATTATTTATACTGTTTTATAATCTCTTCTAACATTAAAGTATTTTTCTATAATATCTTATTTAAATTATAACCCATTATTTTGATTCCAAATTTAATTGAAATGACAAAATTAAATTTGTAATTTTTGAATTCTTTAAGTAATAAATTCATTTATTATATTACTTGTATTATCTAATTAAGTGATTATTATGATATTTGTAGGTTCTTAGAATTCATCCTCTATAGATGCCAATTTATTTAAGATTATAAGTATTTACTTCTCAAAATCATCATACAATACAAAAATTAATGTATTAATTGTAATTTTAATGGATTCATCAAAATCCATCAATTTTTCATTAATTTATATCTAATAATCAATACCATGATATATATATTTCTTAATTAAATTCATGCTATTACCACATAGATTCTAATTTTTAATTTATTTAAATTAAATGATATGTTATTCTTATTATTATTTTAATAATTTTAATTCATCTAAATTCTTAATTGCAATAGATTTATTATGTAATTCATACATATCCAAAAAAACAAATGAATCTCTCATTTAATTAGTCCATTCTACTTTATCTTAATCACGAATTCTCATTATTTTGCGATCACTTTTATAATTTGTCTACCATTCTATGGTTCTTCTTTTAATTAAGAATAATTTTAATTTGAAATGAAATTATTAAGTAAAATCTTAAAGGAAATCCATTAAATCAATTTTACTGAATGTGTATGTATGAGGTATAGAATATATATTTAAATCAGGGTCCTAATATATAATTCAAGAACAATACTTTCCATCTCAATCCAATTGATTCTTTTAATTCTCTACAAGTTTCTGTAAGTATTTTCTATTTTTGAATAGAAGCTGCAGGATATATAGAAGGTAACAAATATGTTTTTGTGATTTCTTTAAATTTATGTTCATCATAATCATAATTAAAAT